AAATGTTTACGTTTGTGTAATTTTATCATCCATCGTATACCGCTTGTATAATCACATATATCACATTGATATTTGATTGATGGATGTAAAGATTGTACATGTAGTAACATAGCACCTTTTGTATTACACACTTTATCACAATACGAACATTTGATAAGATATTTCTCAACATTGTGTACATTACCCATGTGCACATTCATTTTGTATAAAGTATCAAATCTTGTACTACACAAATTACACACGTGAGAACGTACTACGCCGTGTATACGATGTTTATGTTTCAACATTTTATGAAACGCATCAAATATTTTACTACATATCTGACATTTATATCCATTATGTGAATTATTTATATGTCGTTTCAATCTTACTCCATTTATAAAAGTGAGGCCACATATTTGACATATAAAATCATGTTCCATATGATTTTTGAACATATGATTAAGGATACAATTAAAATTATCGTATATCGAATCACAGAGAACACATTTCATATTAGTTTTTTTTAGAACAAATGGTAAAACGCATGTTATAGTATCATCGTATTTTTGTTCATGTTCAGAATTAATGTGGTTTATTAAATCTTGTATTGTGTTGATAGATTTGCTACACATTTTACAAGACAATTCAGTTACGTCTATCTTAACCGGTATATCTTTCGTTATGATTCTTTTAGGTATGAAATTATCTAGATTTATTACGTGACTTTTTGTATGTTTTTTTAATACATCACAATCTTTCATATATTTATTACAATAGAAACATTTAAATCCTTTCGTATTCCAATGAAATGGTAAAATATTACCATACTTGAGTAGCAGGATTATATTCTTTCGGACCTTATGTAATCTTTCTATATATGTTTCTTGTACTTCACTCTCGATCTTTATCCCTGGAAAGAGATGTCGATCGTTTACGAAAATTTACTAATTGTCTACTACATTAGAGATAAAATTAGTTACGAAATGTCTAGACTAAAAAGGTAGAAATTCGTTGAATTAATAGAACATTCAAACACGTAGCTTTAAAGGTATTACAATAATACAGATGTTTTAAAAAAACACAGTAGTAGAGCAGTTTAACAATGGTAGAGCCCGCTTTAACATGTTCGCACGAATTGGCCCGGCTCGCCCGGTGAAATACCACGACCACACAGAAAACAGGCGTGAAGTGGAAGCAATTCCGCGTTTCGTCTGATGAGTGTGCGTCTCGGAGGCCAAAATTAGTCCTGTTTTCCTTCCCACCCTTTTTCTTATAAGGAAAGGATGGAAGTGGAAGTGGACTTTCCGGATGAGAGGATGCATGGAAAGGGAAAATATTTTCTTTCTGTGCATCCTCTCCTCCGTCGATTAAAGGTAGGCAACGCATAAGCACTTGCGTATGCCTATGGGAAACGGTCACTTAGCTATTTCAGCGATTTCAAGTGGCCGCTCGCTCGTTTGCCACCTTGTGATATAAAAAAAAGCAGAGTTATTTAGTTTTATCCCGCAATTTTGTCTGTAATGTAACTTTTAAATGACAACAAAAATTTTGAAATCGATCCAGTAATTTTTGAGTTTATTCGGTACATACAAAAATACAAAGCTTACGTCTTTATAATATTAGCACAAATAACTGTGAGTTAGTCTTACGCTCGCAATTTCTTATGTGGACATTAAAAAAGAAAAATAATTGCCTATTTATTCTTTCATAATATTTTCTACATCTATGTCAAATTACAACAAGATAAATGCAGCAGTTCTGTAGATACCTTTTAACAAACACTAGCTGTATCCCGCGACTCCGACCGCGTGGATACATAAAAAACTTAAGTATTGTAGCCCTCCTATCTATCCATTCACATCACATCCATCTAAACATTCGCATTTATAATATTAGTAAGTTAAATAAAAAGCAGTTCTTCAAGGTATAAATTCGAAAAAGAATAAATAGTATCCTATATCCGTCTCCTGGCTCTAAGCTACCTCCTCACTAATTTTCAGGCATATCGGTAAAGCTGTTCTTGAGTTATAAATAGTGTAACTAACACCACTTTCTTTTATATATATAGATAAATACAAATATCAAACATTCGCATTTATAATATTTGAATTAAATACAGTTATTTTTTTAATTATTTATTTATAAAACTACCCACATTTTATTGTATATATTGCCCTGTTAATTCAGCACCTTCAATTTCATCATTAACAAACTCCATTTGTATAATTTCAGTATCGTTTAATTCATCAAAAACAATCTTATGTTCCGATTCATTTTTAACATCCGTATGCTTTTTAATATGCGCTTTCAAATTCTGCTGATTAGTAAACTCTTTACTACAAATATCACATGAAAACTTCTTATCCGTATGCGTAAACAAATGCGTATTCAAATTATTCTTCTTTGAGAATTTCTTTCCGCATACCGAGCATATAAATTTCTTATCGCCATTATGTTTAAGCATATGCAACTTTACGTCATAAGGACCAAAAAATTTATCCCCACAAATTTCACATTCGACATTTTTCTCTCTCAAATGTACACGTCTCATATGCCGAGACATTATACTTTCTTGGGGGTACACTTTTGAGCAATATGGGCATTTAATTTTTAACTCTTCAACACCATGTATATTTGCTAAATGTAACTTTTTAAAATACGGACTTTTAAACGTCTCCGGGCAATGTGGGCAAGTAGATAGATTGACCATATGAACATTTTTCTCGTGTGATATTTTCTTTGACAGCGTTGTTAAAGTAATACCACAATGTACGCAAGCGTAACCACCTTCTTTATGATAGTATCGGTTATGCATTTTCAAATGATTTTCACCTTGAAAGCTAGTACCACAAATATCGCATATATAATTATGCGAAAGGTGATTTTTATTTGAATGACGTAATAAATATTCAAAGAACACAAATTTCATATCACAGATAGGACATGTAGATTGATCTTTATCTAATTTAAACGGCAATAAACAATTCGGTACACTAACATCGTATTCCGCGTCATGTGCGATTATCAAATGATGTATCAATTCTTCTAGATTATTAATATCTTTGGAGCACAATTTACAAGTTAAATTTGTTACGTCTATTTTAATAGCAGCATCCCTATTCCTATTATTCTTTGTTCTATCAAAAACAACTAACTCTAAGTTAGCAAATTGGTGTACTTTAGCCGTATGATCTCTTAATACATCTGGATCTTTTATCTGTTCTGAACAATAGAAGCATCTGTATCGCCCTTTGTACCACATAAAGGGTGTTACATTACTGTATTGTAGCACGTATTCGACGTTACGTCTTTTTATGCACAGCTTACGTGCGAGTTCAGTTTTCTTATACGTGTCCTCGACGGTGCTAGATTTTGCACCTGCAAAGAAATTTTCATTCTTTACTTGCTTTAGTTTTACTCCTTTGTGTCATTCCATTGATAAATTCTTCTCATTATTGTGATTAAAGAATATATTATTTACATTGAGACATTGAAAATGCCATGCGTCAAAATAATAACGCATTTTCGACACATCTGACGTAGTTACTGTTAGGACACAATTTAATTTGTCAATAACTCTGCGGTTTTACCATTTTTTTTGTTTGGGACCGTTGTTCACCGGGCTTAAGGTGGCCGGGCGCAGATGACGCTTAACCTGAACCTCGTTTAAGAGTAACAAGACTCGCGGGCTGCCTCAGGAGCCGCGGCTCGGGCTGTTACTTCGTCATTGTTACCGGATTGGGAGGTCATCGAACTCTTAGATCGCTTAGGTTGACGCTCCATAGGATTAATGAAACCAATGAAAATGATCCGTCGATGTATACCAAACGTCGTGCCAGCTATCGACACAGCTACCGCGGAAGGAAAAGTAAGGACTGTCGCACAGCGCATGGGGGCTCTAACGACTAATGAAAATGCGCTCTTATAGGTGTCCTAAAGACGTAATAACTTAATAACTAAACTTAATTCGTAGCATGGGTATATTATAGTTTTGAATAACCATTGTCAAGACCACTTCTGAATTCGTGTATCTATTTTCGGTCTGATGTTTTCTATTGTCGACACATTTTTTTTTAATAGAAGGGGGCAAACGAGCAGCGGGAACACCGAGGTGTTCAACGACGCCCATGGACATCAGCAATACCAGAGGAACCGCAGATACGTTGCCGGCCTTTATTGCATTTGCTTTTTGGATCGTATTGTTTTTATTTCATTTTAAGTTTGTTTTAAATAAGACAATTTTTAATTTCACATATTATATTTAAAGTGTTTCTTACATCAGGTGCTGAATAGAAATTTCTATAGCTAGAGTTTAACATTTTACAATACAATCTAGATTTTAAATTAATTATGGGACACATGTCTATAACAAAGATAAGGGATTCCAAAAAAACAGTTTTTCATTTGCGAAATAATCGATATTAAACAAAAAGACTAATACATAATCTTTATATACAATATATAATTCTTCTGTGAGTGTGTATGTCACTGAACTTCTCTCAAACGACTGGAGCGATTTTGATGAAATTTTTTGTGTGTGTTCAAGGGGATTGGTGGAATGGTTTAGATTCACAATTTTCATCAAATATTAACTTCATATTAATTATTCAAATTAAAGACGTGTAGACAGGACAACGTCTGTCGGGTCCGCTAGTATATTTTATATAAAATAAAGAGTATTATTCGAGATTCATTGTATTCTTAAAATATACACCTTAAATAATATAATATATAATATTAACTTAATCTAACCGTCTTATTTTAAGCTTATCGCAATATTTCTATAGAAGCCTATCCTTATTTAGAATTTTATATGCTTAGAAATAAAATAATAATCGCATAAGAAAATCTTATTCATTTACTTTGGAGATATTTTCAAATTAATTTATTACGAACTTCAATATCGTCTATGCGTCGTCTAGTTTATTGAAAATGGAGCGTTAGAAATAATAACTTTTTTTTAATAACGGAAGGGGGCAAACGAGCAGCGGGAACACCGAGGTGTTCAACGACGCCCATGGACATCAGCAATACCAGATGAACCGCAGATGCGTTGCCGGCCTTTGAGGTGGTGAAACTTATAATAAAATAGTGCACATATTTCATCCTTTTGTTCGCAATTTCTCTTGAATTAAACATAATTGGCCAAAAGTACAAGTACATTTTAGAGTATAAAGTTCATTTACATAAGTTCATTTAGGTTTGTAAATGACCGTATTTCTTATGCATTTCTTTATGCGAACTCAAATTACTACGACGCAAGAAAGCTTTACCACAAACTTCGCAATTAAATTTTCTTTCACCTTGATGTTTTACCATATGCATACGTAAAAGATAATTATCGAAAAACTTTTCATTACAAACTGAACATACGACATTTTTCTCTTTTAAATGCGTCCTACGTATATGATCGTTCATGAACGAATTCCTCGTAAACATTTTCCCGCAATAACTACATTTATGACCTATATTATGGTTTTGAATTAAATGTTTTTGTTTATGATATTGTGATTGGAATAGCTCAGGACATTTCGGACATTTATAATCTTTTGCGTTATGATGTTTAGCTTTATGTCGACTTAAACACCATTGATTTTTATATTTCGTACCGCATATATTACATTCGCAAGCACCAGTGTGTGCGTAAGTTATATGCACTTTTAAATTGGTTACACTTTTAAAACTACGACCACAGAAGTCACAGATCCTGTTATTGTTACTATGTTCTGAATTTATATGTCTTAGTAGTATACCAAAGTATCTGAAGATACGATTAGGGCAAAACGGGCATGGCATATTGTCCTTTATAACTTTGTACGGTTCCAAACATCCTGAAATCGACTTATCATAGTTTACAGCGTGTTTTATAATTAAATGGTCGATTAATATATCCAAATTCTCGAAATGTTCGCCACATATTTTACAGCTTAAATTTGCTATATCGACTTTAACTGTTATTCTCTCGCCTTTACATTTCTTCATGCTTTTAGATTGCAAATCACATATAGGGTGTTCCAAAAGTGTATGTTCTTTGAGTTCGTCAAATTCGACAAACTTGTTGGAGCAATAGAAACAACAATATTTGGCGAAAAATTTAAAAGGCAATGCCGTAGACATGTTAAGAACGCATTGGATATTCTGTCTTATTTGTTTAAGGTTTTGTTTCTTTTTCGGTTGCAATAAAACATCTGTAAAATTGTCATCTACAGGATGATCTATTTTTATAAAATTGACTTTACATTTATGTATATGCTGCTTTAAACCTTGCGGTGAATGTAATTGTTTGGCGCAATGTGGACATTTTGCGGTGCCGTCGTCCGGGTGTTCGGATTGTACATGCTTTAGTAACATACTGTACGTTGCGAAGTTCACTCCGCATATTTTGCACTTCCTAAAGTGATAATCATTTTGATGTTTACGTAATAGATTATGGGATTTGAAAGTTTCCAAACATTCTGTACAAGGGTAACCACCTTTGCGATGATTATGCCGAAAATGTAAAGTTAAATCTCTCTTTTTATTATAAGTAGCTCCACAATCATCGCAAATATAATTATTACGCGGATGTGTACTATTTACGTGGTTGATAAGAAAACCAAAATATTTGAATTGTAAATCACAGTGTAAACATTGAAAATCCAACAGCCTGTATTCTTGAATTTTTGTATCGATTGTTTTGTCGTAATCCAAACCGTGTTTTTCCACTAAATGATCGACTATTTCTTTTAAAGTTTTAAACGTTTCATTGCATTTTTCACACGATATTTGGGATACGTCAATTTTGATTTCTATTTGATTTCCTTTGATTAATTTTAATGAATAATCTTTAGTTGTACAAGGACCATGTGATTTTGTATGTTTTCTAAAATCATTATAATCAGCGTAACTTTCCCCGCAATAGAAACATAGGCATTTCCCCCTCCATTTAAATGGTAAAAGGGTTGTGTTGTTGAATAATATTTGTAAATTCCGCCGTCGCCTCTCAGAGACACAGTTCTCGTGGGCATGCGGTATTTCATCTGAAAAGAAATTACTCTTTCTATATTTATACCATACTGGTCTCTCATTGGTTGTAATTCGACCATAATTCTATTATCAAAGATTTTTTTTGATTAAAAATATATTTATGTACTTCTTCACCATATTAATTTGAACTTTTCAAAGTTCAAGTTCATCATCATCATCAGCTCACTATACGTCTTCACCGAGGGGCTCGGAGCCTACCCTAAGTTAAGGGTGATTAGGCCATAGTCAACCACGCTGGCCAAGTGCGGGTTGGTTGACTTCACACATATCTTTGAATTTCTTCTAAGATATGTGCAGGTTGCATCACGATGTTTTCCTTCACCGTAAAAACGTCGGATAAATGTACATATGTAAATCGGAAATCGAAAAACACATTGGTACATGGCGGGATTCGAACCCAGGACCTGCAGATTGCAAGTCGAGTGCTTGACCCCTGAGCCACCGACGCTCTCTCAAGTTCATCAGTTTGTAAAATTTCCTTAAAAAGATGTACAAAGTTTTGAAATATTATTATTTTGTCGACTTTTTACTATGCGACGTCATATGTACTCGTAAATTCTTCTTCCATTGGAATCTCTTATCACATAAATCGCAATGAAAATTACGTTCACCGTTATGTTTGATCATATGAACTTTAAGTTCATAATTATCGAAAAATTTCTCAAAACACAACAAACATTCAGAATTTCTCTCTTTAAAATGACTTCGTCTTATATGGTTCATCATGAAAGAGTTTCTTACGAATAACTTATTACAATATTTACATTTAAATCCTGTTTTATGTACATTTAATAGATGTTTTTGCATACAATATTTAGAAGTAAATTTGTCCTTACATTGTGGACATTTAGCGATATTTAAACCGTGTTCTCTCCCTAAATGTACTCGTAAATAATCATTACTAGAAAATGTTCTATTACAATGTATACATTTAAACATATCTGTGGTATGTTTTCTTGATATATGTGTACGTAAATTAAATCTATATGTAAAAGTAATACCACAATAGGAACATATATAATTGTTGCTTGTATGTAATTTAATATGTTTTAGTAACATAGTGAAATGTATATATACTTTATCGCAAATAAGACATCGATAATTATCTTTAATTAATTTATAAGGTTGTATATTATCTATATTTTCACATATTGAAGTTTTATGTTTAATATTGAGATGGTTAATTAGATTAGTCAAATCATGTATAGGTTCATGACAGATTTTACATGATAAAGAATTTATATCTATTTTGATACTACCCTCATCTGGTTTTACAAGTTTGAAAGACTTTATATTGCATACAGGATGTTCTAAAATCGTATGCTCTTTAAGATTATTCGAATTTGTAAAATCTTTCGAGCAATAGAAACATCTAAATTTGTTTATGTAAAATTTAAAAGGTACAGCAGTTGATTTATTTAATATACACACTATATCTTTTTTAATTTTTTTTAAATTTATTTTTTTATCCGCCACAAATGTGTCTGTATCGACGATTTTCGTACAATTAGCTGAGTGATGTAGAAATTTTTGTTTAGTTGTCATAACTTTATGACATATGCCACATTTTAAGGTGTCAAATTTATGCTGTACCTTCATATGTGTCAATCGTTCTTTCCCCGATGGGAAATATTCAAAGCAAATATTACATTCCGATGGGTGATCATTTAATTTATGTGTCTTTAATTCAACTTGTGTTTTGTAGGTAGTTGAACATTTTTGACATTTATATAATTGTCTATGGTAAGTTCTAACATGTGCTTCAAGATCACGTTTTTTATTAAATCTAAAATCACAATCTCGGCATTTGAAATAATTATTGCCATGTTCTTTATTCACGTGTATTACTAAATTACCAAAGAAATTGAATATTTTATCGCAATATAAACATTTCAAATCGATTAAACGGTAAGTAGTTATTTCAAGAACATCTCTACTGTAGGGTAGTTTATGATTTGAAGTTATATGACCGATTAATTCATTAAAACTGTCTAATTTAGTGTTGCATATATTACATTTTATAATGGATACGTCAATTTTAACTACACAATCAGCTGATTTTACAAGTTTTATAGCTCTATCGTTTATGGTACATTTCCCATGACTAATCGTATGTTGTCTGAGAATCGTAAAATCGGGGAAATCTTCACCGCAATAAAAACATAAATATTTTCCACGCCATTTAAAAGGAATTATTGTTGTATTATTAAATAGTATCTCTAGATTTCTTCGTCTCAAATAACTTTGGCTTAGTATCTTCTTTTTATTATCTGGAAAGAAATTTTTTACCAAAATGTAAAAGTACCCTCAACAAAAAAAAATCATACAAATTTCAAATTAACGGGTACTTTTATTTTTATCGTATTTTCAAGACGAAAAAATCTAGTGTAGATTACATTGTGTACAAATTTGACGGTATATTTGAAAAAACTTTATAAACTTGAGGATCAGAAAGAAGCTAGTTTATTTTATCAATTAAATAGGTCTTCCTAGTGCTTAGAAATAATAATACTGATGTTTTTATATAAGATTAGGACAAACGAGTACATCGAAGTTGTCATCGAGGTCTTTAAACATCTGCAATACTAGAGTAACTGCAGATGCGTTGCCGACCCTTCTATACTAATATTAGTTACAATTTTCAACTTCCATCGTAAGACCTGTCGTATTGTACGGATCTGAATGTTGGGCCACCAAGGTTTCGGATGAAAGAAGATTGCATGTAGCTGAAATGCGTATGCTAAGATGGATGTGTGGTGTGACAAGGAAGGATAAAGTTAAAAATGTTTATATTAGAGGAAGTTTGAAAGTAGCGCCAGTGATCGAGAAATTGTGGAGTAAAAGATTAGCGTGGTTTGGACATGTTATGAGGAGGGATGATGATGATATAAGCAAAAAAGTAATGAGATTGAATGTCGATGGCTACAAGGGTATAGGAAGACTGTGTGAAAGAGGATATGCGTAAGAAGGGGGTAGACTCGGATATGATATGACGGCTGATAGAGATGTATGCAGGAGTAGTACATACTGTGCCGACCCTCGATAGGGATAAGGGCAGGTTGATGATGATGATTTGTTACAGTTTTTAATTTACATTTGTATTGGAGATAACTTGTTGTGTCTTATCATGTGATTACGCAAACTTTTCCTCCAATAAAAACGTTCACCACACACATCACAATTGAAATTCTTTTCACCGCTATGCTTCACCATATGTCGCCTTAATAATATATTATTAAAAAACTTCATAGTACAAATAGAACATTCAACGTTCTTTTCTTTCAAATGCGTACGTCTAATATGATCTCTCATAAAAGAGTTTCTTGTAAAAAGTTTATTACAATAATCACATTTATGTCCGGAATTATGTGCCTCAATTAAATGTTTCTGCCTTAAATATTGTGTTTCAAAACATTCCGGACATTTTGGACACTTGGCCGCTTTAACGCCGTGATCTTTAGCCATATGTAAATACAAACGTGAGGGTATATTGCAATCTGCACCGCAAATACTGCATTTAAATCTACCGTGTCTATGATGACGCCATGTGTGTACCCGTAAATTTTGATCACGTCTAAAAGTTTGACCGCAATATACACATATAATATTATTATTTGTATGTTTTTTATTCATATGTTTTAATAATGTACCAAAGAATCTGAATACTTCATTCGGACATATAGGACATGCCATGTTATCTTTTATTAATTTATATGGTTGTAAGCAGGTAGTTATAGTTTTATCGTAATTAGCATTGTGGGTAGTTGTTAAATGTTCTATGAGATTGTCTAATTCATTAATAGATATAAGGCATAGTTTACATGCAAGTGTCGATATGTCTATTTTAACGCAAGCTACAGATTCTCGACATTTTTTTATACATTTCTGTTTTATATCGCATACAGGATGTTCTAATATCGTATGATCCCTCATTGTATCTGAATCGGGGAAATCTTTGGAACAATAAAAGCAATTAAATTTATTTTTAAAGAAATTAAAAGGTATAGCCGTAGACATATTTATAACAGTCACTATATTTTCTCTAATTTGTTTGACACTAGGTTTTTTTGGATCTTCGTAATTTTCATCGAAATCCATCGAGTCGTTTTCATTTTTGACACTAATGTCAAATTCTTCAACTACCTTACATTTTCTTGTATGCATTTTTAGTCCTTGTTTTGTGTGAAATTCTTTTGAACAACTATCACATTTTAACGACCCATTATCAGGATGTTCTAAATCCATATGTTTCTGTTTCAGTGAAGCGTTGGGTAGTTTTAAATTGCATATATCACAATTAGTTAAATGTCTATTATTTTTATGTTTTCTCAATATATTTAATGATGTGAAATTTTTTAAACAATATTCACATTTGTAACCACCTTCTTTATGATAGTTTTTTATATGAGAAAATAAATCTCTCTTCTTATTGAACTTCTGTTCACAATTATCACATATAAAACAATTCTTTGGATGTTTATTATTTACATGCGAAACTAAATAACCAAAGTAAGTAAACTTTTCCTCGCACAACAAACATTTTAAACCGCCTAAATTATATTCATCGATACCCATTTCAATATCAAAATCGTAACTAATTTTATGTTTCTTTAAATGTGTCAAAACTTCTTTGACAGATGAAAAATATTTATCACAGATAAGACATGTAATATTTGTTACGTCAATTTTAATCACCATATTTTGACCTTTTATAGCTTTCAAAGAATAATCAAATACAGAACAGTCGCCATGAGCTATCGTATGATTTCTTAATTCTTTATAATCTTTCATATATTTACTGCAGTAAAAACATAAATATTTCCCACGCCATTTAAACGGTATTATTGTTGTGTTGTTGAATATTATCTGAAGATTTTTCCGTCTACGTAAAGATTTCGATTCGCATCCTTTATGTTTTCTTGTGTCACCTGAAATTGAAATAACTATAAATGTACCCGTTCATATTTTATAATAAATATATTTTAAAAAAGACAAATAATATTAAATTAAATTTTTGGGGTACATTTAAAGTTACCACTAAATTTTCAAGCGAATCTAAATCGAATATTGCAAAGGCCTAATGTTTTTTTTGTAAATTCCCTTTCTAACAGTAAATAAAATCCGTTATCCATATTTTTTTTATATAACAGAAGGGGGCAAACTAGCAGCGGGAACACCGAGGTGTTCAACGACGGCCATGGACATCAGCAATACCAGAAGAAACGCAGATGCGTTGCCTGCCTTTAACATAGTGATAAGCTCGCTTCTTTAAGGACCCTAAGTCGTATTGGTTTGGAAATACCGCCGAGGACAGACCGTTCCACAACGCGGCTGTGCGAGGCAAGAAGTTGCGCTAGAATCGCACCGTTGTGGAATGCCAGCCATATTTTATTAAACCTAGATATTATTAACAAAGAGTAGTCATCTATCAAACATCGATATTTTTTATTTGAATCTTTATTCGAATCTATCTTTTCTAACCCTACGCGGACTGAGTCGCGGGCTACAGCTAGTAGGTAAGAGAATGTACCCATTACGTACTACGTGACCCGTTTAAGGAGGGAGGGGGGGGTTTAGCGGAGTCTTTAAAATACTACGGTCAGTTATAGGAAAGGGGGGGGGGGCTAAGGTTTTTGTGACGTAGTCATTAGTTGTTCTTTTTCATAACATTATTCACTAGTAATTTAAGTTTGCGTGCAGTCTTAGAAAAACTTAGAAAAAACTAAAAAAGTAGGTTACGTAGTATGGTTATGTTCCCTAATAGTACTATAGTACCTGTATGACCGGTAGCTTTGCTCGGTATTTTTTTTTTAAATTGTGTCTTTTGAAAATTATATTTAAGTAGGAATTACTAATAAAATAATGAAATATGAATAATATTTTTCGATGTTACCGATAGAAAAAGTTAAGTTTATGTTTAAGTTGATTATCTATAAAACACGAATAAAATGACATTTTCTAAAAATGAGATTCCTAGCTCTAGATCGATTTATCGCCCCCGAAACCCCCTATATACAAACTTTTATGAAAATCGTTGGAGCCGATTCCGAGATTCCAATCTTTATATATATAATTCTTCTGTGAGTGTGTATGTCACTGAACTTCTCTCAAACGACTGGTGCGATTTTTATGAAATTTTTTGTGTGTGTTCAAGGGGATCTGGGAATGGTTTAGATTCACAATTTTGTCCGCTGGACAATGTTTTTTTTAATTAATTTTTAATTTATTAGTAGTTGTTGATTTTGGAATGTTTTACATTGGATCCGACAGACGGCGCTACCATCGCACTGTCAAATTGTCAGACAACGTCTTTCGGCTCCGCTAGTTTAAATATATACATACAAGTATTGCTCATTTAAAGATATAAGATATATACTAAACTTAGGAACTTTAAATTAAGTATTAGCTTCGGGATGATGCACTCTTAAATGTAATTTAAGAGTATTTTTTTGTACAAACGCTTGTTTACAAAACTCGCAAACATATCTTTTATCATTATTATGAATTCTCATATGATCTCGTAATGTTTGTTTCCTTGCGTATGACTTTTTACAAGTTTCACATTGATATATCCTATTACCGATATGTTTTATCATATGTTTCTGCACGTGACTTTTCGAGAAGAATTTCTGTTCGCACATCGTACATGAAAAATTTTTCTCTCTAACATGTACTTCTTTAATATGTACTTGCATTTTACTTTTAATTTGAAATGATTTATTACAAATCGGACAATTTAATGTAGTTATATCTTTATTATGTATTTCATTGTGATGCTTCTTCCTTGTTGGATAATTTGGAAATGTTTGCGTGCAATAAACACATTTGATTATTTTTCTGCGACCATGAACATTTAATTCATGATTAATTTTTAATGTTAACGAATCGAATATTTCCTTACAATATTTACATGGAAATTCAACACCGTGACTAATAGAATGACATCTTAATCTATCTTTATTTAAAAATGACTTCCCACATATTTCGCATATATAATTTTCGTAATGCACATTCATATGTTGGTTTAATTTGATAAAATATTGAAAATCACACGAACACAACGCGCATTCGTATCTATCGTTATCCAATTTATATGGTATAACACCAAAATCAGTATCGGAAATTATTTTTTTGTGGGTAGTTTTAAGATGTTCTATAAACGTAATCAAATCATCAAAATTAAAATTACATAAATTACAAACTGCCCCTGTTATATCGATTTTCACTTTTTCATCTCTTCTCAAATATGAAACAGCTGATTTTATTCTTGGTTCTTTATGTACTTTCGTATGTTCTTTTAAAAGGTTAACGTCTTTAAAATTTTGATGACAATAGAAACATAAATAATTCTGTCTGTGCCATTTAAATGGCATTACCGTGGACGATTCTAGAATTATTATTGCGTTTCTCTTCATAAGGCGATGACGTTTTGTTGGCGTTAATAGGGACTTATTCACGGCCCCAAATATCTCTTGATTCTCACCTAAAACGGTAAACTATATGTCACTTCTAATTTCTCTTAAATCTGTGGTCGATCTATTGAATAGCTTCTTTGCTCTTTCTATTTAAAGCGTGTAATTTTTTTTTATCATTCTTCTTGACAATAAAACTTGACAGCAAATTCAAAAAATAGAACATACTGTATCACTCTTTTTGCAAGGGTAAATGCAATTTGTTTGATATATTTAAATATTTGTGCCTTTTAGTAAAGTAATACAACGTGCCGCTAATAATCTATTTAAAGTACTAATCTAGACCTAGGCTTAAAATTATCCCGTAATAATGCTAAATTGTGGAAAACTATAACGAGCAGAAAAAAATCGAGATGTACATTTAAATATTAGAAAACAATATCCTAAAAATTTGATTTTTTATATTTCGCGTAAATTTTGCTTAGTTCAGTATTTTATGTCTATTTTTATAACATATAAGAAATATAAATATTATAGTTGAAAACCATAAGAGAAAGTTTTTTTTACATCACATAAAACCTTCAGCAATAATTTTCAATTTATTCATAAATACATTTCAAATAAGAATGTGTGAATTCGCGCCATATTGTGACGTCATAGTTGTCAAATCGACAAAGTTAAAAAAAAAACCAAATCTTTGATTTAAAAAAGAAATGCAAGATCAAAGACATTCTTATTTGAAAAGCATAAAATAAATATACAGGTGAAACAAAAATCAATGTCAAATATGCAGGACTTAAATTCATTAATTAAAAAAAAACAAGAAACAAGAATTACATTTGTAAGATTAGAGAGGAAGAGATGGATTTGTGGAAATAATAACAGGGAGATGATGATTACTTTACCCTGGTTACAGGGTAAACATCTAACACTATTACCCTAGAACTATATAAGTCATTTCCACTGTCAAAACAAATACTACGATATTAATATGACTATCATTAGTCAAAACCCATTTTTTAATATTATATGGTCACCTGAATTCACCAAAATGGCGAAACAACCTGTCTCAAGACATCCACAATTGCAGATACATTGCCTACCTTTAATCAATGGAGGGGAAATGAGAAATATTCTGTGTCCCCTCTATCACATCCACTTTCCTATCTCACCTATGACTTGACATTGATTTTTGTAACATCCTGTATATGTAAATAATAAAAAAACTTACCTTTAGTTAGAGGTTTTGAAATTTTCGGTTTCTCAACAAGTACTATTTTGGAACAAGACTTCTTTTCAGCTTTAGTCATAGTCTTTTTAGCCTTTCCTTTCTTGCCTTTAATCGGTAAAGTTGATACCGTAATATCATCTGTACTCGTGTGTCCTAAATCGTCCTTTAATACGTCTGAAAATATTAATACAGATATGTTTAATTTTGTTCCAAATTTGTGAAATACTTAACAGCATTTTAAAGAAAGTGGTCAAGCACATAGTGTAGATATATGTCTCCAGAAGATGTAAAAGGTGTCAGGACTGCACCAAAATGTAGGTCTATGTCCTTGCTTGCAAGTAGGTCACTACCCAGAGGTAAAGGAAAAACGATGACCGCTGTTCTTGAGTTTTGATATGATTTTAAATTTTACTATAAAAACGTACAATCTTTCAAATATTTAGCTTAAATATACATTATCCTATTTATTCTGTGAATAGATTCCAGCGTGGATTTTTGACAAATCATGGCTATTGAAAACATTATTATTGAGGCTTAAGAAATGACTTCTTGACCAATAAATAATGAAATATTTATACAGAAAGTAGTGTCATCATCAGCTCACTATACAGCCCTACTGAGGGGCTCGGAGCCTACCCTAAGTTAGGGGTGACTAGGCCATAGTCAACCACGCTGGCCAAGTGCTGGTTGGACATACTAATAGTGAAACATATAACCATTTAAATGTCCATAATATCCTTCATTGGCTTTCAAAGGGTTAAAACACATTTAAAAAAATAGTCTAACTATATTTTATAGGAGAATTGAGTATGTTTTTAACCAACTATCAAGTGGATAATATTTTCACAGGTATGTTTGTATGTATGTGGGTGGTTTGTATAACTAAAAACATGTCTCACCATCATCAGGATAATCCATTCCTGCCTCAAGAAACTCCACCTCTGTTTCCTGAGGCTGTATTTCCAAGATTGCTTCAGATTTGATGGGGACATTGTAAGTAACCGCTGGAACATTGTAATATGCACATTTTTGAACAAGATGTCAAATAAGCAAGTGACCACCTAACTTTACCACAATGGTTAAGTGAAACTACCCAAAGACATTATTTGTGGCATGTTACCTTTAATCAACAAAGGAAGGAATGCACAGAAAGAGGATATTTCCCCTTCTTACATAGCATCTCCTCTCTTTCCTATCCCTTCCGCTTAAGAATATGTTGGGAATGGGAAGAGGAATAGGAGGGAAGGATAAGGCAACCAGCATGCACTTTTACCAGACAAAATGTGGAATTGCTTCCGCTTTATCCCTATCTTCTGTGTGGTTGTGGTATTTGACTAATCAAGGTGTTCCATTCAATTGTTGATGGCGCTACCCCTGGTAAAAATTTAATTTGCAAATTTTTTAACCGACAACAGTGAACTGCTGCAAAATACTGTTATTTGGTAACTTTAGGAGAGTTTAGTAAAAAGCTGGTTATTGTTATATGTAATACATGTAGACCACAAGTAAATGAGGGATAGACAGTGTTAGGACTGTCTGGAATCAGAACCCAAGACTTACATTCAGTCTGTACCAATTTTAAGACAAGATTTACACATACCTTTAGGTTTAAATGCTCCCCTGCCAACCATATCAACAAATTTCTTCTCCGAGGCCAATACTTGCTTCTTGAAGTTGCAAGCATCTCTCAGTCTTGTTACGCATACCTCACAAATAAGTCGGTTGGCACCATTGGGCCCTTCAGCGTGTTGAGAGATCTAATCAAACAAATAAATTTTAAGTTGAGAAAATCATGATTTATGTATCGGGAAGGGTAAATTATAATTAAAATTGCTTATAGAAGACTTTTCTTGGTGGCCATTTTCTATAGTGATGAATTAATTGAGGACCAAAAAAAGTTACATTGGTAAAGTTCAAATCGATCGATAATCCAAATTATCACATAGAAGTAGTACTCGAAGTTTATTTTACAAGATTATTTTTCATATTAAATATAAAAATACTGGACTTACACTTATATCGAAGCAATCCAGTAACATATCGGCATAAATTTCTGTATCATCCATCCATTGATACTCGGTACTAAGATCTTTGTAGCATCCTTCGGAAAGACAGCACCGGCATAGACCCGGGCTTTCTTTCACGACAATATCATCAAAATCCATTTTGTAGTCTTAAATCATTTTCACTTAGAATTAAAATAAGATAACTGTAAGAATTACAGAAAATAATGTATGAACTTCAGAAGCCAGAAATGCACAAATGTAACGCCATTTTCTTTATTAAGATCAAATGGAGATAAAAGATATGAATACAGATGAAATATAGTTCTGAGTCGGATTCATAGATAAAAGTAAAACAAATCGATTAACGAGTTTTTCTTGCAGGTAGGTTGATTAAATTAAAATTAATAATTAATGATGATATAAGCAAAAAAGTAGTGAAATTGAATGTGGGTGGCTACAAGGGTAGAGGAAGACCAAAAAAAGTATGGAATGACTCGGATATGACGGCTGATAGAGATGTATGGAGGAGTAGCATGTACATGCTGTGCCGACCCTCGATAGGGATAAGGGCAGGTTGATTAAATTAAAATTAAGTTGCTTTTATTTCTTTTTACCAATTTCATTTTCTTACATCAAATAATAAAATAACAATAACTGTCTAGATTTACTATTCAAAATCAACTAAGTGTATCTGCTAAATCACTTCCGTATAACGCCTCGAATCGATTCTGAAAAGGGTTAGTTGCGATTTTATGCATCACTATTCCATAAGTCGTTAAACGTCAATGTCAAAGTTGTCAATCAAATCAATCATAATTTAATAAAATACGACATGATTGTTTTGGCTATATTTTAAAGTTGTTAATAAGAATTTGTCTCTTGTTAATTGATTTTAATGTGATTAAAGATGGAGTGTATTCAACTATGCCGGTGTTGTTTGGCCGTAGGTCTTCATAAAGATCTGGACGTTCCATATTTTTATTTAGAAAAGAAAGAAGTTTATTCAGACATGCTATCGGAGTGTTTTAATATAGTAGTAAGTATTATTGATAAAACCTTACGTTAATATTCATAATCTAGAAAGTACTTTAAAAATGTAATATTTAAATGGGACAATTTTTGCCCATTGTCATTACTGACATGATCTCCGTGTTCTTATACCACTTTATATCCTGGCGTACTAGGATTTTTGCCCTCCAGATTCATCTATCATCGCAGCTTCTTCAATCATGTTACGTTTTATGCAAGTAGAAAGTATCTTACTATAGATTTAACATGAAAGAAATGATGCCTTATAATAGTTAATAAGATGAACTATGAAGTATATGTTAATAATCTAGTACTGTATCATACATTATTAAAGCTGAATACATTGTAAACTCTTTTATTCATAATTTGGGGGACAGAAGTGCCAGGTTTCCTGACAATCAGTCCATAATCTGCCTATACCTATGGCTGACAAGTGTAAGTTGATTAATGTTTTCACAGTTGTCTGCAGACAAAACATATAACATGATATGTGAATCTTGCATCACCAGCCTTCGTGATTCATTTATCTTCAAGCAGCAGGTGATCAAAGCTGAACAAGATTTTCTTGAGTGGATAAAAGAGAAAAAAGACAAAGGTATGTTTATTCTGTAGTTTGATCTGAAGATACCTTTAACAAATATCCATCTAAACATTCACATTTGTGATATTAGTAAGATTTTCTTTTACTGTACTAATTTTGTTGAAGGGCAGTTGGTTTACAAGTTGACAAACAAAAATCTAGATTTTTTACTAATTAATGTTATTTAAAATTACAGATAATTCACAAGTTAAAGAGGAACTAAAAGAGGAAAGTGGAAATGAATCGGATGATTACTTCTTATCTGATGCAGGTATGAATTACAGCAACATTCATATGAACTTTCCACTCAAAGTTTAACTAGTTACACAAAATAGACAAAGTAACATTTGCCATGTGAAGTACATGTCACCCGCGACTCAGTCCGCTCGAAATTAGAAGAAAAACATAGTTGCCTATGTGTTATATGTATGACAAATTTTATCAAGCTCCGTCAAGCCATTCTGGTGATATCTTCTAAGAATCCATCCAAACATGTGCATTTATAATATTAGTCAAATTAAGAAGGTGGATGTTCCATCTAGTTATTCCAACATAATCACGCCCGTAACCCAGAGGGGTAGGCATTGACGAACCTCAAGTTTTCGCAGTCCTGACACAACTCTCTCACTTCTAGAGCCATAGGTTTCCAGTGAACTTAATGCCGTCCTACTTGTAGATTGGATCTGAATGGTTATTATAAGTGTTTTATACTAATTTTACAGTAAAACCAACAAAACTGAAACTAGAAGCTAAAGATATATCAAAGAGAAGAAAGACTAATAAGAGGGACATAAATGATTTTGACGGTAAGAATTTTTTTAACTGATTACAGAAGTAAAGAGGGTTTTAATTCCATTTCCTTCCTTATAGGAAAAAGGTGGGAAAGGGGAGAGACAGGGAGTTCGTAGTTTGATATGTCCATACCAATAAATAGTTATTTATAACTTACTAGATGTTTCCCGCGACTTTGTCAGCGCGGTATTAAAAAAACATAACAAGTAATGTGTTTTTCCAGACTATGTTCTATATGTATGCCAAATTTTATCAAGATCTGTTCAGCCGTTCTAGAGATATCTTCGAACATACAAACTAGATGGGTATCATCATCATCAGCTCACTACACGTCCCCACCGAGGGTCTCGGAGCCTAACACAAGTTAAGGGTGATTTTTTTTAACAATACGAAATAGGGGCAAACGAGCAACGAATCGAGTAGGCCATAGTGAACCACGCTGGCCCATGGGGGTTGGTTGGCTGCACACAAATCTTTGAATTTCTTCTCATATATGTGCTGCATCGCGATATTTTCCTTCACCGTAACATCGGATAAATGTACATATGTAAAACGGAATCGAAAAACACATTGGTACATGGCGGAAATCGAACCCAGAACCTACTGACAAGTCAAATACTTGACCTTTGAGCCGCCGACGCTCCGATGGCCGATATATATCAAACTTAATTATGATAGCTCACTAACATCCTCGTGTATCAAAGTTGCAAGATCTATGTCTTACTGAAGCTGTATTGTTTTTTTTTCAGTCGAATTTCAAACCATCAAAGTAGAACCAAAGCCGGAAAGTGAGGAATCTGATTACTCAATAAGTGACACGGGTAAGTTACTTGTTTTATTTGAATTGGATATACTTTTTTTTACAAATATGCCATGAAAAAACCGATATAAAAGATCCTAACTCTTAACCTATAATTGTCATTAGCTCACTATAGGTCCCAACTGAGGGTCTAACCTATCCTAAGTTATGTGACTAGGTCATAGTGAATGTTGACCCAGTGCGTCACTTCACACATATCTTTGACATTTCACTGTAAAAACATAGGATATGTACATATTTTTAGACTTAATTAGTTAGAATCATTTGGCGCGAATCTCGCGTTTTCGTTACAAAGTCAAGTGTCAGAATAGTGAGGGGACATAAACGTTGATATTTTAGGCTAGTGTTGCGACACACCGGCACTGTGTCGGATTTTCTTCCTAACATATTAATACATGGTGGGATTCGAACCCAGGACCTGCAATTACAAGCGCTTAACGCTTGAGCCACCGATGTACTACAACTAATATGTCTAATGCCAAATTTCATCAAGATCTGTTCAGCTCCGGAGCTACTTTCTAACATATGCAGATTTTTACAATTTGATTTCAGTTAATGAAGCACAGAACGAGACAGAAGTGACAGAACATGTAAAGCGTAAAACCAAGAATAAGGAAGAAAGTAATCTGCAAACAAACATCACATTAGTCAATAGACTGACTTCTATAAGTAAATATTAAACATCTATTAATTTAAACACTAATTTGATAAAACGCAATAGTGTCCTTACCTTGAGCTTTCTTTTGCCACAAAAAAAAAACAAAAAGTTATAACTTGGCAACTGTCACATTGACATTTACTAATTAATGTTTTTTCTTTCTAATTAATTTAAATTATGATGAAAATATTTGTAAACAAGAACAAGTGATAATTGCATTTGGTTTGCAAATTTTAAATACAATTTGCAATAAGCCAATCTAGCTGTTGCCTTTAACTCTATGCGCGCGGAATAAAAAAAAAAAACTTAATTAGTAGTCTATGTGTTCCAGACTATGTTCTGCATCTATGACAAATTTCATCAAGATCTGTTGAGCTATTCCGGAGATATCTTCAAACAAACATCTAAAGATTCGCCTTTATAAGTAAGATGTAAATATCAATAACCTAATATTTTCTTATCCACAGATGCCTCTGACGTCGATTTAAAACTAAACAAACCCAAAACAAATAAAAGAAAACTAACAATTTGTAAACAAAAAGATAATGTCACAATAAAATGGACAATCAAAAGGACAAATGATAAAACTAAACATATAGATAATTTAAAAACCATATTACAATACAGTAATGCAACTCCGTTCAAAAATAAATCACTTTTAGGTTATAAATGTGGTTACTGCGAACAAACATATCCAGATCCAATAGATCTGCGTAACCATACTAAAGAATTACATCAAAATGAACGATTACAATTCAAAACAAACTTCTACATGTCAGAATTGAATGTAAAATTAGATATACAAGATTTAAAATGCTTAATATGTGATGAAAATATAAATAATTTGACAGATTTCAAAACACATATAGTAAAATATCATAATAAAGTTATACATAAAGATATTAAAGATCATATACAACAGTTTAAATTAAAAAAAGGTGATATATACGATTGTGTATTGTGTTCAGCTACGTATGAAACATTTAAAATGTTAAAACAACATATGAATAACCATTATAATAATTATGTATGTAAAATATGTAATACAGCGTTTGCAACACAAAGATCGTTAACTTCACATAAAAATACACATATCAAAGGGAGTTTTAAATGTGGATACTGTGATAAAATATTTTCAAGTAAATCAAAAAAAGTATATCACGAGAAATGTAAACATTTAGGTGAAAGGAATATAAGAAATTGTCAATATTGTAATCAATCATTCCGTAGTTATTATCAAAGGAATCAACATTTAATTAAAATTCATAATGCTGAAGCGAAATATAAATGTAACGTTTGTACAAAATCTTATTTATTAAAATCATTATTAATGAGCCATATAAAAAAGAATCATTTAATGGAGAGAAATTATCAATGTACAGAATGTGGGTTTAAATTTTTTAGTACAAAAGGTTTAAAAGCTCATATGGTTAAACATTCTGGTATTAAAAAGTTCTCTTGTGAAATTTGTCATAAATCATACGCAAGGAAATATACATTACGAGAACATATGAGAATACATAACAATGATAGAAGATTTAAATGTAATATTTGTGCAGTCGCTTTTGTACAAAAATGCAGTTTAAAAAGTCACCTTTTATCCAATCATGGTATCAGTATGGCGGCAAGTGATATTATTTCAACATAACCTCAAAATATAAGGAAAAGTGTTTAACCTTTTCACTGAATACACGAACAATCAGATAAACATTGTCCTACTGTACTGGCATAATGTAAAATTTAGGTTAAAAAATATATCTACGTAAATACTAATTATATTGAACAAAACTCATTTTATCAAATTGTTTATTTGGTGATATTTTAATTGATTATACGAATATTATTTATTTTGTAATTGTATGTAAGTTAAGACATTTTTATAATATGTATATTCTTCTTAATTAAATGTTATAAATTATTATTTTGATTTATTATTCAGAAAAAAAATAAGAGTTGTCACATTGTTTAAAACTACAAGTTTATATCAAAGAAAAGGTATTTTTATAGATCAATTCGAAAGTTTGAAACAAAATCTTTCTTTTTTTAATTTCAAATATGTGACAATTAAACTGTTCTTACTAGTGATGTACGTGATGTAGAGAAAACATCGTATTTATTAACCGATTTTTTCGGTTATCGAATCATATCTTATTTTAATTAACACGATAGAAATAATTTTTACTAACATAAAAGTGGTTTATCAAAATTACTTAAAACGTATATATATATCCTAGATAAATAAAACTACAAGATTATTTAAAATTAAGATATTATTGCCTCAATTTCATTCTACAGCCGTAACATTTATAAAACATATTTTTGTCTCTGATTCTGCAAACAGAATGAAAGACATGACTCATATTTTAATAGACAAAATGCAAGCGATTGAACGGTGAAAATATTTGTTTAAACATTTTTAGCTAACGTCTGTGACTTGGCAATGACATCTTCTATTGTTCCAACCATATAAAATGCTGCTTCAGGGATATGGTCCAACTCTCCTTTTAATATCTAAAAACATTTTTTCTGTATAAACTTTCTTTAATATCTCAACTGAGAATACACTAAAAGAGAATTTTATAATCTGGCTATAGATTTTATTTATTATTCGGGTACAAGACCTTAAAGCAACTTACCCGTTGGAATCCTTTGATGGTTTCTTCTAATTTCACCAACTTACCGATATGACCGGTAAATACTTCAGCCACCTGATAATATTTGAAGATAAAGGAATTAAAGGTCCAAATGCTAAATGAGAGATTATAAATATTATTATCGTAGACGATTTGCAACCTACTACTACATTTCTCTTCAACCTATAAACCCCTAACTTTATCTCCTGTCATCGTTCACGCCTTCCGTGGACCTCAAGGACCCTGGACTACTTAGGGATTAAACAAAATACCTGGAATGGCTGTGATAGAAAACGCTGTATCTTCCTCGCACGAGCCACTGTCAACTTGTCCTCTTCAGAGAGCTCGTCCATGCCAAGGATTGCAATAATGTCTTGAAGTGACTTATAGTCCTGAGGACAACGGCTAACGTAGAGCATTACTTACTACTGTCGTTAAGGCAAAACACTTTCGTCGCATGCTAGACTTATGCGATCTACTGGATATGAACTGTAAAACATACGAACTATATATAAGTACGATACATAATTGAAAGAACAGTTTTTAAACAGATTAAAGGAGTTTCACTTCAAGAACACGTTTTATGTGACCATAAGACAGCGGTTTACACATTTCCAAGCTTGTTCTCAGTAGATCGACATTCAAACTAGGTAGAGTATTAAATCACTCTACCTGTAAAATCTTCTGTACTCCTCTAGCAACGTTATAATGCTCCTGTCCAATAATATGCGGATCCATGACCCTGGAAGTAGAGTCGAGTGGGTCCACCGCAGGGTAGACGCCCAGCTCTGCGATGGCACGAGATAGCACTGTGGTGGCATCTAAATGAGCGAAGGTTGTAGCCGGCGCTGGATCTGTTAGATCGTCTGCTGGGACATATACCGCCTGGAGATACAAAGATTTAAACATTGCTATGGACAGGCTTTAAACAACTCAATGGCACCTATAACCCAGAAATGTAGGCTGTTGTTATCGATTCATAATTCCCTATCATTTCATATCGCCGTTTTAGTTTCAACGAGAAGAATATATCAAATAAACTATAAAAAGAAATTCTAGGTTTGATACTACACCTGTACACTAGTGATAGAGCCAGCTTTAGTGGTGGTGATGCGTTCCTGCATAGTGCCCATGTCCGTCGCTAGCGTGGGCTGGTAACCCACCGCTGATGGTATACGGCCTAGTAACGCCGACACCTGGACATAGATTATTTGAGTACAAAATAGAAACTTACAATCATACTATAATAAAATAAACTGTTGGTTACAACATCAAAATCTTTGTATAAAAGATTTTGTTCACAAGTACCTGTAAGAGATCGATTTAAAATATAGAAAAACAGAGTATAACGACTTTAAATTGACCTAAAATATTCAATCTTAAAACATATAGGTAGTTATCTCAACCAATACGATATTATTTTATGTGGCGTTCAGCCGGCTATTACTGTTTTAGCCACCATAACGTTCTAACCGTAGGTAGAATTAAAAGAATAGATACAATTAAGGAGAAGCCTTTGAAATCTTGATAATTTCTTAGTATTTACCTCTGAGCCGGCTTGCGTGAATCTGAATATATTGTCAATAAATAGCAGCACATTCTGTCCTTCTTTGTCGCGGAAATGTTCGGCGACCGTCAGACCAGTGAGAGCGACGCGAGCGCGCGCGCCCGGCGGCTCGTTCATCTGGCCGTACACTAACGCCACCTAGGTAATGTATTTACCGGTAATATGTACATCACTATCGAATTTAGACAGATATCAGTGTTGATTTATCTCTATAAATGGACAGGCTATTGTTTGGAATAGACAACTTTTGTTTCGTTCCGATATGAACGCTTCTGATGTTAGGTGACAGATAATTCTATCTACATCATTAGTTTGTATTTACACCACCGCTAAAAAATACTACCATCAGCGCGGCATGGCGAAAATCAAATACGCACAAAGTATTACGTCGTATAGCCAGTACATTTGTAGAGGTCAACGGTGTTGACATTTAGCGGTAATTATTAGGTTTTTTTGGAGAGAAAAGTGTAGATTAGATATTTCAATATCATTTCACTTTATCATAAAATAACTAAAAAGGAAAGCGTCGTAATAGCCGCTATTTGTAAAACTTAACGGGTCTGTTTTATTTGGTTTAGGCGTTGGGTTAAAAAATTATACTTTTTTATGAAATTGTGTGAAAAATACTTGACCCTATACCTTAGATGTTTTATAATCGTCAGTTATGACGCCTCCGACTTTCATTTCGTTGTACAAATCGTTACCTTCTCTTGTTCGCTCTCCTACACCAGCAAACACCTTTGGTATAAATTATTAAACATATAATTATCAATAGACATTTTTGTTTTTCCAGAGAGGAATGCTTTATGCATACTCCGCGCTCCAGGGGGGACGCGGTAGTTATGTGGGATTCTCCTCCATAGCTGAGGCATACCCACTAAACCTCTCTGTTCTTCCAACGCATCGGGACGGGACCACGGGCACGCTTTAGATCTCGTCCGCGAGAGAATTATCAATAGCCATGACTTGTTATAAATCCACGCCAGCTGTTATAGTGACGGTATAAAAAGATTGACATATGTTTAAGTCAAAATGGGTTTGAAACTTTGTGTAATTATTTTATAGTAAGGCCCTATATATGTTATCTCACCGAGAATCCTCCATGAGCCTTGGCAACGTTGTTGATCAGTTCCATAATTAGAACAGTCTTCCCAACGCCCGCTCCACCAAACAATCCGATCTTACCGCCTAATAAAATACAATTTAATATAGGATTATATAATTTTGTTTAGTTCTAAAAGTATAATAAATAATGTTTTTTTCTTAAAAGTGCAAGGAGAAAATATTGGCTCTTGAACTATGTAGTTCAAGAGCCAATGCTACCAAAAATTATAAATGAGTGTCACAATAAACTTTTTATTATTATGTACCTTTAACGTAAGGCGCTAAGAGGTCCACGACCTTAATGCCTGTAACTAGGATTTCTTGTTCGACAGACATTTCGACAAACGGTGGTGCCTCAGCGTGAATTGGTGCAAACTGGTCTGTCTTGATAGGACCACGTTCATCTGTAGTCAGAATGAGCTATACCAAATAGCACATTGATTCCCGAAGTAATTACAGACCCCCAAGTTTAACCGAAGAACCCGTGGTACGATTGTGTCAAGTAAAGTTAAAAGTTCATAAGTTAAACAAAAAATGTTTGGAAATCTCAGAATTAGCGCAATAACTTTACTTTTTACTAATATTATAAATGCGAATGTCTAGATGGATGTTTGTTAGAAGGTTTGTCCAGAACAGCTGCACGGATCTTTATGAAATTTGTCATAGATGTAGAACATAGTCTGGAAGAACAGATAGGCTACTATTTTTTTAAATTCCGTGCGGACGGAGCGAGCGACATTTAGTTTATAATAATGTCAAAGTACTCGTATTGCAGAAAACTAAAATCATACTCCTCATCGTATTTACCAATTGGTTCGCCAATAACATTAATGATCCGTCCTAACGTCGGTTCACCAACGGGTATGGTGATCGGTGCCCCCGTGTCTGTAACGGGCTGACCACGAACCAAACCTTCGGTGCCGTCCATTGCAATTGTCCTGCATGTCCGTTCTCCTAAATGCTGTGCCACTTCTAAGATAAGGCGAGGCTCTGGTAATACAAATGGCATTTTAATAGCTTCATGTCCCTGTACTTATCACATAAAGTAAGCGCACTAGGTCCTTAACAGTGGTAGAGCCCGCTTTAATCAAGCTGCTCGGTGCAATACCTCGACCACACAGAAGACAGGCCTCAAGTGGAAGCAATTCCTCGTTTCGTCTGATGAGTGTGCGTCCCGGAGGCCTAATTTAATCCTCTTTCTCTTCCCAACCTTTTTCTTATAAGGAAAGGATAGGAAGTGGAAGTCGATGCATGGGAAAGAAAATATTTTGTTTCTGTGCATCCTCTCCTCCGTCAATGCAATATTATAAATGCGAAAGTAAGTAACAAAAGAGGTCCAAAAAAAGTAAATCGATATATATATATATATATATATAATTGAACTGATACCGCAGACGATGTCGCGGGTACAGCTACTCAAATAAAATGACACTTACTTCTATTCGGCACTTCCAATGCATTTAAAATTGGTGGTAGATGCGTGTCAAATTGTACATCAACTACAGCGCCAATTACTGCGAAACAATATAACTTAAATTATGAGTTTTATTCACTAACCAGTATACGTGAACTGGCTATAAGCCGTGGTATTTTGTGCCTATTAGATTTTTGTTTTTGTAGCGATGTTTGTGGATTTCGACTAGTGAGGCGTCATTTGATTCATATTCTGTGAGTGTTAGCTCCCTCATAGCTCCCTATACAACTCCACAACAGGGTCTCGGAGCCTGCTATGTGACAAGTCATAGTCGATGCTGGTTCAGTGCGTCACTCATATCTCTGACATTTCAAAGATATGTGCAGCATCACCATGTTTTCCGTAAGAACATAGGATCAATGTACATGTGTATCGAAAGTTCTATGTCTGTCTGTCAAGACCCTTTTTTTCAGGAACGCGTGAACTTATCAAGCTGAAATTTTAATTTACCAATATTACCTGCAATAATTTGTCCTTTAGCACCTGGAATTGATTTCACTGGTAATACTTTACTGTCTTTAGTCTTTGTCACATCGCTTTTCACTGCAGGTTTTTTTTTATCACATGGATCATCTTTCGTTGCCATTAGAACAGCTGACGTCGAGTACTAGATAACCAAGAGTTTGTTTGAGATGTTTAGGGACTGTTACTAAGAGTATCATCATCATCAGCTCACTATATGTCCCCACCGAGGGGCTCGGAGCCTACCCTAAGTTAAGGGTGATTAGGCCATAGTCAACCATGCAGGCCAAGTGCGGGTTGGTTGACTTCACACATATCTTTGAATTTCTTCCCAGATATGTGCAGCATCACGATGTTTTCCTTCACCGTAAGAACATAGGATAAATGTACATATGTATTATAAATCAGAAATGGAAAAACACATTGGTACATGGCGGGATTCGAACCCAGGACCTGCAGATTGCAAGTCAAGTGCTTGACCACTTAGCCACCGACGCTCCCAAGACCAAGAGTATATTGTCAAAGAATTAAATTTCTAACTTAGGATCGAGTAACATTTTCCAAGATATAACCCCATAAGTGTTATAATTTGGTTTGGAAGAATTGACAAATTGATATCTTATTTCTTACTAATATTATAAATGCGAATGTTTCGATGGATGTATGAAGGTATCGCAATTAAATTTTGCACAGATGTAGAACATAGTTTGGAAAGAAAAGCGAAACAACTAGGCGTCCATAGACCACATTTGCAGATGCGTTATTTTTTATGACGGAGGAGAGGACGCACTGATAGAGGATATATCACCTTCCTATACGTCTCTTTCTCCAAATTCCTCTTCTCATATTTTTCTTATAATAGGAAGGGAAAGGAATGGGGTCTTTTTTTCAATAATATTTCCTAAACTCAATGTCCCTGTAAAGGACCGAAGGGCGTCCAACTGGTCGCAGTATTTATTTTGAAATTACGAACTTACATTTAAGTTAGGAATTTTCAATTGAGCGCAAGCACCGATCTTAGCCATCCGTGATCTCTTTTTCTCTTGTTGCGTTTCGTCCATTTTTTCATATTTCTTTAAGACAATCTTCCGAACACTAGATGGCGCTGTTCTTAAAACTTTCGTTTTGGGCATTTCAACGGATTTTAATTTCGAATTTTCATTATTTGCGGTTGCTAAACCAATATTGATACTTATACGTCTACATTGAGAAGATGGTCTGTAGTGAAAGTTATCTGTTGAATTAAAAAAAAACACATTCAACACGTCTTTAAATCTTTCGTGAGACATTATAATAAACTTACATAAAAACGGCTAAACATTCACGTATATTCGTCCGGTGGCGACACAGACTAAGTGAGCAGGAGGCCGCGTCCGCGAAATAATACGTCCCACTCACCCTGATGAAGGGCGCCGATGGACTCGAAAGTAGTCGGTGCCGCCACCGGACGAATATACGTCAATGTTTAGCCGTTTTTATATAAGTTTAACATAAGCCATGGTCTATGCACAGCAAGGGACTACCTTGTAAACATGTTTGGTTTGGACATGTTATGCGGACAGAAGATATAAACAAAAAAGTAATGAGATTGAATGAATGGCTACAAAGGTAGAGGAAAACCAAACAAAGTATTGTGTGAAAGAAGATATGCGTAAGACGTGGATTCAGATATGACGGCTGATTGAGATGTATGGAGTTCATACTGTGTCTACCCTCTGTGGGGATTAGGGGTTGAATATATTTGAACTTACTTGGTAATACAAATAACTTATTAAAGTTAGGAATAACTTTCATTTTAATATAACTTCAATAAAACTTATTATTTGATGTTAACGAATTACGCACTGTCGATGTCAAATTTTAAATTTTTCATAAATTGTGTAACCATGAAGGTTATTTGCATGTAAATTTTCACTGGTACGAAATAATAAATAATACATTTTTATCAACAACTAGCTGTCGCCCGCGGCTCCGTCCGCGTGGGTATAAAAAAAACTTAATTAGTGTAGCTTATGTGTTCTTTCAGACTATGTTCTATATGTAGGCCAAATTTAATTGAGATCCGTTCAGCCGTACTAGAGATATCTTCAAACACCCATCCATCCACATGGATGTGAATCCATCTAAACATTTGCATTTATAACATTAGTAACAAATAAAAAGCAGCTCTTCAAGGCCTAAATTGGAAAAAAAATGAATAAATAGCATCGTATGTCCGTCTCCTGGCTCTAAGCTACCTCATCAATTTTCAGGCATATCGGTAAAGCCGTTCTTGAGTTACAAATAATGTAACTAACACGACTTTCCTTTATATATATAGGATCGTGCCAAGTGGTGCCCTGATCTCAACACCTCTATGTGCTACAGGCGTTAGATTATACCAATGTTTAAATCAATACTTAAACAGTGCCATAAAAATCACACTACGAACGTGGGTGTTACTTGTATTTAAAGGGGCAAAGGGTTAATTGTTCCAACACGTGTTGTCTCCCACGCCACCCCCACACCAGGTACCAGCCGTACAAATAATTGTTTTATAATTAGCCATATCTTCACTATTAATGATGATTACACGATGTAATTACAGTTGAAATCGTTTAAAAGATAGACCTTATTTCCAACGGTGATGTTTGCATCATCAGCTCACTAACACCGGGCGATGTAGACTTTATTTAATAGATTCTTTTTAATTCTGCTACAAAATCTCGGGCAACTGCTATTAGGTTATTTTTATATCATAAGGTGTCAAACGAGTTGCCTGAAATCGCTGAAATAGCGAAGTGACCGTTGCATATAGACACGCAATTGCATATGCGTTGCCTTTAATCGACGGAGTGGATGCACAGAAAGAGAATAACTACAGAGAGGGCTAAAATTAGGCCTCTGGGACGCACACTCATCAGACTGTAGTTGGAAATGCATCCACTTGACGCCTGTCTCCTGTGTGGTCGTGGTATTACAGCGTACTAGGCAATTCGTGCTAAGATGTTAAAGCTCTACCACTGTTTTTTTTTTTTTATATCATAAGTTGACAAACGAGCGAGCGGCCACCTGAAATCGCTGAAGTAGCGAAGTGATCGTTGCCCATAGACATACGCAATTGCATATGCGTTGCCTACCTTTAATCGACGGAGGAGAGGATGCACAAAAAGAAAATATTTTCCCTTTCCATGCATCCTCTCATCCGGAAAGTCCACTTCCACTTCCCATCCTTCCCTTTTAAGAAAAGGGTGGGAAGGGAAAGAGGACTAAATTAGGCCTCCGGGACGCACACTCATCAGACGAAACGCGGAATTTCTTCCACTTCACGTCTGACTTCTGTGTGGTCGTGGTATTTCACCTGGTGAGCCGGGCCAATTCGTGCGAAGATGTTAAAGCGGGCTCTACCACTGTTACCTATCTTTGGAAAAAAACAAAGAGAAAAGAAATAAGGTAGAGGTTGGATACATCCATGTAAAATGGAATACCTATATAATGGTTATATAATGACATTTTAAAGATGGCCGGTAATAAAATGATAGGTTATAAAGCATTGGATTGGAAGGTACACGCGACTCTGGTTCAGTATTTATTGAGTAGGAGGTGATGGATTTTATAAGACATAGAAAAGTGTTGAGTCGATTGATATTGTTTTATTAGAAATCAAATGTTAAATGCCTTAGTAATATTATAAATGTGAATGTTTAGATGGATCTCGATCTTAGTCTATCTCGAACATAGTCTGGAAGAACACATCGGTTACTTATTAACTTTTTTTTTAAATCTGCACGTACGGAGTCGCGGCCGACAGCTAGTATTAACTTAAACTGCTACTTGAGAGAGATTTTTATAAACAGAAATAATTTAATTTAAAAATCTGCACGTGTCTCTTGCAAAAATCCAAATAAATGACACTCCTGTTTTTATTTATTTACTAGCTGTCGCCCGCGACTCCGTCTTAATAAGTAGCCTATGTGTTCTTCTAGATCTATGACTATATGTTCTAGATCTATGACAAATTTTATCGAGATTAGTTAAGCTATTTTGGAGATACCTTCAAACAAACATACATCATAACATCTAAACATTCGCATTTATAATATTAGCAAAATCAAATATCTATATATATTAAGATGAATAGATGGATGGATGTTTGTTTGTAGGTATCTCCGGAACAACTCAACGGATCTCGATGAAATTTGTGATAGATGTATAACATAGTCTGGAAGAACACATAGGCTACTAATTAAGATTGTTGTAAAGTTGCGGGCGACATCTAGTTAATTATATAAACATTATGAAAAACACAATAGTTTTCTCTGTTCGTATTATTTGAACGTTCATAATGTGTTCTGTTCGCTTCACCACACGCGTCAATTGTTAAGGCGCTACGTGAGGTTCTTTACACTTTTCGTTCTTTGTTAAAGTAAATATTTAACTTTACAATAATTGTTATAAAAGTTAAAAATGTGTATATTAGAGGAAGTTTGAAAGTAGCGCCAGTGATCGAGAAACTGAGGAGTAAAAGATTAGCGTGGTTTAAACATGTTATGAGGAGAGATGATGATGATATAAGCAAAAAAGTAATGAGATTGAATGTGGATGGCTACAAAGGTAGAGGAAGACCAAAAAAAGTATGGAATGACTGTGTGAAAGAGGATATGCGTAAGAAGGGGGTAGACTCGGATATGACGGCTGATAGAGATGTATGGAGGAGTAGTACATACTGTGCCGACCCTCGATAGGGATAAGGGCAGGTTGATGATGACAATAATTGTTTAAAAAAAAACAAACAATTAACTATCGTATTCTATAAAAGATCGTAGTATCTTTATGGAAAAGATTTTATGATTTTTACGGTTCCGTCCATCATATGGAAAAAACGGAGTCCTTATAGGATCACTTTGTTGTCCGTCCGTCTTTCTGCGCTAACGGACTCGTTGGCGACAGCTAGTAGACATTAAAAGGAGAAGTATCTAAGATTAGTATCTAGAATGGCTTTCTGTTGTTATTCTTTAAAAAAATACACATAAATAGAAAAAGAGGTCTGATAATTGAATTAAAATCCTCAAATGTCAAAGTACTGTCCAGTAACGCGCGGACATAGTCGCGGGCATAGCTAGTTTATATTAGTAAGATTATAAAGATCGTCAGCAATCTATACTTAATATTATAAAGCGGAAGAGTTTGTTTAAACGCGCTAATCTCAGGAACTACTGGTCTGATTTGAAATTTTTTTTTTCTTGTATAGTCCATTTTAAGAGCAAGGCTTTAAGCTATATAACATTACGCAGCGACCAATAGTTTTTTTTTTAATTTCGCGCGGACGGAGTCGCGTGCGACAGCTAGTAGTAATATATACAGTGAAGTGTAAAAGAGTTTAATCGCAGATATAGCACGATATAAGACTAATACCACTTCATTAACTATTCAACTCTCATTGTTATACTACGAAGCAATGCTTCTCAAACTTTCAGAACATTAAAAAGGAACAAACTACTAGCGTTTGCCCGCGAATCAATTCGTGTGGAGTTAAAAACTTTTTTTTTTATATCATAAGGTGGCAAACGAGCGAGCCACCTGAAATCGCTGAAATAGCGAAGTGAGCGTTGCCCATAGACATACACAATTGCATATGCGTTGCCTACCTTAAATCAACGGAGGAGAGGATGCACAGAAAGAAATATTTTCTCTTTCCATGGATCCTCTCATCCGGAAAGTCCACTTCCACTTCCCAACCCTTCCTCATAAGAAAAAGGATGGGAAGGGAAAGAGGACTAAATTAGGCCTCCGGGACGCACACTCATCACACGAAACGCGGAATTGCTTCCACTTGACGCCTGTCTTCTGTGTGGTCGTGGTATTTACTTAGTTAAATCTATGTGTCATTCCACACTGTGGTATATATCTGTACAAAATGTCATCCCGATCAATGCAGCCGTTCTGGAGATACCTTAAAACAAACATCCATCTAAACATTCGCATTTATAATATTAGTAAGGAGAGCTGTCGCCCGCGACACTGTCCGCGCGTAATACATAAAAACATATATGAAAAAGTTCAAAGAGATACCTTCTAATAAATATTCATCCATACATCCAAACATTGACGTTTTTTATATTAGTAAAACATTATGATAGATAAAATGTTTGACGTCTAATCGAAAATCAAATTATCAAATGTCATTTTGTACAGTAAAAGAAAAACAAATTATAACCTTAAAAATCTTCATCAAAGTTTGAGCAACACTGACCTGTGTCATAAGCGCGATACGACGGCATGGAAAACTCACAGGCGTGGCGTGCTCCGTCCAATCGTAGTGTAGAAAATTACCTAATAATTACCGCTCTAACCAATGGAAAAGCTGAGGAAAATTACATAAAATAGTACAGTACTTTTCTTTGTGGAATAATCGCGGTGTTACAGAACGCGCGGTCGCGTGCGCGCGCTTTTTGTTATCTGTACACACTATAATCGATGGCTGAAAAAAGAAATTAAATAAAAACTTTTTAATTACACTTAATGGCATTGCTAACAAAGAAAAGTCAATTTCTTTAACTAACCTAATTTTAAAAATAAAATTAAAAGCAAACGCGTGAACAGAACTTGTAAAACAAATTAAATTATCTTTCAAATAAAAATGGAATTATTTTAAGTGGCATAAAATAGTATAAACTATTATTTTAAAAAAATACGCTGTTGTTAATTGCAAGTCATTTGAACCTCTTTTTTAAATTTTAAATTTCAAAAATGTGTTTCTACATTTAAAAAATCATAAATAAACAAATAGTACTTAAAAACATTTATATTATGCATTTAGCAATTTAAATATTAATAAAGTGACAGATAAAAAAGGCGCAATGGATTCTAACGTTCCGTTATACGATTTGGAATCCATGTCATGCACGGCACAACATAGCAGTGCATTAGCAGCTCTTCGTCTACTTAGAAGTTACAACCACTTTCTAGTACCTCCAGGTAAGTATTTTTAACAGTATTAAGAAAATATATCAGAACACAAGATACGCCTTCATAGCGAAGTTATTCCAATTTACTTCTATTGATTTTGTATGCTAGAGGATATTTTATTTTGTTCCTTTTGCCCGTCGATTCCGTCCGTACGGTATTAAAAAACTTAATTAGTAGCTTATGCGTTTGACTATGTTCTACATCCATGCGAAATTTCAGCGAAATCTCAATAGTCGTTCTGGGGATATCTTCAAAAAAATTTTAACAGTGGTAGAGCCCGCTTTAACATCTCCGCACGAATTGTCCCGTCTCTCCCAGTGAAATACCACGACCACAAAGAAGACACGCGTTGAGTGGAAGCTATTCCGCGTAAAATCTGATGAGTGTGTGTCCCTAATTTAATCCTCTTTCCCTTCCCACCCTTTTTCATTTAGGAAAAGGACTGTTTTGTCGGCGTAGTCTACAAACTTACTTCTTCATACGTATTAAAAGATATTGTTAGTTTTAAGAAGGGGATAGTTGTTTGTTTTTAATTACTTTCATTTATTCGTTATTTCATTACATTTTAAGTCGTATTTAAAAAGAAGGAGTCTTGTTCTTGCTGTATTGATGAATTCATGTGGTCGCTTACTCGTTTGCCATCTTATTTAAAAAAAAAAACTTCACGCGTTCTTTTGCATGAGAACATTCTCTCTTAATATATCGATTGAATAGTTTAGATGGATGTTTGTTATATCTCCAGAACAGCTACACGGATCTCGCTGAAAGGTACACAGTCTGGCAGAACGCATAGACTACTATTTTTTATCATAACGTTGGATGGAGTTGCGTCCAAATGCTGGTAAAAATATATTTGAATAATAAACAATACAGTTAAATATTTGTCAAATACAAACCTCAATTAGTTAGTTTGCCCAACCGTTTAGTGGGTGTAGGGCCTAGGGCGCGTGGCAACGATCAAGGGGCGATCCATCCATATATTATTCATGTTTTACCCATTAGAGTAACCAAGAATTTTTCGATTAGGGTCCAGTATTTTTAAGGGTTATTTGGGTGAATTGGTTATCGCGAAAAAAAGTATGAAAAGAATCATCATAATTTAAGCCCTTCTAGAGGTTTAAACCGATTTCAAAACGGAGCAGGATCTCAATTCGTCTGTATTTTTTTGTTCGTCGATAGCTTCGCCTCTAGTGGTCAGATTTTTAATTATTTATTTAATTATTTTTTATTCGATATGTGCTGCGTGTCATTTGGTCCCATTGAAACATTAAAAACTATTTATTATATAATATATAAAAGAAAGTCGTGTCAGTTACACTATTTATAACTCAAGAACGGCTATACCGATACGCCTCAAAATTGTTGAGGAGGTAGCTTAGAGCATGGAGACGGACATAGGATACTAATTTTTTATTTTTTTTTATATATTCACGCGGATGGAGTCGCGGGCGACAGCTAGTAAATATATAACTTTAGAATACTTTCAAAACCTATCAAGTTTATATTTGTAAAAGTTTGATTATACAAACACCTGGTCGTGGGAGTTACCATGTGCTTGATCGACTACTCACCCCACAATGATAGTACGAAGGATAATGATGTACCATTGTGTAGTTCACGACCCCAATGTACACCTGCCTTAGTAAATCTTCGTCAAAATAAATATTTGAAAAAAAAAGACTCATTAAAAAACCTAATTTGGGATCGAAATTTGACTTATCAATATTTTTCTAGCCTACATCTATAGTGTGATAGATTGGATTTTCGATTTGCATATGTACATTTATCCGACGTTCTTACGGTGAAGGAAAACATCGTGATGCTGCACATATCTGAGAAGAAATTCAAATATATGTGTGAAGTCAACCCGCACTTGACCAGCGTGGTAGACTATGGCCTAATCACCCTTAACTTAGGGTAGGCTCCGAGCCCCACGGTGGGGACATATAGTGAGCTGATGATGATGAGGATTAGTGTTGTACTTAGCAGATTGCCATAGTGTCGGAGTGTACGCGCATTTTGAATAACTGTTAACTATCGAGAATCGATTTTGTAATAAAATTAATCCAACAAATGTGTACTATAATTCAGGTATTTTATATACTTTTTGAATTTATTGCAGTTATTTGACTATTTCAAGCACAATAATTTAAAAAAAAACTTTTTTTTACGTCAACACCAAATTTTTGTTTTAATATCTCATTTCTTTATGTTGTTATAAAGGATAAAGTAGGAATAGAAGGAAACAATTTTATTTATATTGTAATTCTAAATCAAAATTTTCGATTGCAAATTCTATGAGAACGGACATCGATAATATTAAGATATTTATCGATTTTACTCAACCCATATCTAGTGAATTGTCAAACTAATCTATCTTAAACAGATACACTATAAGGTCGGTGTTGTCAAGAAAACAAACGAAAAAAGATTTAATATTTCGTTCAGCTTTCTCTCTAAAAGTAAACATGTCAGCTTTCACGAAACTTTCTGACTCACACAGCCGTGTGGTCTGTCCTCGGCAGTTTTTTTTTATATCATAAGGTGGCAAACGAGCGAGAGGCCACATGACATCGCCGAAGCAAAGCAACCGTTGCCCATAGACATATGCAATTGCATGCGTTGCTTACCTTTAATCAAAGGAGGATAAAAATGCACAGAAAGATAAAATTTCATAATAAGAAAATGTGGGAAAGAAAAGGGGACTAAAATTAGGCCACCGTGGTAGTTGGAATTGCTTCAACTTGAGTCCTGTCTTCTGTATGGCGAGGCACAGAGTGCTACGTATGTTATTGACGTCTACCAATGTCTGTATCTTGTTTGCAGATGTCCATGGAGTTGTTCCACTACTAGCATCTCTGCCGCAGACTCCCTGTCTGCCGGCGTACTGTCAGCATCTACCAGTCAGAACACCGCGTATGTATTGCTAATATTGAGTCTATAAATGGATGTTTTTTTTTTTGTAATACTAATATTTCTTTTACCATTCCAACTAAGTTCTATGCTTGTGCTAGGATATGGTTTACGACAATAGTCGAATGTCGGGATTCGAAACCCCGACCTCGTGATCGGAAATCCGTACCCTTAACCATTAGGCTATTGACGCTTGAAATAGCGAAGAAATGACAGGTTTTACATCGTTCAGACTTAAAAGCGTTTGCGGGGAAAGGCGAAGCGATTCAATAACTTCAAAAATATATAGAACTGACAATTACTTTTGATAAGTCACATAATTGTCGCGTGTCAATTACGTAAATTAGGCAAATTAAAAAACGTCTCGTTTGTAATTTACCTAATTTCCCGATTTTCCAGTGACATGTTTACTTTTTTAGTTCTATCACCAGCAAGTTTGTCTGACGTCGAAATCAGAAGACGTGGTGAGAAGAGGCCTATTCCTGCGGAACTCAAAGATGAGAAATACTTCGAAAGAAGACGACGCAACAACCAAGCTGCGAAAAAATCGAGAGACGCTAGAAGAGTTAGGGAAGATCAGGTGAGATACAAGACAGGACTTTATTTTCCCTACTTATACGGCTTAAAAGTGTAAAGCTAGAAAGTCAGAGTGTCGGTGGCTTATGAGTTAAGCAAACTTGCAATCTGTAGGTCTTGGGTTCGAATCCCGTCATGTACCAATGTTTTTTCCATATGTACATTTATCTTACAATCTTACGGTGAAGGAAAACATCGTGATGCTGCACATATCTGTGAAAGTCAAAGATATGTATGAAGTGGCGCACTGGACTAGCATTCACTATGACCTAGTCCTAGCTAGACCTCGGCTCAAATCAGGGTCTTATTAAACATATTGGGGTGCCACAATCATTCAATTCCTCCAAAGCAATGCGCCGGGTGCCCTGAAGGCCTTACCTATTATTTCTTATCATTGTTTTACAGATAGCATGGCGTGCTTGCTACCTAGAACAAGAGAATGCATCTCTACGCGCGCACGTCGCCGCTCTCCGTCAGGAGGCGCTAGCGTTGCGCGCGCTTTTGTCACAACCTGCGCACGCGCATTGCGTACTGGACACCTCACCTCAAGAAACTCGTATTCATAGTCATTCGTGTACACTAGACTCACAGGGCGCACCTACTTCAACTACGGCTGATTAATTACATCTTAATACAATTAAATCTGGATTAGCGAGAATTAGTAAACAGGAAATCTCTAGAAAGGTTAACTTAGACAGCTTCAGAGTGAGACAAAAGTATGGAAAATACTTTTTTTAATGTCATAAGTTGGCAAACGAGCGAGCGGCCACCTGAAATAGCGAAGTGACCGTTGCCCATAGACATACGCAATTGCATATGCGTTGCCTACCTTTAATCGACGGACGAGAGGATGCACAGAAAGAAAAAAATTTCCCTTCCCATGTATCTCTCTTCCGGAAAGTTACTTCTACTTCCCATCCTTTCCTTATAAGAAAAAGGGTGGGAAGGGAAAGAGGACTAAATTAGGCCTCCGGGACGCAAACTCATCAGACGAAACGCGGAATTTCTTCCACTTGACGCCTGTCTTCTGTGTGGTCGTGGTATTTCACAGGGAGAGCCGGACCAATTCGTGCGAAGATGTTAAAGCGGGCTCTACCACTGTTAAAATTTGGGTTCCGTACCTCATAGGAAAAAAACGGAACTCTTATAGGATCACTTTGTTTTTTATTATGTCTAAGTGAACCTTAATATTTTTATGTGATTTAGAATGTTTTTAACATAAATGCACTACTTTCTAATTGTACAAGGTGACCACCGTGATCGTTATTTAACTAACAATGTGTTTCCGAGATCGAAATGCCCGTTTAAAGCGATGACGATATATTTTATACAAATATTTTGGTAAACTGATATATAAACAAGGCTAAACACGATGTGAGCTGAGGGCCGCGTCCGCGAAATAATACCAGTACCACTCATCCTGATGAAGGGCCCCCGATGGGCTCGAAACTAGTCGGTGCCGCCACCGGACGAATATAAGTGAGTGTTTAGCCGTGTTTATATTATATATCAGTTTAGTATGTCACACGAAAGTTTGAATAATTTAAATATTTTGGTCTCAGAAACTTAAACCGTTATCTTAAAATGTTATCAACACTACGACACTACTGTAAATTGAATTTGATTCTCGTTATTAACTGTTTTACGAGAAATTTTAGACACTATGAAAATATATAAAATAAATATGTTTGAAATGAACTGTGTTTTATTACATAAGTATGTTTGAACTTTTAAATACACTCTAAAGACTTAATTACTTCAGATTTATATATGTAACTAGCAGTTGCCCGCGACTCCGTCTGCGCGGTATTAAATGTGAGTAGCCTATGTGTTCTTCCAGAATCTATATATATAGCCGGTGTACTGGCGCAACACTAACCTTACTAAACTGTCAACATTTATGTCCCCTCACTAATCATTCTGACACTTGGTAACGAAAGCGCGTCATTCGCGACAAACGATTCTAATTAATAATGTCTAAAAAAAGTAAAAAAATAATATCATGAATAGCCTTGAAAGTAACAAAGTTCTCTTCTTTTAGAGTCCATGTTGGGATGGTAGATTCTAAATCAAACTTAAACTAAGATTAATTTCCAACCATTTCTTCCTAAAACCCAGAATTTATCACCTTTTAGAAGTCGACTATAAATACAAAATTGTATAAATAGAATTTGTAGTACGAAAAAAATAAAAAACTTTTATTTTATTTTTTTGTAAAAAAAATCTTTATTCAATGAGTATAGGTGTCCTGACCGAAGCCGAGTTCCGCCATCTTGGAATCAATCCAAGGCCGGAGCGCGCCAACATCGGCGTAAACAGCTGGCACCTCATCACCACAACCAAGACCCCACGCGACCATACCTGATGCGGTGTACCTACCAACCTGACCCTGGACACAAAAGTTCATCATCAGCTTAGACAGTCGCCACTAAGAGGCTCAGAGCCTACCTTAAGGTAAGAGTAACGAATACATCATCATTATCAAAGATTTTGCTTGCGTTGTGTAAGAAGGGCCTTAATCTATTATAGATGTTTATAGATAGTCAGAAATCAGATCTCGTTAGGGACTTTTTTTAGTAAAAATCTGGAAAAAAACAAAATTATTTTTTAAAACCTTACCTCCACAGGGCACATCAGAGGTGAACCACCGTCTCCAGTACACGTATCCTTGTTTAGTTCTCCTCCCGCGCACATAAACGAACTATGCAGTCTAAATAAAGGCCCTAATCTAGTCTTACGAAGTTCCCTTTGACATTTACTTCTGTCTATAACTGGGATTTCCACCTGAAAAATGTAACTGTTATCTTATCTTACTTATATTATAAATGTGAATGTTTGGATGGATGGATGTTTGAAGGTATCACAGGAACGGCTGAACGGATCGCGCTAAAATTTGTCATAGATATAGAACATAGTCTGGAAGAACACATAGCCTACTTATTAAGTTTCTTTTTAATTCCGCGCGGACGGAGTCGCAGGTGAAAGCTCCGATGGATAGACGGCGTTAATAAGGACGCAAAAATAGTGGGCATAGCAAACTGGAAGTCCGTGGCCAGAGATAGACCGAGGTGGAAAAAATTGCTGGACCAAGCCAAGGCCCACAAAGGGCTGTAGAGCTAGAAGAAGAAGAAGAAGGAGTCGCAGGTGATAACTAGATAGGTTCTATCATTAAGAGAATTTACTTGCAAACATACATACATACAAAACTTCCATATAGATTAAAAACATTTATTTCAGTTTGGTAAAAAAAAAACTACAAATCTGTTGCTTGTCACATGTGAAGTATCCAATAAAATTTTACATCTACCCTCTTCAATCTACCCTCAGTTTTAAAATACAGTCAACATTAAGTTTAATAAATATAATAGCTAGATTAAAACAAATTAAAACGTACTTAAGAATTAACTAAAAAATATATTAAAAACAGTCCCTTTATTCAGAAGAAACTGGCAGCGTATTACCTTTGAATAACTATTTCTTTGTCCTAAGTTGCTGCCAGCTCTTTATTCTCCTGTGATGTCGACTAACTTTTTTATATTTAAAAAGCCTTATAGAGCTAGGACCCCGTGGAGCAAGGGTCTCGGCACCAAATGGGACAATTTCCCATTTTTGTCCCATTCGAATGTTAAATGTACCCACCTTTTTAAGTACTGTTTGATAAGCGCCTGCTTTACCGAATTGTTTCTTTCCCCAGCCAGCAGAGAAACATCTGGTGCCGTCAACAACTCGCCTACCAGCGGGTGGCAGGCAAATAGGTTTCACATTTAGAACAAAATCTAAAGGCTTATCTAGTACTAAAAGGGCTACATCATTGAATAAGTTGGCTGTAAGAAAAAACAAAGTTTCTTTGATTTTCTATCAAGGGAGGATATGCTTATGGGAGTAAATTCAGTTTGATATATTCTGCGTGGTTAGACAAAATGCACTCGCTTCTAAGGGATTCCATAAGTAACTTCAAAATTGTGTGGAAACACGTGACTTATCGAAAGTTATGGTCAATTCTATACATTCTTAAAGTTCGTTATGGAATCGCTACGAAGCGAATGCATTTTGTCTAAACCACTGGTGTCTAAAAGTTTTTCTTTTGGTCGACTGAAATGCATCTTTTGATATTACTGACTAAATTCTATCTCAATTATTAGTTCAGATCTTTACGTCAGCGCTAAAATGGCGATAATCATATAGGCACAAAAAAAGAACAACTTATAGCCTGTCCAACTAAAAAGGTCAGTGACTAGAGGTCTGTAGAGGTCAGTGCACACATTTCTATATAAATTTATGCATTTTTTGCCTTTTTCAAGCGTTGCATTACAGATTTTTAATACTATAACAAATTATAACGAAAAAAAGAAAGCATTTACATCTTACTAATATTATAAATGCAAATGTTTGGATATTAGTTTGAATGTATCTCCAGAACGTTTGAACGGATCTTGATGAAATTTGGCATACATATAGAATATTGTTTAAAGAAAACATAGGCTACTAATTATGGTTTTTATGTCAGGTCATCGACAGGTAGTGTAGTGTAAGCATAAACGTAGTGTTGTTTGTCTCGAGCGAACACGTCATAAGTACATGCCGCAGTGAGGGGGCGTCAGTCGATGTTAGACCTTTGGACCGGTAGCACGTGTCGAACGAGACAAATATAACGCAACGAATGCTACAAGTAGGTTTCAGTTGAATGTTACTCACATCTCGTAGTATTAAAAAGTTCATGAACAATTACTCTCTCAACATTCCTGTCTTGATATGGTAGGACTTCGTCTTCAGACGTTGTATTCCATTCACCGGCACGAGCGCGAAGTTTTATATTCTTTTGGTAAACATTGTGTGCGGTAGTAATTACTACCCTAGGATGTATCACTGAGCCTCCGCAAGTGTATAGATACATCTTACTACCTTCAGGCTTTTCAGGATTCACAGGCACTACCCTATATAATAAATTAATTTACTAAACCGATATAAGAACGGGTAAACACTCACGTATATTCGTCCGGTGGTACCGACTAGTTTCGAGCCCATCGGAGGCCCTTTATCAAGATGAGTGGTACTGGTATGGGCCCCCGATGGGCTCGAAACTAGTCGGTGCCACCGGACGAATATACGTGAGTGTTTAGCCGTTTTTATATCAGTTTAGTATGTCTCACGAAAGTTTAAATAATTTAATATACTAAAATAAGTAATTTAATTATATACTCTTTTATAAGCTTTTGCTTTTGTATGCTTAATGGAGTTAATTTAGTTAGTCTCGCTAAAACTCGAAAACTGAACGGATTTATCTTATCTTGGTCTTGAAATGTTAGTGGAGGTCTAGGGAAGGTTAAAAAGGTGAGAAAAATTAACGGAAACTATTTAACATTCCACGCGGACAGATTCCCGGGCGATGGCTAGTTAATTAAAAATATATGTTGAATATTCACTTACTTGAGTACAGCAACTATCCAAGGGAACTCGGCAAATTCAGTCCGATCACTATTCGAACGGATCTGTGTGTCATCGCCGTTACGCCAACCGCATCCAGTTTTCTATAAAATTATTTTTTTGTTAAGTCCGAACCCAGTAATTGATAGATTGAGTAAAGTCGGGGCAAACAGCTAGTTCCGCGCGCATTAAAAAAAAACTTAATTAGCAATCTATGTGTTTTACCAGACTATGCTTTTCATTAAGATCCGTCAACCGTCCTAAAGATACCTCATAGTGTACGTGTAGGCCTAATTTAGTCCTCTTTCCCTTCCCACCCTTTTTCTTATAAGGAAAGGATGGGAAGTACAAGTGGACTTTCCGGAAAAGAAGATATTTTCTTTCTGGGCATCCTCTCCGTTGATTGTAGGCAACGCATATGTAATTGCGTATGTCTATAGGCAATGGTCACTTCGCTATTTCAGCGATTTCAGGTGGCTCGCTCGTTTGCCTCCCTATTATATAAAAAAACCTCATAACAAACATCCCTCCATCCATCTAAACTTTCACATTTATATTAGTAAGAAGTAAGATTTGTCTGTCTGTTCGCATGTCTGCGTGTGTTTCGCGTAAACTCCGAAACCGCTAGACCGATTTTGTCCGGGCTTTTAATAGTAAGTAGCTGAAGTATGAGAAAGTAACAAAGGTTATTTTTACTTGACAATTATTTATAAATATAATTACCACATCAGTTTCAACTCCGGTCAATATGTCATTAACATCACAACAAATTTCATCAGATCGAATACAAAGGCCTCTATCACTGAAACATAAATGAGTTACATAGAAGACTTAACCGACCCATGTGAACGCAAACTACCACGACGCTGTTTGCCTTCAAGAGATTTAGAGGGTCTAAGTGACCCAAGTTCAACAGTGGTAGAGCCCGCTTTAACGTGTTCGCACAAATTAACCCGGTTCGCCCGGTGATATACCACGACCACACAGAAGACAGGCGTGAAGTGGAAGTAATTCCGCATTTCGTCTGATGAGTGTGCGTCCCGGATGCCTAATTTAGTCCTCTTTCCCTTCCCATCCTTTTCTTATAAAGAAAAGGATGTGAAGTGGAAGTGGACCGGATGAGAGGATGCATAGGAAGGGAAGACATTTTCTTTCTGTGCATCCTCTCCTCTGTTGATTAAAGGTAGGCAACGCATTCTATTGCGTATGTCTATGGGCTGTCACTTCGCTATTTCAGCGATGTCAGGTGGCCGCTCGCTTGTTTGCCACCTTATGATATAAAAAAAAATAGGCACAAAATATTACGTCGTATAGCGAGTCCATTTATGTCAGAGTTTGATTGTGCATAGTTTCTGTAGCTTATTCTTACCTTTTCCTTAGCGGTGAGAGTCTTTTCTTGCAACCCGAAGGTATGGTGCACCTACCTGCTTTGCCATCAGCCGTGTCGCAATGGGATATGCTTGTCATTAGAACTGAAATTAAAAAGAAAATAATAATAGCCTATGTATTCTTTCAGACTATATTGTACATGCATCCATCACAACATTCGCATTTATAATATTAGTAATTTTAGACATTATTAGTTAGCTTTGGCGCGAATGACGTGCTTTCGTTACAAAGTCAAGTGTCAGATTAGTGAGGGGACATAAACGTTGACATTTTAATAAGGCTAGTGTTGCGACACACCGGCACACTATCGGATTTTATTCCTAACAGTAAGAAGTAAGATTAGGAAAATCCTATCTGCGAATTCTTTTATATTTTTTTAACAGAAGGGGGCAAAGGAGCAGCGGGAACACCGAGGTGTTCAACGACGCCCATGGACATCAGCAATACCAGAGGAACGGCAGATGCGTTGCCGGCTTTGAGGTGGTGATAAGCTCGCTTCTTGAAGGACCTTCTTATATTATTATTCTCAACATACCATCTTCTTCTTTTTGAATTGGACTTGGTACAGTTGTAGATGGAGGACCAGATATGTTGGTTGTTGGTGCTGTTCCGAATATCTGTTGAAGTAGGGTTGCTAGATCCTCGTCCGTATCTGCAATATTAACAAGTTAAACACCAAAGTTAATCATCAGCTCTATAGGTCCCTACTGAGAGTGTCGGAGCTGGCCAAGTGCGTCACTTCACACATATCTTTGACATTTGAAGCGTCAAGAGCCTAATGGTTAAGGGTGCGGATTTCCGATCACGAGGTCGAGGGTTCAAATCCCGCCTTTCGACTATTGTAAAACATATCCTAGCTCAAGCCTAGAGCTTAGTTGGAATGGTACAAGAAATAATAGTAAATTCACGAAAATCTGCTAATATTTAAAAAAAAGATACGTGCAGCATCACGATGTTTTCTTTTACAGTAAGAATGTCGGATAAATGTATTTATGTTTGGTAAAACATATTGGTACATATCAGGATTCGAAACCAGGACCTTCAGATTACAAGTGCTTAACTCCTGGGCCACTGATGCTGTAGGAAAGTTGTGTGAAAGAAGTTATGCATAAGATTAGGTGGCAAACGAGCATCACTATAGGTCCCCACTGAGGGTCTAACCTACCCTAAGTTAGGACAAGGTCATAGTGAATGCTGGCCCAGTGTCCCACTTCAGACATTATATTTAACATTCACAGATATGTGCAGGTTTAATTTAAGTAAGTGACCAAATTTAATTAAATTGCTTAGTAAAGAATTAAGTACCTTTTACTTGTGCTTGACATAGGCCAAATAAGAAGATAAGAAATGCAACATTGGCCATCTGTAAAAAGAAAATATAAAATAATTATAAAAAAAAATAATAAGCGTATGTGTTCTTCCAGACTATGTTCTACATCTATGACAATTCAGCGAGATCCGTACAGCTGTTCAGGAGATACCTTCTAACAAACATCCATCTAAACATTCGCATTTATAATATTAGTAAAGTCGTTGATACAATGGAAATTACATACAAACTGAAATACGCGCATAAAACCCCTATTATTCATTTGGTCAAAAAACCCATAGTTTCATTTCTCTGTGATTACACACAGTACTGCACGTAATAAATGCTAGCTGTCGCCCGCAACTCCGTCCGCGCGGAATTTAAAAAACCTAATAAGTAGTCTATGTGTTCTTCCAGACTATGTTCTATATGTATGACAAATTTTATAGAAATCCGTTGAGCCGTTCTTGAGATACATTCAAACAAACATCCATCTAAACATTCGCATTTATAATATACTAGCTGTCAGCCGTGACTCCGTCCGCGTGCAATAAAAAAAAACTTAGTAGTCTATGTGTTCTTCCCGACTATGTTCTATATGTATGACAAATTTTATAGAAATCCGTTGAGCCGTTCTTGAGATACATTCAAACAAACATCCATCTAAACATTCGCATTTATAATATACTAGCTGTCAGCCGTGACTCCGTCCGCGTGCAATAAAAAAAAACTTAGTAGTCTATGTGTTCTTCCAGACTATGTTCTATATGTATGACAAATTTTATAGAAAACCGTTGAGCCGTTCTTGAGATACATTCAAACAAACATCCATCTAAACATTCGCATTTATAATATACTAGCTGTCAGCCGTGACTCCGTCCGCGTGCAATAAAAAAAAACTTAGTAGTCTGTGTCCTTCCAGACTATGTTCTATATGTATGACAAATTTCATAGAAAACCGTTGAGCCGTTCTAGAGATAACTTCAAACAAACATCACAAATATTCGTATTAATAATATTATTAAGAATAAAGATTTTCCTTGTAGCATTATTATTGGAATTTCCTGTAAATTCTGGTGAATAATTTATCATATTACTAATATTATAAATGCGAATGTTTGGATGGATATTTGTTTCAATGTATCTCTAGAACGGCTCAAAGGATTTCTATAAAATTTGTCATACATATAGAGTATACTCTGGAAGAACACATAGGCTACTTATTAGATTTTTAATTCCGCGCGGACGGAGTCACGGGCGACAGCTATCAAATATGGGGTAAAATCTTTTTAATACGACTCAATGTATTATAAATAACAAGCTCTTGTCCGCGAATTTGTCTTTGGTAAATTAAAAAAATAACATAACTCTATGCGCTATTCCAGACAGTAATCTACGTCTGTGGTAAACATTCAGATTCGTTTAGCACTTTTGTAGTTTCCTACTGTGTTAGTAAACTTTTGCATTTATAATATTAATAAAATAATAATATATTAAAACACTTAATTAAAAAGACTCAGAAACCCACAATAATACGAAGCAAGTGACACTTTACTCGTAAAATTCGGATCATTCCAGGCTCCAATGGGCCCTTTGGTCCAACTAGCTAACGACCGTGATTCCATACGCGCAATTAAAAAAAGTAATCTGTGTCCTTCCAGACTATTTTCTATATGTATACCAAATTTCATCGAGATTTAACAGTCTTGGAGATACATTTAAAAATCCATCTAAACATTCGCTATGGTAAGATAAGATTAATTTAAAATTAGTATGAAATTTTTGCTTCACTTCCGATAGGGGACGCTGCTTTAAAAAAACAAACATTGTCGATGATAGATACAAAGGAAAATGACAGAATTATTCCTCCTACACACTGGCCATAAGGAAATACATAAAAAAAACACATAACAACTATAAGACGCTTATCAAATAGTCTAATAGAAAACAACAAAAAAGAAACACGAAATAATAATTAAAAATAAAAACCTTTAAACAGTATCCTATAAATAAATCACTATTCAAAACAAATGAATTTAAATTGTTCTTAAAACATTATTCCAAATTTAAAACGAGACAACTTCTTCCATGAAAATAATATCGAGACTGATTTAATTATTTCTGCCGTAGTGATGTAGACGCGATTCACTAACGCCAACTGTTTCAATGAAACCGGTTTCGAGCGTTATTTTTATACGACACTAGTTTACGTCAGTGACTACGGCCACACGGTAGAAACAAATAAGTAACTTAATTAGTAAGCCTATGTGTTCCAGACTATTTTCTACATGTATGCCAAATTTCAGTTCAAAATTTGGCATACATGTATATATATAAAAGAAAGTCGTGTCGGTTACACTATTTATAAACTCAAGAACGGCTTTACCGATATGCCTGAAAATTGGTGAGGAGGTAGCTTAGAGCAAGGAGACGGACATAGGATACTATAATATTTATTCATATTTTTTTCGAATTTATACCTTGAAGAGCTGCTTTTTATTTAACTTATCTATATATTAAGCTTTTTTATATATCCACGGGGACGGAGTCGCGGGCGACAGCTAGTTTATAATATTAGTAAGATTAATTCAATTATTAACATCCATCCATCCATCCGTCGATCTAAACATTCGAATTTATAATATTAACTAGCAGACGACCGCTACTCCGTCCGTGCTGAATTAAAAAAAAACCTTATTAAGAAGTTTACGTGTTCTATTTAAATTAATTGATTAATTACTTACTATAATAATTAATTTAAATCGATAAACACTGCGGTACATCACTATGAATACATTTCTGCATAAAGTGTCATAACGGAATTTTGCTAAGGTTATGGGTCACGAATATAAAGATAATAATTATAATACTAACAAAATTTCGCAATAAATTAATTAGGAACGACTGAATTCACGTATGACGGCATCAACTTGTTACGGACCCGTCGAAGGTAGATCTGGCCCGAAACTATACGATGACGTCATTCGGTCGGGTCCGAAACTAGTCGGTGCCGTCGCCAGACGATACGTCAGTTTAGTTGTTCCTTATTAATTTATTATAATATCTCACGATAACATTTAAATATTTCGCAATTAATATTAATATTATAACACCGATTGTAGACACTGAGACAGTTTTTACGTTGTCTATAGAAATTCTAGAAGCCTCGGCCGTCAAAAGGTTAAGCAATTAAATATTCAATATGGAATTTATATACATACGTACATTTTGTAGTCATTTTTAAGATAAATAGCATATGTTTTTATGTTAAGTACTAAGCCGCTTACGATTCCGTCCGCGCGGAATTAAAATAAAAACTATTGGTCGCAACATAATGTTATATAGCCTAAAGCCTTCCTCAATAAATGGACTATCCAACTAAAAAGAAATTTTTCAAATCGGCATAGTACTTCCTGAGATTAGCGGGTACAAACAAACAAACTCTTCCGTTTTTAATATTAAATATAGATTTTACAATATTAATTTAATCAGATTTGGTTTGTAATAATATTTGTTAAATATATGTACTATGTTTTTCCCGGTGGTAAAACTTGACGATAAGATTTATAAAACCCGCTACACACGTACGGTTTAAGTTGATGTCAAAGAAATATAGCAGCGTGTCCGTTCATTTGAATATTTGTATAGAAAATATATCGTAATGTGCCTTGCTAAAATTATTAAAAAAATAGTTGTGTTCTTCCAGACTATGTTCTACATCTATGCTAAGTTTCAGCGACATCCATTCAGTCATATGGGAAAAAGGCCTGCTTTTAGGGGTTTCCCGGCAATTATTCCAATTTTTCTCTTTAAAACTTTCCCTTGACCTCCACGAACATTTTAATATCAAGATAAGATAAATCCGTTCAGCCGTTCTGGAGTCTTAGCGAGACTTTTAAATATACATATAATATGCCTTACTATAATTTCTATTAATACTAGCTTACGCCCGCGACTCTGTACCTTTAGACCAGTCTTTCCCAAAGTGTGCGATAACGTCCCCTTGTGGGCGCTGCAGGTCTCAAGTTGCGGATTATAGTAAAAGTTTCCTTTACAATTCTCCGTTAATATACATATATAGGTCACAATAATTAATTTAATTTGAAGTTATAGTGGTTTTTAAATATGTGAAAATATGGGGTCGCTAAAAAAATATTTATTCTCAAAGTGGGCAGTAGACAAAATTAGTTTGGGAACCACTGGTTTAGACAAACATCTAAACATTCGCATTTATATTATTAATATTATAGGTACGTGTATGTTGGATTTAATATATGTAGTTTTTATAAATGTCAGATGTCGGCAGTTTTCCTGTTAAGTTAGTCAGTTGGCGCGTCCTCGTCGACCTGGGACGTCGTTTCGCGCCTAAAGTTAATCTGTGACAGTTGTCAAAGAAAAATGAGGTAAATATTTTTTTTTTATTTCATGGCTGTATCTTTGTGTGCCAGTGTCGAATGCTTTTATTTTTGATAAACAAGTTTTTAATATTAATAAAATTCGTTTTGTATTTAAAATAATTTAATGCAGTTGTATATATATATAAATTTTATTTGTACTTATTAAATCTTACTTATATTATAAATGCGAATGTTTAGTTGGATGTTTGTTAGATATCTCCAAAACGGCTGCATGGATTTCGATGAAATTTGTCATACATATAGAACATAGTCTGGAAGAACACATAGGCTACTAATTATGTTTTTTTATTTGTTGTTTAAAATTTGACAACTTAACTTACCCACATTAATTTTAACTGTGTCATATTAAATGATTATCTGACCGCGAATTTCCTCACAAACGGGTACAAAATTTTATTTCACGTATTGCCATTATCTGCAGATTAAAATTTTTATGTATGTACAGTCACGGAAATCCGAGGTGTTCGTTCGTTTGTAACAAGGGGAGTGTTCGGAACAGTTGTTTAGAACGATTTCTGCAGTCGAGTTCTATCATCGGACGACAAAACTGCCAGGTACCAGCCACACTAATTGGATGGCAGGCATTCCACAGCGGTGCGAGTCTCAGCGGTATTACCAAACCAAAACTACTTAGGGTCCTTCAAAAATGGATCATATAATTTTCTCAAATGACGACATATTATGAGGCAGTTGATTGAGCAAACGTGATAATAGTAAAGAGCAATTACTCGTGTACGTGTACATTAATAAGATACGTCCCATTCTTTACTCTTTGTGCGTTATCTTCTCAATGCGTACGTAACGTTCAAATGACTATTCTAAGGTTGAACACCGACAGTTTCCCTGATTGTACATATAGAAACACTAAGTTCATTCATCTGTAGATAGATTATAAAATAGGATATATTATAAAAAGCAAACAATGGTATAGCCGACAATAACATATTTTGTACGAATTGTCCAGTTCGCTGCAATACAATGACCACACAGAAGACACGCCTCAAGTGGTAGCTATTCCAACTACACTCTGATGAGTGTGCGTCCCAGAGGACTTATTTTAGTCCTCTTTCCATTCTTACCTTTTCTTATACGGAATAGATGTGAAAGGGAATTGTATTTAAAGAAAGACTGGACGTTTTAGACAGGGTAATATTATCTTTCCGTGCGTATCTCCGTCGATTAAAGGTATGTGTAGGTCTATAGTTAGCTGTGAGTTCGCTAATTCGCGCGAATGTGTCCCCATGCTCGTTTGCCACTTTATAATATTAAAAATGAATAAAACAATTCAAGAATGTCGTATTTATTGTAAGCTAAATATGATAACTTATTGGCCTTATTTTATCTTAGTTTGTGAAATACCAAGTGCAGGCAGAATTAATGTTATATTTTTATCTTATAACTAGCTGTCGCCCGTGACTCCATTGGCAACGAATTAAGAAAAAAACTTAATTAGTAGTCTATGTGTTCTTCCAGACTATGTTCTACATCTATGCCATAATTCATTGTGATCCGTTGAGCTCTTCCGGAGATACCTTCCAACAAACATTCACATTTATAATATTAGTAAAATTAAAATGCGAATGTATGGATGGATATATAATATACAATACTAGCTGTGACCCGCGACTCCGTCCGCGTGTTTGTCTAAAAAATAAAATAAAAAATTTAGGGGTGGACTACCCTTAACATTTAGTGGGAATAAAATAGGTGTTGGCCGATTCTCAGACGTACTCAATTTTTCAGCTCAGCCGTTTCGGAGGAGTATGGGAACGAAAATTGTGACACGAGAATTTTATATATAAGACTAGCGGACCCGACAGACGTTGTTCTGTCTACACGTCTTTAATTTGAATAAATAAATATGACGTTAATATTTGATGAAAATTGTGAATCTAAACCATTCCCAGATCCCCTTGAACACACACAAAAAAATTCATCAAAATCGGTCCAATCGTTTGAGAGAAGTTCAGTGCCATACACACTCACAGAAGAATTATATATATAAAGATTTCTCGTGTCACAATTTTCGTTCCCATACTCCTCCGAAACGGCTTGACCGATTCTCATGAAATTTTGTAAGCATATTAAGTAGGTCTGAGAATCGGTCAACATCTATTTTTAATCCCGCGCGGACGGAGTCGCGGGCGACAGCTAGTAATGTCTAAAAATACATATACAATCAAATATTTCCTCTTAATATAATAACGATGGTGTCTGTCGTGAATATGTTAAGCCCAATAAGCAATTAGATGTACTCACTTTAGATTTTAAATTGATAAATAACTCGGTATCATTTTTTGTCAGATTTAACTGTTTACTCGTGGCGCTAGTGTCGCTTTTCTGTCTCACTGCGGGCCAGTCCAGCGATGACGACGCTATGGCGACTATACTGGAGAACGAAGCTGGTGATGGCTACGTGAACCTCGATCCTGATCTAAGCGAAACTAATAGTGAGTTATAACTCTATTTATTCATTATCAGCTCACTATACATCCGCACTGAGGGGCTTGGAGCCTACCCTAAGTTAAGGGTGAGTAGGCCATAGTCAACCACGCTGGCCAAGTGCGGGTTGGTTGACTTCACACATATGTATAATATTATATCTTCTTCTCAGATATGTGCAGCATCACGATGTTTTCCTTCGCCTTAAGAACGTCGGATAAATGTACATATGTAAATCGAAAAACACATTGGTACATGACGCGATAGGAACCCAGAACCTGCAGATTACAAGTCAAGTGTTTAAACCCCTGAGCCACTGACGCCTTATATTACACTCTATTACAAAAACCTATAGCAATCAGGTGAAGAATAAGAATCGATTCATACCTCATTCATCAAAATCTGTTCAGTCATTTAGGCTGTAGACCGTCAACAACAGCAATAGTTTTCAGATATATTAGAGGCTCTGACGTTCGCGCGAGTCGCTATGCAATGTTAGGTGTGGTGTGTAATAAGATGGGGGGGAGGGTATTGCGCAGCGCGAACATGACCATGAGCCATAAACATATTTGAAAAGAACTGTACTTCATAGAAGCCAAGTGGTGTCTATTACTGTTTCTGTTTATCAAATAGAAAGAAAGGGATGACAATATGTGAGAATTACAAGTTTTGCGATTGTAGTTTCTTACTTATATTTCTTGTGTAAAGTAAACTAAATTAAACTATTATTTCTAGGAGTTGCAGCGAAATCCGGTACAGACGAGCCTCAAGGTAAATTTACTATAACAAATAGATTATTGCTCGCGACTTTGTCAGCTAGGTATTAATAAAAATTGCCAAGGTGACACCCGTATACATCAGTCACCTTAAGGTCCCTTTTTTCTATATTTTTATAAGGACTTTAGTTCAAATAAACATGACAGTTACAACATAAAAACAATAATTAAAACAAAGGAAAATATTTAAAAATTTCTTACATATACCAAAGCCTTTAGGACCTTGCTGCGTACTTCATCTAGATCCGTGTATATAAAATCCGAACAGGCCCTTAACAAGGTCGTTCAAACCCTTAGTAGGGTTTCTTTAAACTAGCAATTGCCCGCGATTTCGTTGGCGTAGAATAAAAAAAAACTAGTAATCAAATTCTATGTCACCCGGTGCTAGTGTAGCTTCCCAATATTGACAGAATTTTTTAAATCGATCCAGTAATTTCGGACCTGATATCCTCTTTATAATCTTACTAATAAGGGAATGTTTGGATGGATGGATGGATGGATGGATGGATAGATGGATGTTTGTTATATATTTGGGCTGCATTGATGCTAAAATTTGGCTTAGATGTAGAACATAGTCAGGAAGAGGACATAGGTAACTAATTAAGTGTTTAATTCCGCGCCAACTGAGTCGAGTGACTGCTATAATAGTATCTATAAAACTAAATATTAACTAACGAATTATTGTTTTTTTTTCAAGTCGAGTCTTGCACAACAAAGGAAGGACAACCAGGCATCTGTGTGAAGTATTATCTCTGCGATCAGGACTCTAAGACTATTATAGAAGATGGATATACCATAATAGACGTCAGGTACGTTAGCATTACATGCATACACTGATACTCCTTTTACGTTCCACTATCAATTACACTTCCGTACTAATGACATCGTCAAATTGATGTCCGTATTATTGACATAATCAAATTGTAAAGTGAATTGCACTTCCACGACCTTATTTAACAGAAGCTTGTTGTATTTTAAGTGTAGGGACATATTATGATCAGCTCACTGTTAGTCCCGAATGAGGGTTTCGGAGCCAACTCTAAGTTATGTGACTAGGTCATAGTGAATGCTGGTCCAGTGCGTCACTTCACATATATCTTTGACATTTCTTCACAAATATGTAAATGTTTTCTTTCAAAGTTTTTACAAACATTAAATGTCTTATTTATATTTATATTAACAACCCAAAAAATAAGTTTCAAGCTTTTTCAATACTTTCATAGGAATTTCCACCCCTACTTTCAACCCTTTGTAATCTTTATTTCGCGTTAAATAGTATTCTTATGTCCTTTCTCAGGCTGTAGACTAACTGTGTATAAAATTTCATTTAAAACGGTTCAGTAGTATTGATGTGAAAGCGAGACAGAGTTACTATCGCATTTATAATATTAGTAATGCCTAGCAGTCATGACTCCATCCGCGCGGAAATAAAAAAAAACCTGTGTGTTCTTACAGATGTATCCATTAAGCCGTTCTGTGGATACATTGAAACAATCATCCATCTAAACATTCGCATTTATTAGTAAGATGTAAGAATTTTAATCAACTAATTGTTTTTATTTCAGGATAAGTGGAGCATGTGCTAAATTTTTAGATGTCTGTTGCCAACGTAATCAAGTTACCGATGACCAAAAGAAAACCACAACTGTTGTAACTCCCCTTGCCACATCAACAGACGACAAAGCTAGCTCTAACATAAACGAACCTTTGTTCGAGAAGAAAACAAAAGTCGGCAAATGTGGGATAAGTAATCCGGGTATAAATATATTTGGTGATAGTCCCAGGATGTTGTCACCTGATGACAAAGTATACGCCGATTTTGGTGAATATCCCTGGATGGTTGCAATACTTAGGTAAGTAACATTGTTTTTGAATATTAGGGAACACACCCATACTACGTGACCTATTTTTTTTAAGTTTTTTGATGCATACTTTAATTACTAGTGAATAATGTATTATGAAAAAGAACAACTAAAGACTACGTCAGAAAAACCTGAGCCACCTCACCCCCCGCTCCTATGACTGACCGTAGTATTTTAAAGACCCCGTTAACCCCCCCCCCTCTCCCTAAACGGGTCACGTAGTATGGGTACGTTCCCTTATTATAGTATGTCTATTTATGATAGATTAGTTTGACAACTGACGCCTATAAATAATCGAATTAATTTTGTATGAAAATTAATGTTGTACTTAATAGATGTTATAGTGTCGGAGTGTACGTCCATTACGAACTATGAACTATCGAGAATCGGTCTTGTAATATAAATCAAAGAAATAAATACTATAATTCTGATATTTTATTACTTTATGTATATATTACAGATATTTTTGTCTACGTCTCGCGGAATTAACTAAAGAGACATGAAAATATCTCTTTTCGTTTGTCAACGTGTTAATTTGTGGTCCAATATTGTATTTTTATGTTTAGTTTTTAAGAATAAAGTGATAGTTAAAATATAATCTTACTAAATAACTAACCACTACAAAATAAATGAATTAATGAATACCTATAACTATATATTAAAACTAAACCAAACTAATTTAAAAAATCGACCCCAAATCGCTGCGGTCGCACGGTACGGTTCCCAAGAGGCTGGCGGTATTTCCCCGTTGGAAGGCCAGGCTCAACCTTTGCCCGAAATGCGTCAGCCTTCGGATCCCCTGAGGCGTCGATGATAATAAAGTTGGCACAAAAAGAAATTCTATGAGAACAACCATCGAAAATCGAAAATTTTCATAACCGATTTTACTTAACCCATCTCCTACACTTCGCTATTTCAGCGATTTTAGATGGCCGGTCGCTCGTAACTACCTTATGATATAAAAAGACGGATAAGGAGGAGACACAAATCTACATTTTCTTGAAAGTAATCTTAATATATTTGTTATAGACGTAATGTAGACGAAGAAAAATGGAATTCAAACAACTACAAAGGTGGTGGCACTCTCATACATCCATCTGTCGTATTGACAGTGGCTCATAAAATTGCTGGATTGAGACCAGAGGAAGTAAGTACAATATATAGTCTATTAAAGACTAACTTTTGCCTATGACTTCACCTAAAAAAAACCTTAATAAATAGCCTATGTATTCTTCCACACTTTGTTCTACATGTGCCAAATTTTATCAAGATCCGTTGAGTTTTTCTGGAGATATCTTCAAACAAACATCCATCTAAACATTCGCATTTATAATATTAGTAAGATTTATTAGATTGACAATTCACGAGATATGAAGAACATGGGCTACATGTTACATTCTCTTTGATGGGCTACTAGGTAAGTTTTTTAATTCTGCGCGGTCGGAGTCGCTGGCGACAGCTAATTTACTATATTAATATGATTCGTCTAATTTAACGCAGTTAAAAATCCGAGCTGGTGATTGGGACACGAACACACAAGACGAAGAGTACGGACACCAAGAAGTAAATGTGAAAAAAATTGTAGTTCATGAGAATTTTTTCAGTGGTAAGAATCTTCGTAATTAAACTATAGAGCACGAAATACTGTATACGTTTTTTCAAATATCTTGATGGCTCAAGGTTATCTACCAGAGCGGCCAAGATGTTTGATTTTTCTTATAAATATGGGATGTATAAAAGTTGTTCAAGAAATTCCTCCACCCATTGTCTCAACCGGGTAGCTATTTTTTTAAAGTTTTGTACTATACTAGCGGTTGCCCGGGACTCGATACGTGCGAAATTATGTATGCCAAATTTCATCTAGATCCCTGCAGCCGTTCTGGAGATACCTTCTAACAAACACCCACCTAAACATTCTCACCTATATATATAAAAGAAAGTCGTGTTAGTTACACTATTTATAACTCAAGAACGGCTTTACCTATATGCCTGAAAATTGGTGAGGAAGTAGCTTAGAGCCAGGAGAAGGACATAGGATACTATTTATTCATTTTTTATATATCCACGCGGACGGAGTCGCAGGCGACAGCTAGTTTATAATATAAGTGAGATATAAAATGTGTTTGTTTAAATTTAATAAAGTAATCATTCAGAAAATCCAAATGTAATACATCAACCGTGTGTTTCTGAGCTCCAAATCTCCGTATAAAATACACTGTTATCCTTGTTATGTCAAAATAATGACAGGGATGAAGATAACTATTATTTACAGTGCGCAGTTACAGCTCGAACCTATCAAAGCGCAAATAGTCTCTAGTGTTCGGGAACTTTTATACAGAGATTTTGGTCTCAAAAACTAAGGGGAAATCTTTGTCTTTGTTACAGTGAGCTTATACAATGATATCGCCCTGTTGTTTTTGGAAACACCTGTGGTAATGGATAGTCAGTACCCTAACATTGCGTTGGGATGCTTGGACAGAAGACCACCACCTATCAACACAACTTGCTTCAGTATGGGCTGGGGAGCTGATAACTTTAATAACAAGAACGTATATGCATCTGTGCTAAAGAAGGTTAGCATATGACCACTCATCATGCATCATCAGCTCACTATACGACCCCACTGAGGGGCTCAGAGCCTACTATAAGTTGAGTGACTAGGTCTTAGTCAATGCTGGTCTATTGCGTCACTAAATGTGCAGCATTACGATATTTTCCTTAACCGTAAAATCATAAATTAATGTACATATGGAACATTTGTACATGACGTAATTCGAACCCAGGACGTGCAGATTTTAATTCAAGTGCACAACCTCTGAGCCCCCAACCCTCTGCTTTTCTTAACCGTAATATAACTTATATAAATATAGTATTTTTTAAATATCTTGGCGAATGCATACGAACATGACATCATCACGAGGGATTGGAGAGGAGAGCACTGCAGTGCACAAATGCCATTAAGCTGTCAAGACTCTGTTTCTCTCTCTCTCTCAAGGTGCCTCTCCATTTAATGGAGGTTGCTCGTTGTCATGACTGAAAAGACATATCTTGTGTTGACAGGTGAAGCTTCAAGTCTTAGACCATATGATTTGCGAATCATTGCTAAAGAAGACACGTCTTGGCCCACTTTTCAAACTGCACGAGTCCTTTATTTGTGCCGGAGGTGAACAAGGCTTAGACACATGCAAGGGTGACGGAGGATCTTCACTCGTGTGTCCAATTAAAGTAAGTTATCGGAGTTAAAGGCAATTAAATATAAAGTTACACATTTAAAAATGACGATATGTACTCATCAACTAGTACTTTTAAAATGTAAATCTAAAATGTTCATCGTTTCTTTGACTGTACATCAATCATCGTGTTTTCCACCATATCGTTCTTTTCGTTCCAGTAACGCTGATAATCATGTGACACAAATGAATCCTGTTTTACGCAATCCATCCTTTTCTTTTGCTTCATTCTTCCTTTCCCTTTCTTGTCCTACCCCTACTAGTTAGTACCCGGACCAATTAAGGAATTTTGATATATTTTGTTAATTCTACTAGCAGTAGTGACAATTAAATGTTACATTATCCAGCCTCACAGCCCCATTGAGATTACCAACAAGTTGTCGATTCGTCGTCCACCTTAAAAGGATAGAGAAGAGGACAATAAGATAATTCCCCGTTCCAGAAGAATAGGATAGAAAAAAACTAGAATTTAGCCTCCACTTCATCAGATGAAACGCGAAATAACTTTTTCTTTATGCCTATCTTCTGTGCACATTCATGCTATTATGTTTCTGAGGTATTCCACTATTAAACAGTAATCTTTTTTTCCACAGAATACTTACGTTGTCTACGGCATGGTCTCGTGGGGCATGTCTTGCGGTGTCAAGGGTGTCCCTGGCGTGTATGTAAATGTTCCCTCATTCTACGATTGGGTGAACAAACAAATTGCAGCAGAGGGTTATGATACCAAAACCTATGTATTAACGTAGACTTAGTTGTTATTACCTGACAAAAAACAGTACACAAACAAAATCTGATCCTTTGATAATATGTCAAACTTTACTCTGTGTTCTGACCGGCGATACGATGTAATGTAACATGTTACACGGTGAGCAATCACGTAATAAATGTTGCCGCTCGAATGTTACATTTTATAATATTACACTTCATTATTCGTAACATCATTCAGTATACAGCTTAACAATAACTTATTAGAGCCTTAGTCAATATCAAAATAGTGTGACAAAATCGTATAAACCGACAGTTATCCAATCCTGTAATAAGTACTACTTTAATATAACAGACAATGTGGAATTTTGCGATAAATTGTAACATAATTCTTGTCCTTTTAAGCTGTTAAGAAATTTCATTTTCTTTCGATTAATTATAGTCCATATTCTTTAGTTTATTTCAAATGACTATCAGTCAGAAGTGATTTTTATTCTCACATTGTATATTTATTTGAATAAATGCAATATGTTAAATAAAACATGTTTTTTTTCTATTTGTACCTTCCTAGCTGTCGCCTGTGACTCGCAGCGCGGAATTAAAACTAATAGTAGACTATGTGTAACTCTTCAAGGCATAAATTCGGACAACATATGAATAAATAGTATACTATGACCGTCTCCTGGCTCTAAGCTACCTCCTCAACAATTTTCAGGCATATCGGTAAAGCCGTTCTTGAGTTATAAATAGTGTAACTAACACCACTTTCATTTATATATATAGAACTATATTTAAATTTTAGTGTCTGTGTGCAATATTATTACAAATTTTCATATTTCGTGCAAGCCATGACATCATTTATGAAAAAATACAATAATTTTTGTCTCTCTGCAAGTCCGTGTTTGTTGCGAGTAATCTACGAAACGGGTGAACCGATTTTGACCAAAGATAAGAATATACTTGATGTGTGCGAGTAGAGTTGCCAAGTCGCCGGACATACCATCCAGTTTGGCCGGACTTTTGGGTAGAAAGGCCGGACTCACATTCTACCAGCCACTTTCGTTTGCGAAATGTAAATAGCGTAAGAAAAGCCAGACAACTCGGACACTGCTTATTTTGTCAGGACATGTAATCAGATAGACTACCTATGTCCGGCTTTATCCGGACGCCTAGCAACGATATGCGGGAGTAACAAGAAGATTTTTTTTCATATATTCATATTTCAAGTTATATTTAGTACCTACTAACGTATCTATGACATTTAAAAAAACAATTTTTTTCCTCTTAATTTAAGTAGGTTTAAATTCCAAATCAAATCTTGTTTTATCTATTCAAATTTATAATAAAAACGAAAAGGTCATTAACGGATATTTAACATTAGTGACGTAATCAAAATGGCGGACAACTAACAAGTTGTATACTACGACAAACTTATGTGGTCCGGTAATTGGCGCTATTAGCTAAATATATAAATACTAGCTCTGCTTGCGAATTCGTCCGCGTGAAATACTGTCCGAGCTGCGCGCGGTACTGGATTACTTTATTTTTCTAAAATAAAAGAATTTTTCTCAAGTATACGTACCCTAAGTTGCTCCTTATTACATCAGCTACTTGCTAATAAAAGTCCTGTCAAAATCGGTCCATCCATTCTAGAGATTAGGCGGAACAAACAAACAGACAGATAGACAAAAATTGTAAAAAATGTTATTTTGGTGTATGGCATACGTCATACATGTAGTAAAAACTTAATGGTTATTTCAAAATTACAAACATACATTCTAATTTTATTTATATGTATAGATTTATAGATTTCACTTATATCTGGCCAGATAAGTTATTCGTTCTGTACAAGCCTTGATTTGTTTATATGACAAAGTGCAAATTAAATGGCCGGCGTCAGTCGAACGTCTTACCGGTTGAAGACGGACGTGTTGACTTATTTGTTTATAAAAATCGTATTAATACTTAAAAAAAACATTTTATGCGTGTGTTGTGTTGAGAGTTATAATTAGAATTTAGGATCAAATTAAAGGTATGTTATTTATTATGTTTTATTACATTTGACACATCATAATCGAACCAACGTACTCTTGTAACTGCGGGCATAAAATATTTAGTTTTTTGATTTTAGAACTGGAAAATTCCTTAGCTTTTTTAAAAAATTTTAATCATTTCGAACGTCGTTTCGTTTTGTTTCGTATTTTTGTTTCATAAGAACCGGATTCGATTCACATATATTTAAAGTAAGAATCGATTCATTCATTTTAATCGATGTTTTTAATCATCTAACCTTAATAGGAAGCTATAACTGATGTCAAATGTGGCCAATTAAATTTGCTCACCTATCTTACTACTATTATAGATGCGAATGTTTAGATGGATGTGTTAGAAAGTATCTACAGAACGGCTTAACAGATATGATTTGTCATACATATAGAACATATTCTGGAAAAACACATAGGTTACTTATGAAGTCATTTTTACGATTGTTGTGATTGATTTGTCTGTTTTTAATTTGTGATTGTGGGTAATTAAAAAAAATAACATAAACAAAAGCTTTAAAATCACGTTCAAGGAAATGTTTGCACCTTCCGCAGTAAGGACGTGAGAAAAGCATTGTTTACGTTACCAATAACAGTAGGGAACGTTGATTACCACTGCAGCGAGTCATATTGACATTCCCAAACTCACAATTAAATGAACAATTGTCATAGAAATATATACGTACTAACATTCCCAGTTCAGTGGCACTAGACTTTTAATCTACAGGTCCTGGATTCGAAATCTGCCATGAGTTTTTTTATATGTACATTATCTGTTCTTTCCTCCACCGTAAGAATATAGAATAAATCTTTATATATATAATTCTTCTGTGCGTGTGTATGTCACTGAACTTCTCTCAATCGACTGGACCGATTTTGATGAAATTTTTTGTGTGTGTTCAAGGGGATCTGGGAATGGTTTAGATTCACAATTTTCATCAAATATTAACTTCATATTAATTTATTCAAATTAAAGACAGACAGGACAACGTCTGTCGGGTCCGCTAGTCTATATATATAAAAGAAAGTCGTGTTAGTTACACTATTTATAACTCAAGAACGGCTTTACCGATATGCCTGAAAATTGGTGAGGAGGTAGCTTAGAGCCAGGAGACGGACATAGGCTACTATTTATTCATTTTTTTTCGAATTTATGCCTTGAAGAGCTGCTTTTTATTTAACTTACTAATATTATAAATGCGAATGTTTAGATGGATGTGATGTGGATGGATGGATGGTTTGAAGATATCTCTAGAACGGCTGAACAGATCTCGATTAAATTTGGCATACGTATAGAAGTAGGCATAGTCTGAAAGAACACATAGGCTACACTAATTAAGTTTTTTTATATATCCACGCGGACAGAGTCGCGGGCGACGGCTAGTTTTAAATAAATATTTCTTATATTTTTAATGAGTAAATAAAGAGAGATGTTTAGTTGCGTACAGTACGGATTTATCAGAATTTCGATAACTTTAGGTGACCTAACGCATTGGTTTTACCGTTTATTTCTGAGACCAAAATCTCTGTATAAAACATATCGTCATCCCTGTCATTATCTATACTACTATTATAAAGCGGAAGAGTTTGTTTGTTTGTTTAAACGCGCTAATCTCAGGAACTACAAGTCCGATTTGAAAAATTCTCCTTTTGTTGGATAGTTCATTTATAGAGGAAGGCTTTATGCTATATAACATTACACTGCGACCAATAGGAGCGAAGCGTCAATGAGAAATGTTGCAAAAACGGGGAAAATTATCCAAATTTGAGGACTTTCGTCGTTGACGTTACTTATTACGCTGCGACCAATTGTTTTTTTTTTTAAATTCCGCACGGATGGATTCGCGTGTAACAGCTAGTCTTTGATAAAACAGAGGTTATATGTTTTAAATGAACAAGTACGTCGACATTAAATCTGGAATGACAGGATGATATATATATATAATTGGAATCTCGGAATCGGCTCCAACGATTTTCATAAAATTTAGTATATATGGGGCTTCGGGGACGATAAATCGATCTGGCTAGGAATTATTTTTAGAAAATGTCATTTTATTCGTGTTTTATCGATAATCAACTTAAACATAAACTTAACTTTTTCTATCGGTAAGATCGAAAAATATTATTCATATTTCATCGTTTTATTAGTAATTCGTACTTAAATATAATTTCCAAAAAACACAAATTAAAAAAAAATACCGAACAAAGCTCGGTCATCCAGATTTTATGTTTTAAATGGACAAGTACGTCGATATTAAATACAGAAGGACAAGTTGATGACTATTCTTAGTAATCGTAATTATATGAACATTAATAAAGAAAAAAAATCTAGATATATTGTATGGGAAATTACCCGTCATTTATCACAATAAAGATCTCTTGTGTTGGAGGCCAAGACTTACTTTGGGTCGATGCGCCAGCGGAGTAACTATCATAATATAAATGGGTTTTCTTAATTGGAATTACTGATACTAAATTATTTAGTTTAAACAGTGGTAGAGCCCGCTTTAACATCTTCGCACGAATTGACCCGGCTCGCCCGGTGAAATACCACGACCACACACAAGACACGCGTCAAGTAGAAGCTATTCCAACTACAGTCTGATGAGTGTGTGTCCCGGAGGCCTAATTTAGTCCTCTTTCCCTTCCCACCCTTTTTCTTATAAGGAAAGGATGGGGGGTGGAAGTCGACTTTCCGGATGAGAGGATGCATGAGAAGGGAAGAAATTTTCTTTCTGTGCATCCTCTCCTCCGTCGATTTATGGTAGGCAACGCATATGCAATTGCGTATGTCTATGGGCAACGGTCACTTCGCTATATCAGCGATTTCAGGTGGCCGCTCGCTCGTTTGCCACCGAAACGTATTTTATTTAAAATTTTCAATTCAAATGAAAAATTCTTATCAGGCAGCCAAATCAGCAAATAGTCTTCTTCCGTAAGCAGTTTCGTTTCCGTTTAAATCGGAAATGTTTTTTGTTCAAATTTTAAATATATTATTCGTATTTAAATGTACATACTTTTGAAACGAAAATCATCATAAATTAATGGTATGGGTCCATTGGCCTGTGCCGGGTTAACCGCACGTACGGATTAACACTTTGAGCGCCACTCGTATTTCTAAGACAATCCCGTTCAGGCCACGAGCGTCGCTTATACGCACTGGTATTAAAGGGTCGATGTTTCCGATCGCAGTACAAAATAGTTTACATTTTTAACGTTATACCTATAGGCTTTGTTTCAACACGTTACGCGCCAGGTCTGGCGCGACCTAAACTAGTCAGCCACCGATGGCTGACGTGGCACTCAACGTGTTAAACGGATTTGCTTTGCCTTTCGATGCGGATGGCGCGGATAATAGATGCAGTACTATGTAAATTCATAGAAAGCAAACTAAATCCGGGCCGTGCGTGCGGTGCGTCCGACGCGGGACAATAGACATAAGTGCTAATTAGTTTTAGACATCATTAATCACAATAATTTGTCGCGAATGGCGCGCTTTCGTTACAAAGTCAAGTGTCAGATTAGTGAGGGGACATAAACGTCGATAATTTAGTAAGGCTAGTGTTGCGCCACACCGGCACATTGTCGGATTTTCTTCCTAACATTAGTTTGTGCCTAAAATGAATTAGGATTTCAATGCAACGTATAATATGGTCGTTGAGTGTTGTTCCCGCCAAATATTCCAGTTTTCTTTCATAAATAATAAAGGTTTTTGATCTTTTATCCTTATAAGAATCGTATCAAAGTATTTTTTTCTTTTTATGTTAAATGGCATTTTAAAAACTTGTTTTATAGAGATGGTCTTGCCAGTTTAAAATACAGGTTATATATATAAAGTGGCTGTCGCCCGCGACTCTGCGGGGCATTAAAAAAAACTTGATCAGTAATCTATGTGTTCTTCCAAACTATGTTCTACATCTATGCCTTTCATTCGTTTAACTAAATTACTCCGGTAAAAACAAACATTTGAGTTAATTTTGACACATAGACTACTAATTAAGATTTTATTAAAAAAAAAACTTAATTAGAAGTCTATGTGTTCTTCTAGACTATGACTAGTGACAAATTTCATCAAGATCTGTTGAGCTGTTCCGGGGATACCTTCAAACAAACATCCATCCATCTATCCATCTAAACATTCTCATTTATAATATTAGGTAATAATCTTGATTTTAAGTTCATTCGATTTATCGATAGTTTTAGTTTGCTGTCATATCAAATAAAACGAATTAATTCACGTAAATTGTGTTAAACTGTTTAACATAAAACAGTAATTTCACGGTTGTAATCGTATAATTCGACTCGACGATTACAACCAGTGGCTCAAAGGTTAAATAGTAGATTTGTAATCTGCAGGTCCTGGGTTCGAATCCCATCCACCAATGTGTCTTTCTATTCATATGTACATTTATCCTGTCCTTACGGTGAAGGAAAACATCGTGACGCTGGAAACATCTGTGAAGAAATGTCAAAGAAATGTTTTTAGAGATTATTAATTAGAATAATTTGGCGCAAAGACGTGCTTTCGTTACGAAGTCAAGTGTCAGAATGAATAGTGAGGGGATACAAACGTCGACATTTTAGTAAGGCTAGTGTTGGGTCAATACACCAGCACAGTGTCGGAGATTCTTCCTTACAGTTTGAAGTGTTACCACACTGAGTCAGTTATGACCTAGTCGACTAACTTAGCGTAGGCGCTGAGACCCTTATCGGGGACCTATGACCAACTGATGATGATGATGAATCGATGTAAGATTAGATGATACCTTAATGTATAATTTGTGTTTTTTTTATGTTCAGATGTTACGGGTACTAGTAACCATATGTCTACTGACCCTTTGCGGGGCGCAGGAAGCCACTGGAGATCTGGATGCAGTCATCAAACAGATCTTTGGTGAACCCACCACGGCCACGTCGTTACAGCCTTCTACTTTAGTCCCAGGAGTCGCAAAAGGTAAGCCCTAGATTATAAAAATGATAAAGCTCGCTACATCTTTGCACGAATTGTCCAGTTCGCTGCAATACCACGAGCACAGAAGACAGGAGTCAAGTGGAAGCAACTCCAACTACAGTCTGATGAGGCCGAATTTTGGTCCTCTTTCCCCTTCCATCCTTTTTGTTATAAGGAAATTATGGGGAGTGGAAGTAGATTTTCCGAATGAGGATGCATGGAAAGGGAAAATCTCTTTCTGTGAGTACCCTCTTCGTTTGCAATTGCGTGTGTCTCTGGGCAACGGACGCTTCGCTATTTCACCTATTTTAGTTGGCCAGCTCATTTTCCACCTTATGATGTCATTAGTTTTCTGTTTTTAATTAACTAAAAGTGTTATTTAAGCTGTGGACACGAGTTGCAAGACAGATGACGGCCGTGTTGGTGAATGCGTGCGGTATTATCTTTGCAATGCCAACAACTCCGTCATCACTGATGGTATCGGCATCATCGATATACGGTATGTTACTAAAATCTATCATCAATAAATAAATAAGTACTTTGGAATTCATTTGCACTGCATCCTGTGTAAGGGACCTGTATACCGTAGATAATACCTTCTCTTGATCTAGGCCTTAAACAGGTTCCAATCTTTGCAGTATCTGTTTATGTATGTGCGAGTGTGTGTGTGTGTCAATATACAGGATGTTTCAAAAAACCAGCAACACAATCGATAAAAAGACACGCCTTTACTGCGATAACATTCCGCGTTTCGTCTATCAAGTTTGTCTGCCCTTTTTCTCTTTGAAAAAATTAAAAAGATTAGTGAAAGTACATCAAATATTTATAATCATCAGCAGCTCTCTATTACCACTGAGGGTCTCGGAGCATACCCTAAGTGATGTGACTAGGTCATAGTCCATGCTAGTCCAGCGCATCACTTCACACATATCTATGACTTTCAGATATGTGCAGCATCACCTTGTTTTCCTTCACAGTAAACACACTTAGGTACATGGCATATGAACCCAGGATATGCAGATTGCAAGACAACTGCTCAACCCCTGAGCTACCGGCGCTTCAGATATTAATAAAAGAATATAATAATTTCAGAGTACGAGATGGTCCTTGTGCTTCATACATGGACACTTGCTGTCTTCCTCCTGACACAAGGGATGTAAACAACCCAATAACACCACCCCCTGTCATCCAACCACAGGTAAAAACATCCTATATTTCATCCAATCTTGATCTATTTTCTACGTAGTAGACAGTATGTAACTATAGACCGACATCCCGCTCCCCAGGTCCCTGACCTTGACTATGTTAGGGGAACGAGAGGGCGGCATAGCGCCACCCAAAAAAAAATCTATAGACCGACTGGAATATCTGACTAGATGGGCATAAGTCAAACTATATTGTAACAGCTCACTAGCGCTCTATCTCAACGTCAAAGTGTTAAGTTTATTGAACTTTAGAATGTGTCTATTTAAGGTTATTTCTTTGACTATGAGGTATCGAGTCGTAAATCGAAAATATTCATAATATATTCTACTCAATCACTTATCTAGTGAATTGTCAAATGAATTAGTGCTAATTTTCATTAAGATTTATGCAGCCGCTCTGTAGATGACTTCTAACATCCATCTATCCATCCAACAAATGTATTACAAATATTTTAAGAAAAGAGAAGCTAAAAGATGGTTAGTTCTGTCAATTTTACTATTATAAATGCGAATGTTTGCGTGGATGGATGTTAGTTTGATGGTATTTCCTGAACGGCTGGACGGAACTTGCTGAAAATTGGTATAGTAGAAAATAGTCTGGAAGAACACAATGTCTACTTATAATACTTAGTTTTTAAATTCCGCTCGGACGGAATCAGGGGTACAGCTAGTCTTTCTAAAAACAGACACACAGATAAAAATGTGTGATTATCGACCAAATTCACAATCGATTGGTGACATAATTAAGTCATATGACTTTATTAACTTGTGCATATGACTACGTCCTTATTAATCAGTACCCAGTATAGTAAGACTAAGTTATCTGACCCAGTGACCGCTGTCATTGTTGTTAATTCCATGAGGAAATATATAAAGCCTATATATGCGTATAAAATGAAAAACATGGCATGACAGCTGTAACAGTGGTAGAGCCCGCTTTGACACGAATTGTCCGGTTCACTGCAATACTATGACTACATTGACATGACGATTTCAAATGGCTCTGGTTTGCCACTTTATGATATATAAAGGAAAAGCTAGTCTGAAAAGTGATCTTGTGACATTGACTGGGGGCACTAATGAGCTACTGTTATTCACTTCCATTTATCACCGGGTCAGATAACGTTGTGTGACTATAGTTACTAGTTGATATTGTCATTAGATTTATCCTCTGTTTACACAATGCTAAGGTCAAAGGTTTGCGTTCGAGGAAACAATCATAAATGTTGCATTCAAACTCACATATTGGTCATTATACAAAATGTCGACAATTGAAACACTCAAATAATACCCAAAGATAGGTTATTTGCCAGTATATCTAAAATTATTTATTATTAACTAAAAATGTAACGTAAATCTTAGGAACCCGGAGATTTTAGTCGCTTCAAACATATGTCATAGAGATTCGGACACGCGTCGCCGTCAATATTTTCTTTCGACGCCAAAAATAGTCGCTTGCAACCACCTAGTTTTAGTCTACCTTCTATTTAGGAAGGATAAGTGCACTTGACTTGCAATCTGCAGGTCCTGGGTTCGAATCCCGCCATGTATCAATGTGTTTTTCGATTTTCGATTTACATATGTACATTTATCCGACGTTCTTACGGTGAAGGAAAACATCGTGATGCAACCTGCACATATCTGAGAAGAAATTCAAAGATACGTGTGAAGTCAACCAACCCGCACTTGGCCAGCGTGGTTGACTATGGCCTAATCACCCTCAACTTAGGGTAGGCTCCGAGCCCCTCGGTGGGGACGCATAGTGAGCTGATGATGTCAAGTGGATTTAGCAAAAGGGATGCATGGGAAGGAGAAATATCAATCTATGCGTCATCTAGGCAAGTCATCTGCAATTTCAGATACTTATAAGGAGTGAGCTTCGCTATATCGAATTAATTGTTCGCTTACCTGTTTGTTATATATAAAAACTTGTTTGTCACGATAGTTGCTATGCCTGTAGACGAGGTATATTTCTATAAAATAATTCCCGAACATATTTAACATAAGGAAAAGTAATCAAATTAAATTCGTTCGACATTTTAGTCGTACAAGATCCGTGTCAACGTTCAATATGTTGATATTGTTTGCCCAATTCGTGTAAATACGAAGAAAAAAAAAACTTAGAAGCAATCTAAGATTTTTTCCTTTATTTGAATACATTTATAGAATATATAAAAACATTACTAAAAGATTATAAACGTAGCGATTTTATGATGTAGACGGAACTTTAAAATTTTATCATCAACATCAGCTCACTATACGTCCCCACCGAGGGGCTCGGAGCCTACCCTAAGTTAAGGGTGATTAGGCCATAGTCAACCACGCTGGCCAAGTGCGGGTTGGTTGACTTCACACATATCTTTGAATTTCTTCTCAGATATGTGCAGCATCACGATGTTTTCCTTCACCGTAAGAACGTCGGATAAATGTACATATGTAAATCGGAAATGGAAAAACACATTGGTACATGGTGGGATTCGACCCAGGACCTGCAGATTGCAAGTCAAGTGCTTGACCCCTGAGCCACCGACACTCTCACAAAATTTTAAATTTAATCATTTGAAAGAATTATTTACAATTTTTGATTAACTATCAGTTTATAATATGCCCCAGATTTGGCGAAAAAAAACCACTCTTTGATAAAAACACAAAAAACTGTATGGACCAATAAATATAAGAAGACATCTCCAGTACAGCTGCACAATCTGATATTTGTCGTAGATGTAGAACATAGTCTGGAAGAACACATAGCCTACTAATTAAGTTTTCAATTCCGCTTGCGATATCGCGAGCTAAAGCATTTTGGGAAAAATTAAAAAAAAAACCAAAACCATAACAACTATTAATATTACTAAATTCTATTAATTAGTAAACGAATTATTAACTAAAAAAAATATATGCATAATAAAACGTGTTTATATTAATAATAAAACTTGTTTGCTGTGGTCACTTGACCTTGACGTGTGACCTCACGCGCAACCTCGTTTTACACTTCTATGTATTTATCAATCAATTTTCCTTATAGCAACGTTTTACTGAGAATTTTAGATTTATTTCAGTTTGATTAAATTTAAACATATTAAAGTTATAATGCAAAATAAAATTGACATACAGTTGAGGAAAATAGAGATGCTATAACTAGCAATGGATACAGCCTACTTGTCGCTTCAATCCATTCACGTAGAATTTAAAAAAAAACTTAATAAGTAGCCTACGTGTTCTTCCAGACTATATTATACATCTATGTCAAAATTCAACGAGATCTGTGCAGCTGTTCTGGAAATACCTTCTATCAAACAGGCGTACACCCATCTAAAAAATCGCATTTATTATTAAGACTGGATGTCGCTTGCGATTTCGTCTGCGTGAAATTAAAAAAAAAACATAGTAACTTATATGTTCTTCCTGACTGTTTTTTATATCTATGCCAAATTTTAGCGAGATTCATGCAGCCGTTTTGCACATACAATCTAACAAACATCCATCTAAACATTCGCATTTATAATATTAGTAAGATTGTAAGAAGTAAGATGTTTTAATTAACACTAAAGACTCAAAGAAAGATACACAAAGCAACCTAAAAATTAAATCTTAATCTTACTAATATTACAAATGAGAATGTTTAGATGGATGTTTGTTTGAAGGTATCTATCTCCGTATCGGCCAAACGGATCTCGATGAAATTTGGCATATACGTATTGAACATAATCTTAAAGAAGACATAGGCTTCTTACTAATAAATTTTTCTTTAATTATGAGCAGCCGGAGTCAATTTCTATTGTTTGTTTTTAAATAATGTATGTTTTATAGCGTCAAGGTTGCGGTTGGCGTAACCCAGATGGCGTTGGCTTCCGTATCACCGGAGACAAAGATGGAGAGTCGAAATTCGGGGAATTCCCTTGGGCGGTTGCTGTTTTGAAGTAAGCAAACCTTTTTACAACTATTTGTAATGACAATCGTAGCGTAAAGGTTGTGGCTAAGGGATTAAAGCACTTGACTTGTAATCAGCTGGTCCTGGGTTCGAATCCCGCTATGTACCAATGTGTTTTTACATACATATGTACAAAATATCGTGCTGCACGGTGCTATACCACGCTAACCTTTTACTCGTCATACTTTTTTACATCATAAGGTGGCAAACAAGCGAGCAGCCACCTGAAATCGCTGAATTACGAAGCGACCTTAGCCATAATTGCAGATGCGATACCTACCTTTAATCGACGGAGGAGGGGATGCACAGAAAGAGAATATTTTCCCTTCCCATGCATCCTCTAATCTGGAAAATCCACTTTCACTTCACATCCTTGTGGGAAGTGAAAAGGGACTAAAATTTAGATATCATTCATTTCCTCCATTCTTCTATTAATTATGCTCAAAAATATGCTTCTTCTTTTCACCATCTACCCTCAACGAAAGTAACAAATTAATATAATGTGAAGTTCTGACTACGTTGATCCAAGGATTGAGCCTGTCAATGAGAACGAGCCAAATGGTCAGAAACTCAACGTATACGTCGGTGGTGGCTCCCTCATACATCCCAATGTGGTGCTAACAGCAGCACATTACGTCGCAGGGGCGAAGGCTTTGAGAGCCCGAGCTGGTGAATGGGATACGCAGACCACTAAGGAGATATATCCATACCAGGATCGAGATGTCGCCAAGATTGAAGTACACAAAGACTTCAATAAGGGTAAGCATACCATTAAGAATCTGCAGGGTCAGGTTCCCCGGCATGTATTAATGTATTTTCCAGATATATTTATCCTATGTTGTTACGGTGAAGGAAAACTGTGAAGAAATGTGTGAAGTTATGCACTGGGCCAGCATTGACTATGACCTAGTCACGTAACTAAGGGTAGGTTAGACCCTCAGTGGGGACCTATAGTGAGCTGATGATGACTGAAATTATAAAATAATAGGGTGAACCAAAACTAGTGCATCTACCCAATTTTAATGTGATAAGGACAGAGTTAATCTATTGTTTTAGGTAACTTGTTCTATGATATTGCGCTACTCTTCTTGTCGACGCCAATGGATTTGGCTCCTAACGTGGGTGTGGCTTGTTTACCCCCGCCTCGTGAACGCGTGCCTGATGGTACCAGATGCTTTGCCACCGGCTGGGGTAAAGACAAATTCGGTAAAGAAGGACGTTATCAAGTCATCCTTAAGAAGGTACCCTATAATACGAATAACTTTAACATAATAATTAGCTTAAGTAATCTTCCATGCTAAGTTTTACTGTACCAAATTTCATCGATTTGATAAGGCGTTTCGGAGATACGTACAAACATCTATCCATCCATCTAAACATTCGCATTTATTATATATCTGTCGCCCGCGACTATGTCCGCGCGGAATTTAAAAAAAACGTAAATTAGCCTAAGTGTACGTCCAGACTATGTTCTATTTGTACAACAAATTTCATCTAGATCCGTTCAGCCATTTTGAAGATACCTTCAAACAAACATCCATCTAATAATTCGCATTTATAATATTATAATAGTAAGATATTTTTATATACAAGAAACAACTAAAACCAGTCTTTTTTTTTTAATCTTACGACAAAGTCAAGTGTAAAGTATTCCAACTTAGCCTTTTCCTTGTCATGTAACATAATTGTAAAACAAATAACATTCCAGGTCGAAGTACCGGTAGTCGCTCGAAACACTTGCCAAGAGAAACTCCGTGCGACTCGATTAGGTCACTTCTTTGAATTGCACACGTCTTTTATGTGTGCTGGAGGTGAACCAGGCAAGGATACTTGCAAGGGCGATGGTGGGTCACCACTTTCTTGTCCCATACAGGTAAGTCAACTCAACTGAATTAAGTCAAGTCGACTAAACTTTTTTTTCAGAGGGGAATGCTTTATGCATACCCCGTGCCCCGGGGGGGTTCACGGTAGTTATGTGGGATTCTCTTCCAGATGGGAAGCATACCAACTAAACCCCCTGTTCCTCCTAACTCATTAAACTAAGTCAACTCGACTAAACTAAGCTAACTCAACTAAACTAAGTCAACTCAATTAAACTAAGTTAAATCAACTAAACTCAACTAAATTAAGTCGACTCAATCATACCTAAAAGTAATAAACATTGTAAATTGTTTTAAAATATGTATGTGATGTAAAATTTCATCTATTAATTAAATAGAAATCATCCCTAAAAAAACCCACAAAATCCCTGATCCTACATGTAAGGGTTAAGAGAGGGCAGCAAAGTGCCACCCAAAAAAAACCATACTAAGGTCAATAAAATACACTTAGCCAATCACTTTAGACCAGTGGTTCCCAAACTTATTTTGTCTACTGTCCACTTTGAGAATAAATATCTTTTTAGCGCCCCCATATTTTCGCATATTTAAAAACCACTATAACTTCAAATTAAATCAATTAATTATTGTGACCAATATATGTATATTAACGGAGAATTGTAAAGGAAACTTTTACTATAACCCGCAACTTGAGACATGCAGCGCTCACAAGGGGGCGTTATCGCCTACTTTGGGAAAGACTGCTTTATACCAACACAACAACAACAAATCAATTAAACCAATTCAACTATTCAAATCCAACCATGCTCAGGCAAATTATTCTATAACGGTATACTACTTAAAGGACTGAACAGATTTTAACAAGTAAAATGTCCTTCGGTACTTTATACTCGGAGTAATTTTAGTCCTCTTTCCCTCCCCACCATTTTTTTTTAAAAAAAGAATGGAAAGTGGAAGTGGACTTCCCGGATGAGAGGATGTATAGACAAATATTTTTTTCTCTCTGTGCATCCTCTCTTCCGTGGATTAAAGGTATGCAACGCGTATGCAATTGCGTATGTCTATGGGCAACGGTCAATTCGCTATTTCAGCGATTTCAAGTGATATAAAAAGAAAAGATTAAGTCAGTGAGTTATATAATTATTTTTTCTTTGTTACAGTACGAAACGGACCGTTATATGCAGAGTGGAATAGTAGCTTGGGGTGTCGGTTGCGGTGAGGACGGTACCCCGGGTGTTTATGTAGACGTATCAAATCTACGCAACTGGATAGACGATAAAGTCGCTGGAATGGGCTACGACCCTAAGGTCTACACTATATGAGAAATGAAACATTTGATATGTTAACTCTTTTATAATTAAACGTATTGTTATAAATCTATATTGTTCTATTATTATACCATTACTCTACTAGCGGTCGCCCGTGACTCCGTGCGGAATAAAAAAAACATAATAGTCTATGTATTCTTCAAGACTATGTTCTATATGTACGCCAAATTTAATTGAGGTCCATTCAGCCGTTCTGGAGATACCTTCAAACATCCATCCATCTAAACATTCGCATTTATTATATTAGTAAGATTGTACGCCGGCCCTGCCTGAATGGGATAAAGTCATATATATGTGTACTAAATTTCAAATCTATTAATAGGAAGATTACTAAATTACTTAATTACTAACAGTGGTAGAGTCCGCTTTAACATCTTAGCACGAATTGTCCCGGATCACCCGTTGAAATACCACGACCACACAGAAGACAGGCCTCAAGTGGAAGCTATTCCAAATACAGTCTGCTGAGCATCCCAGAGGCCTAATTTTATTCCTCTTTCCGTTCACACTCTCTTTCTCATAAAGAAACGATGAGAAGTGGAAGTAAATTTTCAGGATGAGAGGATGCATGGGAAGGGAAAACATTCTCTTTCTGTGTATCCCCTTTTCCGTCCATTAAAGGTAAGCAACGGATATGACCACTCGCTCGTTTGCCACATTCTGATTAAAAAGATCGACGTAATATTTTACTCCTTTTGATATTTAAGTTAATTATTCGTTCATATCTTATTTAATATCGTAGATTATTTAATAAAATAAATAATTAGGGTATGTGATTGAACATTTGAAATATGTAACCACGTCATATGGACTTACCCACTGGTAAAAACCGTTGTCGGTAATTATGCTTCGAAGGGGGAAATACCAAAAATATTTCACTAAAATAAACATTCAATTATTTTGTTTACCTGTATTAACAGTCAAGAACATTAATCATCATCAGCTCACTATATGTCCCCACCGAGGGGCTCGGAGCCTACCCTAAGTTAAGGATGATTAGGCCATAGTCATCCACGCTGGCCAAGTGCGGGTTGGTTGACTTCACACATATCTTTGAATTTCTTCTCAGATATGTGCAGGTTGCATCACGATGTTTTCCTTCACCGTAAGAACGTCGGATCAATGTACTTATGTAAATCTAAAAACACATTGGTACATGGCGGTATTCGAACCCAGGACCTGCAGATTACAAGTAAAGTGCTGAAACCACTGAGCCACCGACGCTCTTAGCCACTGACGCTCTTATTTTAATGTTTATTAATAAGAACATTAATGTCCTACCCTATTTAAAACTGCTAATAGCAACACTCTTTTGATTACTCAAACTTTCGAGAGCCATTATTGTATCAGTGATCTGGGGGACACGTCCGCGAAATAATACGTCCCACTCACACTGATGAAGGGCCCCCGATCAGCTCGAAACTAGTCGGTGCCGCCACCGGACGAATATACGTCAGTGTTTAGCTGTTTCTTAATCAGTTGAGACATAGACTAATTGAGTTTCACGCGCATCAAGTATTTTAATAAAAATAAATACCAGCCATACCTTCATGCGTTTTTGAGAAAAAGGGTCTTGACAGACGCACAGACGAACAACAAAGCGATCCTATAAGTGTTCATTTTTTTCATATCAGGTACTGAACCCCAAAATACCAAATATAAGAAAAAGTAGGTAGATTTTTAAGGAAAAAATGGTAGAATGGTAGAAAATAATATTACTGGCAACATTATTTATCGTTTAACCTGTTATGAACTAACTTGATATCTTTTATTTTCCTTATGTTTATTGATACGATGAACTGCGTCAGTGTAAAGATGACCATAATGAGGTATGTTTTAAATACAAGTAATCTTATATCTTTAAATGAGCAATTCTTGTATATATATAATTGGAATCTCGGAATCGGCTCCAACGATTTTCATAAAATTTAGTATATAGGGGGATTCATGGGCGATAAATCGATCTAGCTAGGAATTATTTTTAGAAAATGTCATTTTATTCGTGTTTTATCGATAATCAACTTAAACATAAACTCAACTTTTACTATCGGTAAGATAGAAAAATATTATTCATATTTCATCATTTTATTAGTAATTCGTACTTAAATATAATTTCCAAAAAACACAATTTAAAAAAAAAATACATCCAGTCATCCAGGTACTTATAATAATACGGCAATATATAACAATACAACACATTTTAATACGTATTATAACAAAAAAACATTACATTAAGGAAAAAAAATATGTTTGTAAATGTTTTGTAGCTAAAAGTATAAAATTGCGATACAAAGATTTTTTATAGTTAACAGTTGCTTTGTCCGCACGGAATTAAAAACAAGATTAGTAGCCTATGTGTTCTTCCAGACTATGTTCTATATCTATGACAAATTTCATCTATATCCGTTCAGGAGATAACTTCAAACATCTATCTAAACATTCGCATTTATAATATTAGTAAGATTTGTTTGGCACAGGTACTTTCCTGCGAGCGTGTTCACGTTAATCGTATTGGCGGGAAACGGTCACGTTTTGGCGCAAACTGTCATTGAAAACCCTGATGCTTTAGGTACGTAATAACTACGTCTTAATTATTTTGAAGCAATATCACAAAGTTCATCGTACGATTCAAATAGATAAATGTCATGAACAATTATCATACAAAACGCAATCATAATGTGGCAAGCTCAATCAAAAAGAGTTAACAATATTAAGCGCTAAATTCCAGGTCCAAGCTGTCTTACGCCAGACGGCAAGGCCGGGGTCTGTGTGCCAAATTATCAGTGCAACTTCGAGACCAATTCCGTTGACCCCGGAGCGACTATAGACCTCAGGTCAGTGTGACATTGATATATATTGTCATTCCTTACATCATCAACTATACGTTCCTACTGTGTTTGTACCTTGCATACAAAGTAACTAAAACAATCTTTCTTCATATATATAAAATCAATTGCTGTTTTTACCTGAAATCGCTGATATAGCGAAGTGACCGTTGCCCATAGACATACGCAAATGCAGATGCGTTGCCTACCTTTAATCAACGGAAGAGAGGATGCACAGAAAGAAAAGATCTTCCCTTCCCATGCATCCTCTCATCCGGAAAGTCCACTTCCACGTCCCGTCTTTTCCTTATAAGAAAAAGGGTGGTAAGGGAAAGAGGACTAAATTAGGCCTCGGGGACGCACACTCATAGACGAAACGCGGAATCGCTTCCACTTTATGCCTGTCTTCTGTGTGTTCGTTAGTCTCGCTAAAACTCGGGTAAAGCTGAACGGATTAATCTTATCTTGGTCTTAAAATTTACGTAGAAGTCTAGGGAAGGTTTGAAAGGCGAGAAAAAATCGAATAATTGCCGGGAACTAATTAAGTTTTTTTTATTCCATGCGGATGGAGTCGTGGGAGACAGCTAGTAATGAATAAAAGTTCCTAGTTCACACAATACTCTGACTCTAGGACGCAGTCATGCCCGCATTATCTCCAAATCTGCTGCTTACGAGAAGAGAGAGCAGGAAGTAAGACTGTAGAGGAAATGCCTCAATGTGGATTCAGCAATCCAGGCGCAGTGGAATTGAAGACTAAGCCTACATTAGTAGGGGAAGCTGAGTATGGAGAGTTCCCGTGGATGGTTGCTCTGCTCAGGTAATTTTAGATATTATTAGTTAAAATCCTTTGGCGCGAATGGCGCGCATTCGTTACAAAGGCAAGTGTCAGAAAGATTAGTGAGGGGACATAAACGTTGACATTTTAGTAAGGCTAGTGTTGCGCCCGTACACCGGCACACTGTCGGATTTTCTTCCTAACAGTACATAGTTAACCTCTATTAGTATAGATGGCGCTGTAACAAATTCTTGTAACATGTTTTCGAATATGTTTTGAACTTGGCCAACCATTTTTTTCTTATCCGTAATTTTTTATTAACTTTTTCATATATTATGCTTTTTAAAGATAAATAGCGATCGAAAAACATGATTGAATAATTGTTATTGAGATTTTCTGCGATCAAAATCCATTTAAACATAACATCATCCTTGTCTGTTGATAAAACAGAAACAATATGTTTTAAACGGTTATTTCGGTCTCAGATACCCACGGTTAGTGCATTGTAACTATTGGAAGAAAGAGCGTCTGCTAATACGACGGAGCCTTGAGTTATTTTAGGGGGTCTAAGACCCCGCTTAAGGTAATGAATGGCGGGACCAAGTAATTGTTTTCTCCAGATCCACAGCACCGGATCAGGCGTGGTCACAGGATGATTACGTTGGAGGTGGCTCGATTATACATCCTAAAGTTGTACTTACCTCGGCACATAAAGTGGCACGTTATACCGAGGCTGAAGTAAGTTATTCATCATCATCAGCTCACTACCATATACATCTCCACTGAGGGTCTAACCTACCCTCAGTTATGTGACTAGGTCATAGCCAATGCTGGTCCAGTGCGTCACTTCATACATATCTTTGACTTTCGCAGATATGTTTAGCATCACGATGATTTCCTTCACCGTAACAACATAGGATAAATGTACATATGTACCTAAATCACACAAGACGGGATTCGAACTCAGGATTACAGTCTAAGGCTACCACTGAGCTACCGTCGCTTTTATAAGTTAGTTAAGTGGTAGGAAACATTGATGGATTGGAAATTTCCAACCTCCTTCTTTACAAATTGGCGACTTTTGAATTTGGGAGCTTTTTAGTTTCGTGTAAAGGGATATGACGATTCAAAGATATGTATGAAACAGTAATAACACTACAAAAAGGAAAAGGGCAAGTTGATAAAGGTAAAGATTTTTTTTAATAATCGTATTTTATAGATTAAATGTCGCGCTGGCGAATGGGACACAACTAACACGGACGAGAATTACCTAACACAAGAACGACAGGTTGAAAAGATAATACAACACGACGACTTTTTCGACCGTAAGTAAAAAAATTAACATTAATTCATTGGAAGGCCAAAAAATTCGGACTGACTTTAACCTTTGACTCGGGGGAAGAATACGAATCGAATGGTACCTCACTCGTTATAATCTGTTCAGTCGTTTAGTTGTTAAGAAGGTCACAATGGCATGGAATGTAAAATGCCACATAATTTTAGTCGTCAGGCTATACGAGGACTTCCTTCCGACCGCGTTATCAACTAACGATATTCATCATCATACGTCCCCACTGAAAGGCTTGGAGCCTACTACGCTGGCCAAGTGCGGGTTGACTTCAGACATATCTTTGAATTTCTTCTCAGATATGTGCAGCATCACGATGTTTTCCTTCACCTTAAGAACGTCGGATAATAAATAAAAAAGTAAATTGAAAATTGAAAAGCATATTGGTACATAGCGGTATTCGAACCTAGGACCTGCAGATTGCAAGTCAAGTGCTTAACTTCGAAATTGCGCTCTAAAAAATCAAATATACCTGATATTAATTTAAATTTTAATCATCTTTATATTTAAAATCCAACAAAGGTCGCGATTATACTAAAATTAATAAAAAATTTAGCTAGTTTACAAATTGTCTAAATTCCCAATCTAAAGGTAACATGTAATTTCAGTTCAAGTGTACTACAACATCGCATTGCTGGTATTGAAGGAGCCTTTCATCTTTAACGATGCCCCACACATGGGTATAGCGTGCGTGGGCAAAGTGCTGCCTCCACCGGGCACACAATGTTTCACCATGGGCTGGGGTAAAGACACAACTGGGAAATACGCCACTATCTTAAAAAAGGTACGTCTAAATCTACCTTTAGACGCTAGACTCTAGAAGTTCGTTGCGACTTCGTCAGCGCATTTAAAAGATAGCTTATAATAATCTCGCATGCATCAGAGTCGCCGTCAAAATCCCGTCAGAATCAGTCCAGTAATTCGGGAGATTAGATGGAAGAAACTAGGACTTCAGAACATACAGGCAGACAGAAATCTTTTTACATCTGTGCCAAATATCCAAAGATCCGTTGAACCTTTCCGGAGATACCTTCTAAAAACATCCATCCATCTAAACTTTAGCATTTATAATATTAGTAAGATAGTAAGAAGAATAAGATGGATATCTCTAAACCTACATGTGTTAAGACAGTCCAAACCTAAAGTATAGAGTCATCATCATTCGCATCACTTCTTCAACAGATTCAACTACCATTGATCGATTCTGACCAATGCCAGCATTCGTTGCGCAACACAAGGCTCGGCTCTCGGTACCTGCTGCATCCGAGCCACATCTGCGCTGGCGGGGTAGTAGGCGTTGATACCTGCAAGGGGGATGGTGGTTCCCCACTCGTCTGCAACGTCGGAGTATGTTATATTAAAATCATCACCCTGATCTTATTTCACGTTATATGTTGTTTTCCTTCACCGTAAGAACGTCGGATAAATGTACATATGTAAATCGGAAATCGAAAAACACATTAGTACATGGCGGGATTCGAACCCAGGACCTGCAGATTGCAAGTCAAGTGCTTGACCACTGAGCCACCGAAACTCTTAATTACGAATTAGATAATATTACTAACTAATATAAAAACTCAAATATAGTTCTTGAGTTATAAGTCAGTCTTAAAAATCTGTTTACAGAACGCCACAGTGGCGCGCTACGCAGTCATCGGCTTGGTGTCATCTGGAGTTGGTTGCGGAAAGAAAAATGTACCAGGATTGTACACGAATGTGCCATTCCTATACAGCTGGCTGTTAGATGCTATGAATAAGGAGAAATTGCAAAGCAAAACCTTTACATATGAATAATTTAAAAATAAACAAACACACCTTTATTCCAATACTGTATATCCTTGACTTTTAAATCGAAAGGATCTGGCAAGTGAAAACAAATACGTTCTTTTAAATATGTGCTAGCTGTTTCTATAAATTTTTGATCTATAATGTTATCTAGACGCTAGTGAGCTATGTTTTAATTTGACTTATCGCGTCAAATAACTATGTCGGACTGTATCAGAATAATATACACATGTGTGATTGGCTTTACTTCTCCCATGTTGACAGTGTTAGAATTTATTTTTCATCTTATTGCTTAGTCCGTATCTTTATAGTCCAAGATACTGAAGAAGCAAATACAGATAATAGTGCCCTCTCGTACAATAATTATAAATTAAAATATATTGAATAAAGATAGGCAACGCATATACAATTGCGTATGTCTATGGGCAACGGTCATTTCGCTATTTCAGCAATTCAGGTGGCCGCTCACTCGTTTGCCATCTTATGGTATAAAAAAAATATTTAGGAATCTTAAATTTATAAATTAAAGCTTCATATAATTATAAGTCAAGTTAAAAAATCCTTTAAATTCCCGTAGTGATTGTATTGGAATAAAGGTACATAGTGTCGGTTTATCTTATCGGTTTTTTCATCCATTAACTACTAAGCTAGTGGAAAAGTGGTCTAAGGGTTACTTACTAAGGCTTGAGAATTCTTCTATGATTAGTAAAAGTTATTACTTAAGATTATTTTTTATAATAAACTAGCGGAGCCGACAGACGTTGTCTGACAATTTGACACTGCGATGGTAGCGCCGTCTGTCGGATCCAATTTAAAACATTCTAAAATCAACAACTACTAATAAATTAAAAATTAATTGAAAAAACATTTTCCAGCGGACAAAATTGTGAATCTAAACCATTCCCAGATCCCCTTGAACACACACAAAAAATTTCATCAAAATCGCTCCAGTCGTTTGAGAGAAGTTCAGTGACATACACATTCACAGAAGAATTATATATAAGTATAAAGATAAGTATAATACTCAAAAATAATTTAATTTTAAATAAATTAATTAATATTGTATGTGTATTTTAGTTTTCTTTCCTAAACCTCTTCCAAATTATGAATCCTTTATAGATGTACTTAGTTATATCGTTTGTCAGGGCCTGCGTTAGGAAATGGCGCAAGCGATCGCTTAGGGCGATTTTTTTTACATCATTAGGAGGCAAACGAGCGAGCTGCCACCTGAAATCGCTGAAATAACGACCGTTGCCCATAGACATATGCAATTGCAGATGCGATGCCTAACTTTAATCGACGGAGGAGGGTATGCACAGAAAGAAAATATTTTCCCTTCCCATGCACAAAATCCACTTCCACTTCCCATCATTTCCTTATTACAACAAGGGTGGGAAGGGAAAGACGTATAAAATGAGGCCTCCGAGACGCACACTCGTCAGACCGTAGTTGGAATAGCTTCCACTTGACGCGTGTCTTCTGTGTCGTGGTATTGCACCGGGCGAACCGGACAATTCGTGCGAAGACGTTAAAGCGGGCTCTACCTTTGGTGTTTCTTTCCCAAACCTCTTAAAAATTGTAAATCCTGTACTTAGATGTACCTAGTTATATCGTTGGTCAGGACCGACGTTAGGGAAGGGCGCGGTTGGGCGATCGCCCAGGGCGATGCACCGACAGGGGCACCATAGGTCTGCAAATTACAGTCTCATGTCACCCTCTTAATTCCCCCCATAATAAGAAAAGAAGGCGTTGCAGAAGTCACGCTATAGAGCTAAAGCCTTTACAACTGTTTAAATTAAATTTTATTATAAATGCGAATGTTTAGATGGATAGATGTTTGTTAGAAGGTATCTCCAGAACGGCTGCTACTCGATGCAATTAGTCATAGATGTAGAACATAGTCTGGAAGAACACAGTCAATTTTTTTTAATTCCGCGCGTACGGTGTCGCGGACTATCTTATACATACATGTATTAATGAAAGTCCATACTACTGATAATACGAGTTTGTTTATATTAACCTCAAAGATCAATGTAAAGTTATCATCAACTTTTCGGATTTACCCTCGTCGTCGAACAATATTAAATTACGTCTTTCACACTAGGGTAGTCAACTTTTTAATAAACACTATAGTGTCTATTTAAGATAGATTACTTTGACAACTGACGCCTATGAAGTATAGAATTAATTTTGTATGAGGATTAATGTTGTACTTAATAAACGCTTGTCATAATATTGGACCGTACACGCATAACAAACAAAACACATAAGTACTAAGTTGTTCGTCAACACCACATTTTTTTGTTTCATGTTTTTCTTTATGAAGATGCAGAAGGAATAGAAAGAAACAATTTTATTAATATTGTAATTCAAAAACAAAAATTACGTAATTTTCGATTGCAAGTCCTATGAGAACAACTATCCTTAATCGTTTTTACTCCATCCTTATCTAGTCAATTGTAAAACTAATCTATATTAAATAGACAAACTATAGTATTGGATTTTACCATCCCTTTTATTATCTTACTAATATTATAAATGCGAAAGTTTAAATGTATGTTTGTTAGAAATATCTCCAGAACTGAACGGATCTCGATGAAATTTGGCACATGAACATAGTATGGAAAAACACATAGACTACTAAAGTTTTTTTTTAATTCCGCACAGACGGAGTCACGGGCACATTTAGTAATATTATAAATACGAAGGTTTAGAAAGATGGATGTTTGAAGGTATCTCCGGAACGGCTTAAACTTGAAGAAATTTGACATAGATGTAGAACATGTCGCGGACGAGAGCGAAAGCGTGCCCGTGGCCCCGTCCCGATGCGTTGGAGGAACAGAGAGGTTTAGTGGGTACGCCTCCGCTATGAAAGAGAATCCCACATAACTACCGCGTCCCCCGCGGCGTGGAGTATGCATAAAGCATTCCCCTCTGGAGAAAAAAAAAGATGTAGAACATAGTCTTAAAGAACAGATAGGATACTTATTTAGTGTTTTTATTCCGCGTGACCGGAGTCATATGCGCCAGCTAGTCTTGGAATAAACAGACATGATACGTATGTATGTCTTGAATATGTTTTTTCCCAAACTGGATAAATACGTTATATATAACTACTATAAATAATGAATGCAGTCATTTACTTATCTCCTCTTGATAATATACATATATGAGTATGTATTAGTATGTGAAGATCTTTCTTACATGCATGAACAATTTAACATATATGTGTTATTATTAAATATATATATTTAAAAGTGTATATAAACTGTGGACGAATTACGAATACAAAATGCAGGTATGTTTTTTTTATATTAAGAAAGCAAAGTGACAAGGTTTTTTCATATCGAAACTAGCAGTCGCCCGATACTCCGTCCGCGTGGAGTTAACAAACTCAGTAGCCTATGTGTTCTTCCAGACTATGTTCTATGTGCCAAATTTCAATTATATTCAGCCGTTTAGGAGATACATCTAAACATTCGCATTTATAATATTAGTAAGATTTTGTGATTTTACAATGAAAATGCAATGATATACGAAACACAACCAGAATGATAAAAAAAAACTAAAGTTATAAAAATATGAAATACTTATTCAAACCATCTCTTGATTTAATTTACTCATCAGCAACCAGATGCTTCCGACCTTGTAAAACACGTTGTTGCTCAACAAAGAATCAAAATGGCGGATATCAAATAGGCACAAAATACCAAGGTCTATAACCTGTTCATGTCAGTGTTTACGTCACCGTTAATTGTTTTTTTTTAATAACCAATCGATATTTTTAGATATTTTGGATATTATTCGCATTGGTATCGATGTCTCGATGTGAAGATTATGATGATGGTGGGGATTTAGATTCATTACTGAGCGACCTTTTTAATACGACAATGCCAACTGAAATGCCATCAAGAGTGGGTATGTAGTCCTACGGGGTTAGACAAAGTGCTTTCGCTTCGAAGTGATTCCATAGCGAACTTCGAAAACGTATGGAAGTGAATTGCGACAATAATATAATTATTTAAAGTTACTTATTAGTGTACATTACCTAGGACTTTTTCTATATAATGCAGTCATCCGAACGTTGCAGCAATCCGGCACCTTCCGCTTATTTATAGTGCCGGATTAGATTTTTTTTATATCAAAAGGTTGCAAACGAGCGAGCGGCCACCTGAAGACGCTGAAATAGCGAAGTGACCGTTGCCCATAGACATACGCAATTGCATATGTGTTGCCTACCTTTAATCGACAGAGCAGATGATGCACAGAATGAAAATATCTTCCCTTTCCATGCATCCTCTCATCCGGAAAGTCCACTTTCACTTCCCATCCTTGCCTTATAAAGAAAAGGATGGGAAGGGAAAGAGGACTAAATTAGGCCTCCGGGACGAACGCTCATCAGACGAATGGCGGAATTGCGTCCACTTCACGCCTGTCTTCTCTGTGGTTGTGGTATTTCACCGGGCGAACCGGGCCAATTTGTGCGAAGATGTTAAAGCGGGCTCTACCACTGTTAAATTCAAATTAGTGAGATCATACTGTATTTTTAAGTTAATAAAAAATCTGATATAAAAATGTTGATTTCCAATAACAGAGACTTGCGTCACACCAAACAAGCGGCAAGGCGAATGCGTTAATTTTAATCTTTGTGGCAGTGCTCGGAGTAACAGTGATTATGTTGTTAATATCAGGTTAGTTTTTTTTTTTATTAAAATATTAGCCGATTTTGTTTGTAAATTTACTAATATTTCTTTTACCATTTCAACTAAGCTTTAGTCTTGTGCTAGGATATGGTTTACGACAATAGTAGAATGGCGGGATTCGAACTCCCGACCTCGTGTCGCTCTTAACCATTAGGCTATTGTTGTTTACTAAGTCCCCACTGAAGTTATAAACTACCCTAAATGATGTGACTAGGTCATAGTAAATGCTGGTCCAGTGCGTCACTTCACACATATCTTTGCCTTTCACAGCATCACTATGTTTTCCTTTACCGTATACATAGATTAAGTAGGTACTATAGATACTCTGAATCACAAGCCATTAATGGAAGCTTAAACGAATGTTCCGGCGCTAATATTATTATGCACTATTTTTGTTGAAGCAATCATTTTTCTTTTTCACCGTAAGAACGATGAACGGACAAATATACATATGAACAAATTGTTACGTAGCGTAATTCGAACCCAGGACCTGCAGATTACAAGTGCTTAACCTCTGAGAATCTGAGTTATTTTCAACAGGCTGCTTAACGGACCTTGTCAATCATATTTGGACGTATGCTGTGTTCCTACAAATGTACAGGATCAGCCCAAACCTGTGTCAAAACCTTTCTTACCGGTAAGTTAGTTGAATATATATTTTTGATCCATCCATATCCATCATCAGCTCATACATCCCCACCTGGAGGTCCTGAGCCTAGACTAAGTAAGGGGTAACAGTTAACCCAGTGCGGGTTGGTTGACTTCACACATATCTTTGAATTTCTTCACACATATGTGCAGCATAACGATATTTTCCTTCACTGTAAGAACATAGGATAAACGTACATATTTTATGTAAATCGGTAATCGAAAAACACATTGGTACATGGCGGCATTCGAACAAGTGCTTTAACCCCTGAGCCACCGTCGCTATATAACGATTTTGTATCCATTAAGCTTGAATATATCTAGAAAGTTTTATAACTAAAATCTTCGGGTTTTGAAGAATTATGATCCCTTTTGTAAGAAGGGACCTTCAAGACTGATGATTGTAATACTTTGACTCTTTTATTTAATATATTCCTGCATCGTAATATTCGTTTTATTATTGTTGCTGATGTTATCAACGCAGTCAACATTGTGACATCACGTTCATAGGGATCCGTTTACCGAACTAAGAAAACCCATAAGTGATTTTGATTGTAGCTGTGAATTTATTTCAGCGCGAAGGCTGCGGTTGGCGCAACCCCAACGGTGTCGGTATGGTTACGATCGGGGATGTCAACGGCGAAGCTAAATTCGGAGAGTTCCCATGGATGGTCGCCGTTTTAAAGTATGTCATATTGAGATATAAATCTTACTTCTTCATCATCATCAAAAAACACATTGTTACATGGCGGGATTCGAACCCCGGACCTGCAGATTGCAAGTCAAGTGCTTGACCCTTGAACCACCGACGCTCAAATCTTACTTCTTACTAATATTATAAATGCGAATGTTTAGATGGTTCTTAATTTAAGGCATGTCCAGAACGGGTCACCGGATCTTTATGAAATTTGGCGTAGATGTAGAACATAGTCTGGAAGAAAACATAGACTACTCTCTAAGTTTTTTTATTCCGCGCGGACGGAGTCGCGGGCGACAGCTATTAATATTATAAATGCAAATGTTTAGACGGATGGATAGATGTTTGTTTGAAGGTATCTCTAGAACGGCTGCATGGATCACGCTGAAATATGGCATAGATGTAGAACATAGTCTGAAAGAAAAAGTTGGCTACTAAACTACTACTCAATAATCTCTCTCTAGTTTACGATAGTTGGGTAGAATAATCATTATGTAATTGTTTTTCTTCCATTAGAAAGGAACCGATGTTCCCTGGTGGCTTCAAGCACATTGGTGGTGGGTCTCTCATCCATCCGAGCGTGGTAGTCACGGGAGCCCATGTAGTATTAGCTCCCAACAATGCTGGGAGACTGATGGTCCGCGCGGGTGAATGGGACACACAGACAACGAAAGAGCCGTACCCACATCAGGACAGAGACGTCGGCAATGTGATTGTACATAAAGATTATAAAAGTAGTAAGTGTTTTTGTACATAACTTTAGCCCGTATAAAATTAAAAACGCTTAACAATACTGCTGTAAGCAAATCTACTGTTATATTATTCTTAAAATTCTATTTTGTCGTATTACGTAAGTTTTATAATACATTTCTTATTTTTACGTGTAATTCTTTCAGGAAATCTAGCCAACGATATAGCATTACTATTCCTCAATATGCCAATGATGTTGGCTCCTAACGTTGGGTTAGCATGCCTACCTACACTAGATCAGACCATGTCGCCCGGAACGAGATGTCTCGCATCCGGCTGGGGCAAGGATCAGTTCGGTGAAGTCGGCAAATATCAAGTTATATTAAAGAAGGTAAAATATTTATAGATAAAAGTTAAAAATCTTCATTTTCCTATCCTTACCGCACTCTATTATATATGCTACTATACTTATCTTCCAGATATATCTAGCATTCGTCATTTTTATTCATGTCTTTTTACGCACAAACTATACATTTTTATCTCTACAGATGTACCTACCTCTCCAATTAAATAGTATATTTCGATAGCCTGCAATTACGAGTTGCTTTTGTTTTATATATCATGTGTCGATTTTATCCATGACCACACGATGTTGTTGACTTACCTGGTGGCTTTACTTCCCAGCTGGAACTGCCTGTGGTGGGTAATCAGAGTTGTCAGAAGCGGCTTCGTATGACACGTCTCGGTCGCTACTTCAATTTGGACCCAAGCTTCATGTGCGCCGGCGGCGAGAACGGTAGAGACACGTGCGTTGGTGATGGAGGCTCGCCACTAGTCTGCCCGGTAATTTATCTTCAAGAATCACTTTTAAAATATACCTAAGCTTATCACTTAATAAAATAATTAACACAATAATATAATTAAAACAAATATGACATTTCTTCCCGCTAAATTTGATATAACCATAGATTAATACATCAATTGAACTTCTATACTCTTTGCCCGTTTGTGTTGCCATAATTTAATTGTAAAAATAATACAGGTGCAGACGGACCGGTACGTTCAGGCGGGTATAGTGGCATGGGGTATTGGTTGTGGTGGGACAACCCCTGGGGTGTACACTGACGTCGCTAAGCAACGGGGTTGGGTGGACGAGCAGATGACTGCCGCAGGGTATGACACCAGCAGTTATACAATGAAGATATAATTTAATAATTCAGAAAGACCGACTGTCTTTTCCTTGAATAAAAACAATACCTCACTTGTCTAATCGAATTAAAGTTTGATGAAGCGCGAAGAAATTAAATTATTCATATTCATGTCTCTTACGCTGTCATTTAACTTTCCACAAACTTTGAAACATTTTCAGGGGCAAAAAATTCGTCAATCATTTTGTTATTGCTCCCAGGTTGCATTTATTAATTTTTTGCCGACAGTATTATAAGTAGGCAGCGATTGGGATAATTTAATGTTACATTTTTATCAATTTATTTTATGATTACATTCAATAATGGAATAAACATTTATTTTATAAAAAAGTTAATTTTAATTTCCTATTTTGTCCTGTTCATAAAATGTGTTGTTAATAAAATCTGACAGATTAGAACACCAATTCAGTTTGAATTTTAATTAATAAATGTATTTAATTATTTTTAAACTATTTATTTATTTCATGAATTTAAAAAATGATCATCGAGAAAGTTCAGAAGATTGCATTTATTATATTATAACTCAATCTATACTTAATAATTATTCGTTTTTAATATTTTATTTTATATCATAGATTTAAGACTATACATTAGATTCTTTGTTAGTTTATTGCTAAATATAAGTAATTACTCAATCTATTATAGTAGTTTAAATGAAGATAATAGAGTTTTATTTATTAAACAGGAAGAGTTTTGAAATATATTAATTTAATAACTACCAAATTCTACCATTTGTTTATTTTTAATTAAAGTTCTGGCAATCTCGCGGTGACATAGTACTGTCATCGGTCAGCCTGTCATTGTCACCATCGATTGCTTTTCACGTGCTCTTTAAATCAACGCTCAACGATGGAGGGCCGCTATGCCGCGACGATAGTTATTGTTAATTCTTGCAACTTGGTGCCTGTAATTTCAAAATACAAATCTAGATGTAAAAGTTGCCAAATGTTAGAAACGTGGCATTTTATCTTGTGAAGTGTGGCGTCTTTCTATTCAAGAATAAACAAATTTTTATACATGGATGTTTTGGTCGTGTCCGTTGAATATTCAGTTGTCTTTATTGTTCTTTCTTCATGTCATAAACATTAATATTGTAGATTATTTGTTCGAAAGAAGTTATATTCTTAAAAAATCTTGCGACAACACACAATTTTAGTTAGTGTTGTTACAACTTTACTTTGGTCTAGGTTGGGAGTTGTGTAGAATCAATATTGCGTTGCAATTGTTTTTCTTTTTTTTACGGTGAAGGAAAAGATAGTGATGCAAGCTGCACATATTTTAGAAGAAATTCAAAGATATGTGTGAAGTCAACCAACCCGCACTTGTCTAGCGTGGCTGACTATGGCTTAGTCACATAACTAAGGGTATGCCCCAAGCCCCTTGGTGGGGACAGCGAAGTGACTGTTGCACAGTCATCTACAAGTTATAAGTTTGTTGAGGTTTTCCTTACCTTTAAGATACAGAAAAAGGATATTGGCCATGCCTGTATTTCACTTATATCACAATCCTCTTCTTCCAAACTTTTTGTTACAAAGTAACAAACCAACCAACTTAAATTGTCCTCCAATGAACAAAGTATTCTGTTTCTCTAATCATAAGTATAGATTCTAATTTTCTTGTGTTTTAATTGTTTAAAAGTTGTACAAATTTTTATCAAAGCAATTTCAATGACTTGAAATTGACTTAATAGTCGGCAATGTGATATTGAACGAACCTCACAAGATAAAATATTTCATAAGTCTATGAACTATTGTATATAATTACAGTAATAGAATAGGTTGGGCGCATGAAAAGAGCATACAAATGAGAATAGAATCTGACCGGTAGAGGGAATATATTTCCTACCATAAAACAATATATTATTTCTATGTACATATGTTTTTACTTCTATTATATACCCTTAAACATTATCAATTTTATTTTTCCACTGTCCACTCCATAGGACTGTTAAAGGGTTAAAGAAGGGCATATAATAATTTTTAAAAGACAGAAACATTCTGAATATAAAAGAAAAAATAAAAAAATGGTTGCTTTTGTTTTGAACAAAATTTCTCTGCTACTTTGTATCAATGTCTGGGCTATTCTTATTTTATTGATTCCAGTCACTTTTTTGCAAGTATTTACTTAATAACCAATTTAACTTAATCCTACCCACATTGTGAATAAGGAAAGTGCAAGTTCTATGTTTTGGTATCGGCAAAGCAGTTTATGGTTGAAGCCACAACTTTCTGGTTGTCTGTTTTTCATGATGTGACAACTCTATTCAATTGTGTGGTGATTCAAGATGTGCAACATGTGCTTAATGATAGTGTCTTGAACAAGGAGAGGAGACAACTGTATAAAAAACACAATTTGTCAAGGAATGTTTGGCGAACTCTGTCTGTTTTGGCCAAAATGTTGTCGGATCTAGTAGATGGAGTCCAAAGCATGGTGCCAAAGGTTTTGTAGAAATTGTAAATATTAGTTTTTTCTTTTTGGTATTATCATTGCTTATATATTTTTCTGACTGACATGTTCAAAAGAACGAGTCCCTAAAAAAAACTGTTAAGAAATGCTTTAATTGGGTTTTTAAAACTATAAAGTAAATCATAAATGATATTATTTAACATTAAATTGTATCAATATTAAACATTTATTGAGACTTATATAACTGTCAGAAATAAATAATAAACACAATTTTTGTATATGTAGGGTTCGGGATTCTTTAAATAAATACTTTTTACTATTTTAACTGTTTATTTTGGTTTGATTACATCTTTCGTCTACCATTCGTTCTCTCCTCTCTTCCCACACATGTATCTCATTCAGTCTTACGTTCTGTTTCACCTTTCAAATAATCTTGGAACATTTTAAACCATACATTTGGTCACAAACGTGAATCAAACCTACTTTTATAAAGTTATGACGGGATGTCCTGTTCTTACAGACTATGTTTCCTTACTCTACGCCTTTTCCAAATTATTTGAGGTCGGCCTTCCTTGTCCTAAATCTCCAGACATCACGATTCTTGAAGTCTTGTTTGTCAACTTCAATTTCCTTTAAATTGTTTTGGATGAACGTCAGCCAAGTGATCTTCCACGATTTCGCGTCGTTGTTGTAAGATGCGTCAATAAAACACTGCGGTCGGATGCCAACTGATTTATTACTTTCCAATAACTACCTTCATTATACTACACATCTCTCCCCTAATTAATAACATTTTGATAACATTTAAACTAAATTAGCTTTCCACTTAATATATATATATAAAGATATATATATATATATATTTTTTTGACATGTTTAAACTTACATCTACTCTTTTTCCCTCCACCAAGTAAAATTAATTTTTCCCTTTACATCATTCAAGTTTTCTTTATATTAATATCCATATATATATATTTTTTTTTTGTTATTTTATATAATAAATAAAATCAAACAGAAAAAAAATGGAACAAGAATGTGACTAAATTAAAGTGCCTAAAACTTTTTTTTTTTTTTTTTTTAACTTTACTCCATCTGTTTCCTTCGCCATTCGCGACGAAGTGCTCTTTTAGTCCTCTCATTCAATTCTCCGGATAACGTGCTCACCTGGTTGGAACTTCCGGGAACCACCAAGGTGCTACCCTGAGCCTCCACCGGCTCCGCCGTCTCAGTGGCCGGCACAGACGCAGTGTCCGTGTAATTGTCGGGCTGCGGCTGTGCCTCCGTGTACGCATCGTAATCAATATCTAAAGTAACACCCTCATAATCGTTATTTCTATTCCGCGGTCTCGTGTTGACGTACTCATCAATGTTGCTATAATTATCCGATTCGTTTACTATGTCCCATGAAAACCTATTGTTGCCGAGAGGTAAAATCTGGTCCGTGTGTCGTCGGTGCACCCCCCCATCATTATTTATAATTTTATAAGACACCGGACCGGTTTGTTGTAAAATTTTCCCTTCGACCCACTTCTGACTATTCGTTGAATAATTTCTCGATAATATTTTATCCCCTACATTAAAGTTCCTAGCTAGTCCCGAGGAGTTGCGTATTTGTTTATCCTGCACTTCCTCGACTATTTTTGCGGTGCTCGGGCGCATCGCGTCCAGTCTGTTCCGCAAGCGATGTCCGAGGAGCGCCACTGCGGGCGCCACGCCTGTCGTTGCATGCTCACAATTTCTATACTGCATTAGGAACCGATATAAACTAGTGTGTATGTCCCTACCTTCTATAACGGCTTTCTTAATAGTTTTTTTTACTATTTTTACACAATTTTCGGCTGCGCCGTTACCTTGCGGTCTATAGGGTGAAGAGGTTATGTGGCGTATCATGTTTCTATCACAAAATTCTCTAAATTCCGCACTTTGAAACGGAGGTCCGTTATCCGTTACGAGCTTATCCGGTAGGCCGAACCTCGCAAATAAACTTCTCAAAAACTTTATGGTGTGATAGGCCGATGTACTACGTATCTCCTCCGCCTCGAGCCACTTACTATGAGCATCCACTACGATGATATAATACTTGCCGTGCAACTGAGCAAAGTCAGCGTGCAGTCGCTGCCAGGGCGCTGCGGGAAACTCCCAGGGATGAAGTGTGGCGCGCGGGGGGGCGTCGCGTACGCTGCGACACGCCTCGCACTTGTTCCCGATCAATTCGATGTCTTTATCGAGTGCCGGCCAATAGACATAATTCCTAGCGATGGACTTCATTTTTACAATGCCTAAATGTCCGTCGTGAATTTCTAACAACACGCGTTTCTGTAATATTTGCGGAATCACCAGACGATATTTATACAAAATACAACCATGATCAATATATAAATCTGAACGCCTAACATAAAAAGCCATTTCATCATCTGCACATTTTTCCGGCCATCCGAACATAATATATCCAAAAATCCTACTTAACAAATTATCTTTAGTTGTTGCTAATGCTATTTCTTTAAAATTAACCGGTAAAGTTTCATCGACGTACATTAAATAATGTTTATCCGGCGCACTCGATGCGCCATCGCTGCCGTCTCCCTCTAGCGGCAAGCGCGACAACGCGTCAGCGTTGCCGTTACACTTTGATTTTACAAAATCAATATTAAAATCGTACGCGGCTAATTTCGCGGCCCAACGTTGTAGCCGACTCGCCGCAGTCTGGGGAATACAGCCTTTAGGTCCAAAAATATACACCAACGGTTTGTGATCCGTTTTTAACGTGAACGTTCCTGCCAAATAAATATTGATGATGTTTTTGCACTCCGTACATAATAGCGAGTGCCTCTTTATCTAATTGACTATAGTTCTTTTCGGCGTCGGAGAGCGTCCTGGAGGCGCAGCTAATGGGACGCTCAGAGCCGTCGGGAAAGGTGTGCGCGAGTACCGCGCCTACACCGTATGCGCTGCTGTCCACGGACAACACGAGTGGGAGCGTCGCCTCGTAGTGACACAACACTTGGTCGCTAGCTAAAATATTTTTTATTTTCCTGAAGGCGATTTCACAATTTGTATTCCAACACCATGACTGATTTTTCTTTAACAGAGCATACAACGGATGGAGTAATGTACTTAAATTAGGAACGAATTTGCCATAATAATTAACTAACCCTAAAAATGCCTTTAATTGAGTCACGTTCGTCGGTTCCGGAGCCTTCACGATGGCGTCCACCTTGGCCATGTCCGGATGTAAACCGTGTTTATCAATAATAAAACCTAAGTAAGATACACTCTTTTGCAAAAAATTACATTTATTCAACTTAACAGTAAGGCCCATGTTTGCCAATCTTTCTATTACCGCACTCAGATTTTTCTTATGCGTCTCCCTATCTTTCCCAGTAACACAAATATCATCTAGGAATACTACAGTATTCGGTAAGCCCCTAAGTGTCTCCTCCATAATTTTTTGAAACATTTGTGGAATACAATTTAAGCCATAGGGAGTACGCTTAAATACATAAGTACCAACATGTGTGGTGATGGCCGTGCAAGCCTGCGAGTCGGGGTGGAGAGGAACTTGCATATACGCGGTTGTCAGATCTATTTTTGAAAACTCCTGTCCGCCGCTGAGGGCCGCAAACAATTCCTCTATCCGAGGAAGCGGATATTGATCAATTTTTAATTTCGGATTTATTGTAGATTTGTAATCGCCGCATATGCGGATCTCCCCGGAAGGTTTAATAATAGGTACTATAGGTGTACCATAATCGGAATGTTCAACTTGATAAATCGATCCCTCTTCTTCTGTGAAGGACTTGGCCTTCCGGGCTGGCGATTTCCGCGTTGAGGTGGTTGTTCTTGATAGTAGTTTGGCTCCCTATCTTGCGGAGCGAAATTACTATTATTAGGAAAAGGGTTGTGGCCTCCACGACCCTTGAAGCGACGCTGGTTATAACCGGTATACATGATGATGAACTTGCCAGGTGGAAATCCGAACCTGAAAAATCATCCTCGTCGCCAGTGTAAGATGCGTCAATAAAACACTGCGGTCGGATGCCAACTGATTTATTACTTTCCAATAACTACCTTCATTATACTACAGTTGTGGGCATGCTTAAGGTCAGTTTGACCATCCTATTTACATATTTTCATTTATTGGACGGCTCTATGCCGCCCTCTCGTTCGTCTAACATGTGTGGGTCAGGGACCTGGGGTGCGGGTTTCTCTTTATTTCAATAAAAATTATAAAAAATCTTTATGTACAATCAATCTTTTAACTATTTATTCTAGATTAAAAACTGGTAAAATTATATAATTTATAATAATAATAGTTTATAATAAGAAAATGGTTGCATAGGACACTTTTGGGATAGTAATAACATTAGTGCGGCGAGGTGGTGGGCAGAATAAAAGATTTTCCTCTTCTTCTTACTTTATTCACTATTTTAGAATATCTTATGACACTTGTACACATTTCGTCTTGCCGTCCTTCACTCCGTGCAACATAATCTTGTTCATCTCTACGTCCTTTATACCGTCTATAATGTACTTAACCCAGATAAGCCTGAAACTAAAATTTTCTGAAAATTTTGAAAAAAGTTACATTATTTAGTTTATTAGATCTTATGCAACATAAAAAAAAATATGAAAAAAAAAATTAAGTGTAAGGCTTTCAGGGAAACAGCCGTCCTATATGTAGGACAGTAGGATAATAAGAGGAGGCCGCGGACGAGAGCGAAAGCGTGCCCGTGGTCCCGTCCCGATGCGTTGGAGGAACAGAGGGGTTTAGTGGGTATGCCTCCGCTATGGAGGAGAATCCCACATAACTACCGCGTCCCCCCCCGGGGCGCGGAGTATGCATAAAGCATTCCCCTCTGAAAAAAAAAAAGGATAATAAGAGGAAATAAAAGACCATTTATGACAAAACAGAATGTAATCAAAAAGTGTAGTTTATTAGATAACTATTGATTATATTACCCATTGTTATATGTAATTTACTAGATTAACACTATTTATGAATGATATGTTTCAAAACACTTGACACACACTCCAACATCACATTTCTTACAACGTGAGTTATGTCGTGCTGGCAGGAGACCTACATAATGGTACTTAAGATTAATTTAAACTGCTAGTGGTTACGTAACTCCTCCGCCCGAAGAATGAAACGTACTGGGGTTGAGGGTTGGGGTTCATCTTCAACCCTTAAGTCCTGTGTTTCTTGCATTTCGATGTCGGTCTGCAGTGTATTCTGTCGAGACTTGAATCTTCTTACGTCTCTCTTCATAATGTAGCTTACACTTATACATAATGATATAGTAAGTAACAGTATAGTAAGCCAACTAGGTTTGTTATCGAATACCTGTTTCTTCTCTAGGATAGTTTCGGTATCCAATACTTTCGCATTATTTAATAACTTGTATATGCTGTCAAGCTCTATGTTTTAAGTTCTACAGTAGTCTCTGCTGCGGTATTAAACTTTAGCTTCGGGATTGGTATAATTTCCCTTGATTTAATATATCTAACATGTGTTTCTAACGTATAATCTTTTATGGTAATTTTACATTGTTTATCAATTGTTATTAAATTAGTACCTTTAAGGCGTTGGTATAATGTTTCGTTGTTGCATAATTTCTTGATGATTATTTCGTTTTTAGAAACTACTATCCATACATTTGACTTTATTTTTCTTATAAGCAAATCGTTATATGATGCAGTTACTCTCGTACAGTTTACTGGATCTTGTTTTGCTGAGTGATGATCTGTGGGATACATTCTTTTGATGACTGTAGGGGTCGCCAATCTAATTGTTTGCATATCTTCAAATCTTCGTTAATCTGTGTGCAGGGCTCTTGTGGATACGCGTATACATTATTTATTTGTAAAACCATGTGCTTTAAATTTATTTTGGTTTCGAATTTTTCTAAGAAATCAAGTCCTAATAAACCTATAAAATCTTTATCAAATTCGAAGATGAGAAAAGGGTGAATGGCATTTGTGTTGAATAGGGGTGGTAGTTTTAAGTCAATTATTTTCTTTAGTTTCGAGGTTCCGTGTACAGTTATAATCGTGTGTGGTTGAATTTTAATTTTATTTTTAAGTTCGGGATGATTGTCAATTACTCTGGGGCTAATTAATGATTTTGCTGCGCCAGTATCAATAAGGAATCTACCGCCAAGTTCGTTAATATAGATTGATGGTAGACCGTTGTGGTTATTTATATAAATTACTCTGGACTGTCTCTATAATTTGTTGAAAATTTCCATCGTACTCTTCTACGTTCTGAGTGACTTCTGAGTCAGAATCCGATACGTCGTTGGTTATCTCATTTTGTTGGTAATTAACTTTATATTTTTTGTTGGGTTCTGTCTTACTCTTTTTTTATTTGTTGGAACTCGAGTTTGGGTTTATTATATGGATAAGAATAAGTTGGTTTTGTATTCGCTTCTTGCCTACTAACGTTAACCGGATTATTTACTCGATATGTTTTTAGTTTATGATCCTCCTGTATTGCGATATGGATTGCACTTTCTAAGTTTTTGGGATTATTCATCCTTGTCGCTAAGGATACGAATGGACTTAGTTGATTTACGAGCGTATTAATGCCCATTTTCTCTTAATATTCTTTTTTTGTTGGATCTATATCTATTAATGTGTATGTTAATTCTCTGACTTTATCGCAGTTTTTTAGTAAATCTATTTTATTTTTTGTCAAGTTATTCAATTCATGTACTAAAATGATTTCCTCACGCGTTTCGCCGAATCTATTTTGAAGTGAGGTTTTAATCTCAGGCCAAGTTTTAAAACTAGGCACCTCTGCTAAGACTTCTATCGCTTGTAAGCCTTGTAACTTCTTTATTATAAGTGATCCGATGCTAGGATCATTATCTTTATTTTTTACAATGTCCAGAACATTTTCTACCGCTTTTATAAAGAAATTTAACGTTTTTTTATTACCATCGTAGCTTGGTAACAATTCGCTGATTTTTGCATATTCAGCACTTGCTGTATATAAAGATTGGTCAATTTCTATTATGGGTACATGTAACTGCGCACTTTGTCCATTTTACAATTTAAACTATTCCTACCAATTGAAATATTATCTAACGGGGAACGTTTAACAATTGCTGGATTACTACTGACAACACAAATTACACGAGTTACAAAAATTAAAAATTGATACAATCTAGTGAATTCACAGTTTTCGAGGAGGGATGGTGCACAGGGAAATACTCGGATAAATGTATAAACGCTTACCCCACGTAGAGCTTTCCGCTGCCCATATGGTGTCCTTCCTGCGACTGGATGTGTCAGGTCCAGGTGTCCGTTGCCAGTTGTCTTCACCTTCCTGCTTGCACTAGTAGGTTCTTTGTAGGATCAGCACTAGAGAATTTATCCTGTATTTACTTGATCCTACCGATCGACTGCGCCAGTTATGTCGTGCTGGCAGGAGAGGAGCTTTTAAAAAATGTTTTATTTATTTTAATATACAACTTTCCTCTTAGGAGGTTACAATCGGACTGAATTTTATAACTGACTTATCTCTAAAGAAAACATTACAATACAAATAAGCTTTGTGTTACAAGATAATGTTAAATGTTATCGGACCTACATAATGGTACTTAAGATTAATTTATACTGCTAGTGGTTACGTAACTCGTGACAAACATTTTTTGTGACAGTGACGACAGTGTGTTTGCTTCGATTGAGGAATAACCAGATGATTCATTTGGTCTTTACGACTATCAGCATGTTCATGATGGGAGGGTCGGCTAGGCCCTCTTTTGGCATTTTTTCTGTTTGATTCAATCAAAGCAATTGCTAACCTTCTGCGAAAGCCAAGATGATCCAGTTTTCCATGATTTATTTTATATAACTGCCATGCATTATGTTCGGCAAGATCAATCATGTGTGTGAGCAACGGCATGTACCATTTCTTACCTCGTATACCAATTCGGTAGTGTGAAATATTTTCATCAGACCGATCCACTCCTCCCATATATTTGTTATAGATGGACACCATATGTGGTTCTTCTATGACAATGTTTCTCTTTTCACTTTGTGAGTAGCGTTTGGCAGATTGTTTAAGATTTATTCCTACAGCATTAGAAGCAATACTGAATATATAATTGTCATGCCATTTAGCAATAATGAACGTGTTGTCATGTGTCGTTCTGTAATCGACAGCACCACGTTCCTTTTTATTCAGTAACTTCGATGTAATCAGAGGACAACTAGATGTCCTGTTTTCTCGAACTGTCCCAGTGCAACGAAGGCCTTTCTTTGTTATCTCTTCCAGCAAGGGTGTCCCAGTAAAAAAAATATCAAAAACTACGTGGTAAGGAAGGTCGAAGTCACGTGAAATCAGCACATCGCAAAAAGTGAGAACAACGCTTGCACCCAGCCCCAATTTTTTTTATATTGGATTGCACATAGTTGTAGCACCTTGGTATGGTTCCATCCATAAAACATACCCTAACCGTGTAGCACCAACCCAAGCTTTGAACCCGTACCTAATAGGTTTACCTTTTATGTGCTGTTTGCAGCCATGTCTACCATAGTAGGGGATCATGGCCTCATCTACACTGTAATGCTCTTCAAGAGGAGAAAACTCTAAGAACTTTTTATTTAGAAGTGTAACTAGGGGGCGTACTTTTGTGTATTTGTCTTGCAAATCCAGATTATCATTGACATGAAGGTGGCAAAAAATAAAGTCAAATCTATCCCTAGTAATAGCCGAGCTGATCAATTCATTCTTTGTATCAGGGGAGTTTTCCCAATACATTCTTCTACGGGGGAGCCATGAATAACCACTAACCAACAATATGCCGATGAAACATTTCATATCTTCAGTGGTTATGTCTCCAGGCAAATTCTTTTTGACAGCATATTTATTGCTCTCTGACACCAACAACGAAATAACATCTTCATCTAAGAAGTTTACAAACCACTCAATTGGGCGCTTATCTTGGCAAGCGCCTTGAACATCTGGCCAATTCACGGGATTTTTTGCCAAGTCCCGTTTTCTCCATGCGTAGGTACGCCTACGTTTAGTTCGACATGTAGAATCAGAAGGTTCTTTTTCTGTATCACTCACCATAATCTGCCCTTGAATCATTACTTCAGCCGGTTGAAGCAGATTGTTTCGTGGCAAATTATTCAAAGTTACATTATCTTCTTCACCCGAATCTTCGTCAGTGAGACAGTCAGGATCAACAGGAGGAGGTAGAATACATATCAGTCGTTCTCTATAATCTTCTTCATTATCAGAAACATTTTCTAAAGCATCTAAAATTTCATGCCCAGCTAACGGTCTGTAAAGAAAAAGTTGTATTATTGTACTAAAATCATGCATATTATCCTACTGTCCTATATATAGTACGCTAGTATTTGTAACAAGTTATACGTAATTTATTTATATTATTTTGCTAGAATATTTATTTAGTACAAAAGTTAAGGTTATCAACTAGATATTAACACAGAAAAAAACAACTCACGAGTAAAATATAACTTTTTATACATACCTGTCATTTTCCATGTCTGCAACGCACTTTTATTACACACTTATAAGGTAAAAACTGTTAAAATAACTGTCTTTTTATTTTTTCTAATAAAGCTGACACGTTTCTTACTGCATAATCATAAGACTAAATAATCTTAGATAAAGAGAGTATTCTGAAATTTTTTATTTTATTTCTACTGTCCTAAATATAGGACAGTAGGCTTATCTGGGTTAATGGCAACATAATCTGGTAACTTACCCCTCCTTCCCATTCTTCTCAAAGCTTTGGTCTTCGGATGAACCTGGATAAAACCACGGTTATGTTCAATGAACATGTAAGTCCGGAACCAATTGCAGTTTAAGGCAGCACCCTCGAAGTAGTTAAGGAGTACGTTTACCTCGGGCAAACTATGCAATTAGGTTTTTTTTTGTTTTATAACAGAAAGGGGAAAACGAGCAGCGGGAACACCGAGGTGTTCAACGACGCCCATGGACATCAGCAATACCAGAGGAACCGCAGATGCGTTGCCGGCCTTTGAGGTGGTGATAAGCTCGCTTCTTGAAGGACCCTAAGTCGTAGCTGTTTGGAAATACCGCCGAGGACAGACCATTCCACAACGCTGCTGTGCGAGGCAGGAAGTTTCGCGCAAACCGCACAACACGGTTGTGGATTGCCAGCCATCGAGATGGTGTGGATGGAACCTGGCGGTCTGTCGTGTCGTCCGATGACGGAACTCGGCGGCAGGAATCGTTCCAAACAATTCTTCAGAGCACTCCCCGTGGTATATGCGGTAGAAAATGCAGAGGGAACTAACGTCCCTCCCGCAGTGCCAGAGTGTCGAGCCGATCAGTAAGAGCTCGGTCGTTGACGATTCGAATCGCTCTCCGTTGTATGCGGTCAAATGGAAGAAGCTGGTACTGGGGTGCTCCCGCCCAGAGATGCGAGCAGTATTCCATGTGGGGCCGAACTTGCGCCGTATACAGCTGGAGGCGGTGGCCCGGTTGGAAATACTGCTTCGCTCTGCTGAGCACACCCAGTTTTTTGGAGGCCAGCTTGGCCTTGTCTTCCAAATGACCGCGAAACTGAACGTCATTCGATATGTCAACGCCGAGAATACTGATACTGGCTGAGGCAACCAGGGGAGTGCCCTCGAAACGAAGATCCACGACAAAGGGCTGTTTTTTTTAAAAAAACAACTTCGAGAGAGAGGCCACCAGAAGAATTTAGTTGGGATGGGCTGCGTCAGGCCTTCACATCACCAATTCCACAGAGTCTAAAGACTAAAGTCTTTGACCAGTGCGTCCTACCAGTCATGAAATACGGTGCCAAAACATGAACACTTACGGTAGGGCTGGTCTACAAATTTAAAGTTGCTCAACGTGCTATGGAAAGGGCTATGCTCAGAGTTTCTCTGAAAGATAAAATTCGTAATGAAGTGATCCGACAGAGAACCAAAGTTACTGACATAGCCCACCGCATTAGCATACTGAAGTGGCAATCGGCCGGCCATATAACCCGAAGAACTCCTTCATTGTTAGCATAAAATCTAAACATGTTTCGTTTGATAATTTCTGCCGACTACACATCATCTCATGCACCGTTTTTTGGTATAGCATGTCTGGGAACTCCTTTAACACAGCTTGCTTGACGCTCAGCCCATGTTTTAAACGGTCCCTCACTTTTCAGCCAAAGCGCTGCAGTACCTTCCAGGGATCTTCTCGCCACTATAAGTTGTTGTAACGGACTCCGTTCGAAGATTTTGCTGTAATATTCGATATCTTGGATCCAACGTGACACCGGGACATCGAGAACATCTCAATTGGAGCATTACGCATTGGCGGTCGGTACTGTTTACTGATGAGTGCAGAATGTGTTTGCATGGCAGTGACAGGAAAAGCCGAGTATACAGGCGTCCGGAGGAACGTTTTTCCCAATGCTGTTTTACTGAAACAGTGGCGTATGGCGGCGGTTCCTGCATGATGTGGGCTGGTATTTCCTTAAGAGGGAAAAAACTGAGCTTGTTTTCGCGCCTGCGGGCGGGCTAACAGCTGATCGGTACATCACCGACATCCTACTGAGTCATGTTGTGCCCTACGCAAGGTTTGTCGGCGAAGACTTCGTGCTAATACACGCCATCGTAAGATGTCGCACGGCACCAGTCACTCGGCAATTTCTTGAAGAGGTCGAATTGCGCACGATGGACTGGCCTGCGCTAAACCCGGATATGAATACCATCGAGCACTTATGGGACGAACTTAAACGAAGGGTTCGAGCCAGGAATCCAGTCCCTTCGAGCGTAGATAATCTAAAGTCAGCATTGTTAGTGGAGTGGAACGGCAATCCTCAAGAGATTGTAAAAAAAATTATCATTTCAATCAAAAACAGACTGCAGGCTGTAATAAAGCCTAGAGGGGGCAATACAAAATATTGATTTAGTATATATATTTTTTAATTTCTACCAATTTTTGTGTAAATTCCAAAATACGAGACCTAGGCCCTTCTCATAAATTCCGATTTTTCCTACTGTTACGTTCAGACTTCATTAACTTAAGCAATAATTAATGGATTTCAATAAAAATGACATCAAATTAAAGCTGACATCTTCAGCTTGCGAATAACATATCATATTTACAATTGACATTTGTCGTTTTAGTAAAATCAATGCATAAGGGCGCCGTCAAGGGGTGAGTCGATTTGGTTGCTCGCGAGTGTATTGGCAACACACATAACTTAAATGCATTTATTATATGCAGATATTGCGCCGTCCGATTTTTACTTGTTCCGTTCGATGGCCCATGGCCTGGCTGATCAACAGTTCCACTCATATGAAGACATCAAAAAATGGCTTGATTCGTGGATAGCCTCAAAAGACGAACACTTCTGGCGTCAAGGTATTCGCATATAGGTGTTGCGCACCTAATAAGGAATCCACTTTGGACATAAATCATTTACAAAAAAAGACTCAGGACAAATCACATTAATGACGAAGAAAAACGGGAAATAGAAAAACTATGCTATAACTATCGTGACATATCTCATAGCGAGGAAATTCCTCTAACATTTATACACGAAATCAAACATCAATTGATATTACCGACGTCAAAACGATTTTCTTAAGAAATTTCAGACAGGCCAAACAAAAAGAAGATATTAAAACCTTGTTAGTTAAAAAAATTATTAGAAAAAGCAGTTTCCCATAGTCATGTACAATTCATATTGTACCAAAAAAGTTAGATGCTTGCTTCAGCCGAACAAAAATATAGGCTTGTAATCGATTACAGAAAATTAAATGAAAAAACAATAGAGGATAAATATCCACTACACAATATAGACGAAATTTTAGTGACTCGGTCCAGCTCAATACTTCACTACCTACTTAGATTCACGATACCATCAAGTCGAAATTGCACCGTAATGATTTATTAAAAAAAACAGCGTTAACAATAGACAGAGGAGGTCACTACGAATTTTTGAGACCTTTGAAACCTCTCCGTCATCCGCCCTACTCACCAGACCTTGTACTAACAGAGATGCATTGATTGCATGGGTGATTACTACGACTTCATGGATAAAGACCTAAATATCCACTGTAAGGCGATATATGTGTGAACCAGCATTAACTTATCCCAGCAGAAGTTTATGATAAAAAGGCCAATGGAGTAAAACAGATGGGTTATTCGCTTATTTATATAACCCATAGTAATCTAACACGCATGTCAACAGTCACGCTCGACGCGCCGCCCTGACTACACCGCGCCCACGCTGTCCGACGCCGCTCCGCGCTCGAAAAAGTTACTAAAAATCGCGAAAGTGGTAAAAGTTTTCTGAAACTAGGAGTGCGATATATCAAATTACGCGGGAGAGTGAGACGAACACGACGGTGTATTTATTGATAAATCCCCACTAAAAAATTAGGTTCACAAGGTTTTTTGCCCAAAAATATTTTTTCTAGTATTTTATTTTGGACTCTGAAAATTTGTAAATAAAACTGTAAATTAAAAATACTTATAAAAAATTTAGGATAATTTAGTTTGTATGGTAGTGTAGAGTAAAAAACGTACTTTATTTTTGATATTTAATTTAAATTTTTAGTGTTAAATTTAGATTTTTAAAAGTTAAATTGCGTAAAATTTTTGTCAATTTTTGAAATTTTGAGTCGGGGGTTCATGTGGGGGTGTGTTCATAGATTTAGTTATATTCGACATCCTGAGAAAAATCCCTATAAACCAAGCCCAAACTCGACTATTTTCGGACCATTAATCCAAAAGTTTTAACGAAGCGGCCATATTGGAAAATTTTAAATTAAGATATCTTTATAACTAGTGGGCTCATTTCGACGGGGTTTTCGAAGGAATGTTCGGCACGACCTGAGCAACCACCCTAACCCATAAAAACCAAAAAAAAATTGGCAAATAAAAATTTTTGTAATAATCATAAATTTAAATAGCCCTGCTCGAGCAGTGACTGGTTACCACAAACACGGGTATTTTTGGCCAAAGGACTCAGAAGATACAGCTTCGGAAAGAATATCCTCCGCCATCTTGGATTTTTACCGTTTTTTCGAGTATCTGTAGCTCCGGCCACGTTCAACTTAGGATACCCGTGTTTGGTATCATTGGAACGGGCTTGGAGAGGGCTACCTCTTCCAGGCTTCAAAGCGTAAAGTAGTAAAAGTAGAGTCATTAAAAATTGTAAAAAATTGTTTTAGCTGTTTTAGTTGTGCCCGGTCGGTAATTTAGATCATTAATTATTTAGAGTAAAAATTTTAAGTAAAATCAATGAGGTGAGAAATTTGGAAAAAAATCAAAATTGTATTAGGGGTGCTTCCCTGTGTGTATGATTACATACACAGGGAGAAGCACCATCACGTAGACCACATTGATAAGTGCTAAAAATTGACAAAATTAAAAAATTAGAATTAGAGCTAAAAATAAAAGTAAAATGTAAGAAAATAAATAAGTTAAAAACGTAAAAAATGTAATTGTAAAATTAAAACAGTAAATTAGTTAAATGTAAAAAGTTAAAGTAAGATTATAAAATTGTAAATCAAAAAACAAAAATTTTAAAAATGCTGTAAAAAACTATTTTAAGATTTACAAAGGCTCTGACCACCTATGTCAGGGGTGAATGCGAGGGCGGCACAAAGCCGCTCTCATTAAAAAAAAAACACGCATGTCAAATTAGCTACACAAATTTTAAGTCAAAATGTTGCGACTGTAAGAGTGTTACTTTCACAATAACAATGAGATGACAAAATTATATGCTTCAAACTGCCCAAGTCTTTCATTTATTGGTTATAATATTTGATAATAACAATGGGCCATCGTCTAACGCCGAAGTTACAAGGAATATTAGAGAAAATGACCCTGTAAATACTTACCATCACAAATTTTGGAAGGAATTTTGTTGGAAATAACACGACTCTACAAAAACGAAAAGAAAATACCTTTTTTCGGTATAAAGTTTGTTTTTGTGATA